ACGGAATATGCTATATTTATTATTTAATTTATTACCTAGCTAGATTACTATCTTTATTATCTTTACCTTAATTAAAGATTCGTTTTTATTATTAGATTTATCGTTTTCCGATTAATATATCTATTTTAGTTATAGGCGCTTAAGTTACTTCGTCGTACCGCTATAGCCGAATAAATAACTTTTACGTTTTACCTCTTTTCTCCCCTTACTTCTTATACCTTCGGGTTAGCGACTACTATATCTCTACGACTAAGGGGCATAGCTAAGATACGATAACTATATTAGATTCCTTATTTCTCGATTAATATAGCGATATTAGTTTCATCTATCTTAGACTATCGTACGTACTATAGTCTTCGATAGAGTATACTTTCGAGTAAACCTATCCGGGTCTCCAGTATCGCGTACGCTCTGCTCCTCCTTAATACTTAAATTACTAAAACCTAACGTACTTTATTACGGCGAAAGTATTAAATCGACGATAAATCTGCTAGGCCTAATAACTCTCTTCGTATTATTTTATAATATATTACCGTTTAAGGAAATAAAACGAAAAGGCCGATATTTTATTTAGATTATTATAATATCGCCTTAAAAAAGGAGGAGCTAAGGACTAGCCGATAACGACGGTCCTATAAGAAAAGTATTTTTTAAAAATATTAAGCTTATTAATTATTATTCTTTCTAGCGTACGACTAAATAGTATTCCGATATCCGCCTAGACCTAAGAATTCGTAAAACGAATTAAAAATACGGCCGAATAAGACCCGGAATACTAAGCTTAATTAATTAAATAATCCGGTAAAGAGATAGAGCTTTATAAGGGCCTCCTTTACCGACGAAATCGTTTATAAGTACCTAAGGACTTATAATAGGAAGTAATTAAATCCGAATACGATATTAAGATAACGGGATATATAAGTATAAATAAAACCATGGAATTTATTACTCGAAACTTCTAGTAGCTTAATTTAAAAGTAATAATTAAGGAATTCGTAAGAAAATATTACGAATGTTAATAAAATAAGGTATCCCGATATACCCCGTTCGGATTATTATAGCTTATAAAACTATATTATCGACCATAGTAAATAATCGCGATAAACTTTATTATAGATTTACCGATATCTAACGACTACGATTTTATATAGGTTATTATAAACCCCTTTATTAAAATAACGTACTTTATTCCGCTAAAAAAGAACGGTAAAAAAGCCGATAACTTAATACCTATCTTTATCCGTAATTACTAGCGGCTATATAAAATCCCTTTAGATATTATCTCCGACCGGGACTTACGGTTTACTTCTTATATCTAGAAGGATATCCTAAAGTTCCTCGGAGTTAAGCCTAGAATAAGTATTACCTTTTATCCTTAAACGGATAAATAAACGGAAAGACTTAATTAAATCCTAAAAACATACTTACGTACCTTCGTAAATTACGAAATAAGCGACTAGGAAAGCTTATTTCTTATTACTAAATTTACTTATAATAATATTATTTCGATAGCTACCGGTATATTATCCTTTTACGTTAATTATAAGTAGTACTTAATAATATATAATTCCTTATTAAGTATCCTTAAGAATCTAAGAAATAACCTCTATACTTATTAAATAACTAAGGTATATAACGAAGTTAAGTAATACTTAAAAAAAGTACGGTAGCGGATAAAAGAATAAGTAAATAAGTATAAAAAGAAAGAACCTCCCCTAAAAGTAAGGTAGCTCGTTATATTAAATACCCGTAATATTAAAACTAAACGCCTTATTAAGAAAATAAATAAGAAGATATTCGGTTCCTTTAAGATTTAGAAGGTCGTTTCGCTTACTATCGTAACCTTAACGCTTCCGAAAGGCTAGCGTATTTATAATACCTTTTACGTATTCCTTATCGAATCCTACCGCGCTAGTAATTAAGAATTACCTAACCTTAACTAGGTTTTACGAGAAGTAGCCCCGATCGAAGCAGAAGATTACGAGGTAAATAAGGTATTAGATTCCGCTAAAATCGGAAAAGTCGTTAGGTACTTAGTAAAGTAAAAAGGTTAACCGGTTAAGCGCTACTAGACTTAGGAATTATAGAAGTACTTTACTACCGAAGGAACGAAAGAAGCCGTTAAATTATTTTATTAATAAAACCTTAATAAACCTACTAACTATCGAGCCTAAGTACTTAACTTACGCTTAAAAACGAGCTTTTCCGGAAAGGAGAGATGGTATTATACGGGAATAAAACCCTATACTAATAATTAGGTTATACGGATTAGGAGGATAATATCGGGTAATAAAGCCGTTACTTCGGCGACTTATTAAGGAAAGTCCTAGATAAGCTACGGATAGCTTCGGTATTAGAGTACCTAGGTACTAAGGTACGGAGGTACCCCGGGAATATATTAGGACGAGATAAGGACTAGGAAACCTAAGAAGGGATAAGGACCTAAGAGACCCCCTATAGAATTATTAGTTAAATTAAATCTATTCCAAGTACATCCCCTTGTTACAGTAACCCATTTCCGTTAGTCACCAAATAATCTGTCGCATGAAAACCTCGATGTATACAGTTCCCGGGGCTAATATGCGGGCTCATAAGGTAGGATCCTCCACATGACACAACCAATCGCGATAACTCTTCTGTAGAAACTTCTGCTCCGCAAGCCGTTGTTTGGTTTAATCTTAGGTCTCTAGCTTTGCTGCGTGGCTCTTACACTTGCGGGGGGTGCCCTATATGGTACTCCTAATAGTTGCTAGGAAAGTTCCTTACAAGTGTGAAAGTATACGCGCCTAAATCTCTGACTTGGATTAAGGAGGCCTTCATACTTTGTTCTTTTGTGACTAAAGGGCGACATCAAATATTATGAAGTAAGATGAATTAGGGCTATTCGACAGCGGTGACACGTGGTACCGAGAACTCGTAGACGTCTACAGCAATCCTAGTAGCTAATACACAGCAACACAGAGTAAGATTAAGTATACTCTAGTATTGAAGTGCAGCCCCAAAAGTCTCAATTCAGCGGGAAAATGTAGCATAGGGATATTATAAGTACGGCCCGGGAGGGCGCGGAGGCTAATCCCTTCCCCTCCTTCGCAGCACGTTACGCCTACATTAGATTACTAGAGAGAATGCCGTCCGGTATAGCTAAACGTATCCCCCGAAAGCTACGCGGCGCCCACGGCAAACTATGAAGAAGAGCGTGTTGACGACCCCGAAGACTGGCTCAATAGAGCGAAGAGTCCTAGGAAGAAAGATGAAGAAGGAACGCAGGTAACTCCTAGCGTTCCCCGAAAGGCTGGCCCTCCGTCCAGACCATCTTCCGGCCCTAGCCTACAGGCTATAACCAAGGGTATTATCCCTTAGTTAGCCTGCCGACCTAAGCCCGATCGACTCTATCGTCCGTATATGGCAGTGTTACATCTGTGACATAGGTACGAATTGCCGGTTGATTGTTGACTAGACGAAACGTCAGAGGGAACTTTCCCTAATCCTGACGAAGAGTCCATGCCACCGTGGTTATTGCATCGGGTTGAGGAGAAGCTAAAAGAGGCAGACCTCGCAGGTTCCGGTGAAGCAAGGGGACGACGGGGAAATGCAAGCTGTTCTTGTCAACTTATCACGAAACCGGAGAAGCTGCGCTGACGTTAGCTCATTGCTTCGTAGCCCGAGGCTGTGACTATGGCTACTGTCTTCTAGCCTGCCCTGTTATTCTACCTAACGACTACCGGTCGCTTGCCGCCGCACTTTGCTCTTAGGTACGGCCTACCGTAACCGAGATAGGCCTTTTATACAAGCGAGCTATCTCCATCCTGCCCATTGGCCTGTTGGCTGGCTCATAGTGCGTACCATCGCCGGCTCTTTCCTCGGCTCAAAATAGCAACCCGGGTCCGTGGAACGGTTGCGTGCAGCGAGCGCGGCGACAGGTTGTATTATCGGATGCCGTGCCGCGTTTCTAGGATGCAGTATCGCCAATACATGGGGCCGCCGGTGTGATTCGCCCGCCGGCGGGTGCAGATGTCTGGCAGGCGTCCTATTATCTGGTAGCAGTGCGCGCAGACGCGGATGGGTGGTAGCAATGGAGGGTTGACGGTGGCGGTGGCAGACAGCAGCAGCGGCTCGTCAATTCTCACGTGGCACGACTTTACTCGGGTCTTACGGCGGGGGCAAGATTTTCGACGGTGTTGACGAGTCTGGACGTATGAACGTGGCCTCGGCGAAGAGATCGTCGTGGATAAAATGGGTATTAATATAGGTATGACGTCGAGAAGAGGAGGGAGAGCGGGCTGGTGCCCCGCCTTCTTTGCCTAGAGTGTGGGAGGGAGGGGCCGACATTCTGGGGGCCAAGTAGTTTGGTCGATATCCCGGGATACCATACCTAGTGGGGGCGTAAGAGCAGGTATCTGGTTTCTTTTTTTTTTTTTCGAGATTTTTCTTTCTTCCCGTTTTCTTTATACAAAATCCCTTGTCTCCAGCATTCCTGTCTGTTTTGGCTGCCCGGTGAGGGGGACGTTCTCGACCCCTGCGAATGCCCGCGTGACGTGAGCAAGTCCCTCCGTTACCTTCCGAAAGGGTCAGGGAATGAAAAATCTGACCCCCGACGCTACCCCGACGTGAATTGCACCCGCTGTGGGGTAGACACGATAGAGATGGCGAGTTTCGCCGTTATTGGCACGCTGGTGGCATCGATGCGCTGTTGTAGATGTCCTGCTAATACCTACCTGGTGTAAGTGTTAAACCTCATCGGTAAGGCATATTCCTATTTGGTATCCATATCGCTCCGCCCTGTGTGGCCGAAGACGAGGGCATCGAGGGTCATCTCGGTAGCTTTTGAATCGACGCTACTCGCATGTGAAATATCCCGAGGCGAGCCTGGGGAACTGTCGGCAGCTTTTGCCTGTTTTACCTGGTTAGCAAGCCAGCTGTGTGTGATAAGTAGTAGGATTAGGCAAGCCACTCCGCCCGCCTTGCATGTCTTGGCTGGGGAATGCCGCGAGACCCCTGAGATCGACCAGTAAAGCTCTTCTTAGTCCCCGTCTTAACCATCCTATCCTCTTGGCCGAGCCGAGGGCGCCCCGGAAATGGCAACCTCATCCCAACTCTGTTCGTCATAAGGGCCATGATGGATTCTGTCTACTGACAAAGAGCGTCTACCGGATGCCTTGTCCTACGCCTGCGCATGTCTGGCACGAGAAAAGCGGTGGAGGGCTCTCCACTAACAGGAGGCAGCCTAGCGAGTTGATGGCTTTCGAGATCGACATAATCCTCCTACTCGTGTAGACCTATCGTAGCCCTAGACTCTCAGGGCCTTGCAGGGTTTATCGTCGCAGTTGCAACTTCGCACCGAATGTCACATAGCTGTGAATAGCTTGGTTCCGGATCCCAGGAGAGGAGTCTTGTGTCTGCGGCCTGCTGTCAGCAGTGCCCGGGGATCTACCCCATCATATATTGGGGTTTGTCTCTCGCCTTCCTCTCGTCCGCGAGTTTCTCCGTCCCCCTCGTCTTCTACAAATCCATCCCTGTGCGCTCTGAAAATTCGACGCCCGCCATCCCGTCAGCCGTTTTTCACAGGATATTTGTTCACGACAAACCGGCACTTTCTAGTGCGATACCAACCGATGTGTCGTGACCATGGCTGCCCTGTCGCCATCGTTCATGGGCCTTCGTGGCAAATCGCTGTCCATGGCCGTTAGTTCAGTTGCGACCACTGGGTTTCTGCTTTTTGGTTACGATCAAGGCGTGTAAGTCGAATCTAGATACCGCATATGCACTGCAACCCACAGAGAATTGCACTGTACTTCATCTTGCTGCCGTAATGGAATTCTGGAACCCGATCAAGATTGGTGCCGTCGGGGTGGCTGAACGGGTATTAACCGAAATCTAGGATGAGCGGAATTATCGGTGCGGAGCAATTCGCCAGCGCCTTCGAAGAAGTGAGGAACAATGCTACGATGCAAGGCCTGGTCACTGCCATTTACGAGATCGGCTGCCTTATGGGCGCCATGTTCATCCTCGGCGTCGGTGATCTCCTCGGCAGAAGAAAGGCCATGATGCTAGGATCGTCCATTATGATCATAGGGGCCATCATCCAGGTCACCTCGTTCCCGCGCCATGCTCCCCTGGCCCAGTTCATCATCGGCCGGGTGGTTACCGGAGTAGGCAACGGCATCAACACCTCTACCATCCCGACCTATCAAGGTGCGTTCTTCGCGAATTCGTGTAAAACTCGTGGCGGTAGGACGGGCTTCGGCCAATGCTAACTCGCCGAAGCCGAGTGTAGTAAGACCTCCAACAGAGGTCTGCTTATCTGCATCGAAGGCGGCGTCATCGCGTTCGGCACTGTGATCGCGTATTGGATCGATTACGGCGCTAGTTATGGCCCCCCCGACCTCACGTGGCGGTTCCCTATCGCATTTCAGATCGTATTCGCTCTTCTGGTGTGCGTCCCCATGATCTTCCTGCCCGAAAGCCCTCGCTGGCTGTTGACGCTCGAGCGCTACGAGGAAGCCGAATATGTCATCTCCGCCCTCCGAGGCTACGAGCTCGATAGCGAGGAGACGCGAGCAGAGCGTGATATTATCTTGGATTCCATCCGCGCCAGTGGCCTGTCGGGCCGGAAGAGCACCCCGATCAAGGCTCTCTTCACCGGCGGCAAGACCCAGCATTTCCGACGCATGCTGCTCGGCTCTAGCAGTCAGTTAATGCAGCAGGTAGGCGGATGCAATGCCGTCATCTATTACTTCCCCATCCTCTTCGAGACCAACATCACTCCTGGAGACCACCACTTAGCCCTCCTCATGGGAGGTGTGAACATGATCGTGTACGCCATCTTCGCCACGACTTCGTGGTTCATCATTGAGCGAGTCGGCCGACGCAAGTTATTTCTCTGGGGAACAGTTGGCCAAGGCATGTCCATGGTCCTCACCTTCGCGTGTCTCATTCCGCAGACGCAAGGTGCTGCGAAGGGGGCGGCCGTTGGTCTCTTCGTAAGTACTATCGGAGGGAGATGTCGGGTCCGTCAGGACGCGAATTAACACATACTATAGACTTACATCGCTTCATTCGGAGCGACCTGGCTTCCACTCCCTTGGTTGTACCCTGCGGAGATCAACCCGATCAAGACTCGAGCGAAGGCCAATGCCACCTCGACTTGCACGAACTGGCTCTTCAACTGTACGTGCTGCCGAGCGAACAAGGATCCGATCCCTATTCATAAAAGCCGCGTCCGCTGACTAGATCCTGCAGTCCTCATCGTGATGGTCACGCCGATCATGATCGCCAATATCGGGTGGGGCACCTACCTGTTCTTCGCCGTCGTCAACGCGTGCTTCCTGCCGATTATCTGGTTTTGGTACCCGGAGACGGCGAAGCGGTCGCTCGAGGAGATCGACATCATCTTCGCCAAGGGGTTCGTCGAGAACAAGTCCTACGTGCGCGCCGCCGAGGAGCTGCCGCTCCTCACCGACGAGCAGATCGAGCAGGAAGCCCTCCGGTACGGGCTCATCGATACGCTGGCCCGGGGCGCCACCCACTCTGCGGGCCCTGCGGGCGCGCCCGAAGAGAAGGCCATCAGCGAAAAGAGCGAGACCGAGGCCGGGAGTCGCGAGGAGATCGAGAACTGAAGTATCATAGTCCAAGCTTTTTTCGGTATTCGGCAGGCAATCGGTAGAGCGAATTCGTCGTTCCAAAACTTCATAGTTCAATGCTGTGTCAGTTTAAAAAACAAGACGCGTCTGAGGCCGAGGTGCTTAACTTGGCTAGGCTAGAGAGCCCAGACCTTAAGATGACCTAGTCTATCCTATCCGCCGAGGGGGGTTGGAACGGAGTAGACGGCCTACGTAGATACATCCAAGACCTCAGCAGTAAGAACTCACTCCCATAGACCGTATAATTTCCATGCTACAGAGCATCTGCGAATCCCTGGCTTTCCCAATGTCTCAGAGAGCTAGCTTACTGTCTCGCAACAAAAATTGCTTCCCTTCGCACCGTCGCAGCTAGGTATTACCTATCCCTACTTATCTAAGTGTACGGACAGGGCCACGAGCATGGGTTCACGCTGGCGTCTTTCCCCGTGCCTGGAACGCGTGAAACCGCCACAATGTTTTCCGTCGCGGAAGAAATTTTGGAACACGTCAATTCTAGTTAACTCTTGTTCTATCACATACATGTGCACTACCCTCTCGCTGACGCTGATATACTTATCTGGGTCTCTTTTATACTGCATCTTGATTCCGTCTAGGTATAAGCAACGAGCGTGTTTACTCTCGCTCCCTAGACCGCTTCGACTGACAGGGGTCCGTAATCATACAAGCGGAAAGGGGAAAGGAAAAAAAAGAGTATCCCTGTAATCTTATCCGTCGCCTAGTCCTCTATTCCAAGAACCCGATCTCCTTCCACACATAGATGTACTTCCGCACCACCTCCTCGCTGACGGGCCCGACGGCCGCCAGCGTCGGCGAGTGCTCGACCGCCTTGCTGGGGTCGAGCACGAGACCACCGCACGACATGCGCTCGTAGTTGGTGTCGAGGAAGTCGACCAGGGCCGAGGCGGGGTTGTTGCGCTGGGGCGCGGCGCGGACGCGACGCGTCCACTCCTCGAGGGGCACTAGGTTCTGCGGGGGGATGCCGAGCGCGTCGGCGAGGATGGGGTTGAGCTCCTTCCAGGGCTGGCCGACGGGGTTGTCGATGTGGTAGACGGGGTAGCAGGGCTGGGCGTGGGCGGCGAGGTTGAGGTCGGCGAGGGCGCCGGCGATGTCGTTGACGGGCGTCCAGTACGCGGTGCCGGCGACGTCGGGCAGCGCGTTCAGCGTCTGCGACGACTTGACGATGAAGCCGAAGTGCTCCATCGGGTTCCAGTACCCGCTGACCTTGGACCCCGCGATCTGGCCCAGCCGCACCGTCATCGCCCGGAACCGCTCCGGGTGCCGGTGCACCGTCCGGTCCAGCATCCGCTCGCACCCCCACTTCGCCTCCGCGTACCCGATCGGCAGCAGCGCCTCGATCCCCACCCGCTCCTCCGGCACCACCCGCCCCGGGTAGTTGCCCACCACGCTGATCGACGACACCAGCTGGAACCCGAACCGGAACCCGGCCGCGTGCCGCGCGACGACCGTGCTCGCGAGGTCGATCAGGTTGCGCACGACAGCGAACTGCGGCTCGAAGCCCTCGAGCGTCCGCTTCACGCTCATCGGCCACGCTTGGTGGATAATGTGCGTCACCGAGCCGGCGAGCCCCTCGTACTCGTCCGCGGACAGCCCAAGCAGGGGCTTCGAGGTGTCCCCCTGCAGAACGTGGAGCTTGGACAGCAGGTGTTCGGGGAAGTGGACGCCCTTGTCCTTCATGGCCTTCTTCTGGCGCGTGAAGGCTTCCGTCTTATGTTCGCGGTTGAGGCAGATGATCGTCTGGACGTCAGGGCGATGGGCCAGCTTGAAGACCAGGTGGCCTCCCAGGCTACCGGTGGTCCCCGTGACGAGGACAACCTTGGCATTCTCGTTATAGTGCGCGGTCGGCGAGGTGGAAGGGATAGGTGCGGTAAATCCTGCCGTATACTTCTCGACGTACTCGTCGACGGCCTTCTGGCGGGCAGCCAGAGCAGCAGTATCGGCCTTGATAGGGGCCGGCGTCACGGTCTTGGTCTCTGGGACGGAGATGGGGGCAGGGGCGGGCAGCTCTTCAACGGGTTGGACTGTGCCGCCGAGCATCTGTTTCAAGTCTGCGACGGTCGGGCACTCGAGGAATAGAGACTCGTGTTGGATATCGAGCTCGAGCTCGTCCCGGAACCGACTCACGATGACGAGCGACAATAGGGAGTCCACTCCGCAGTCGGCAAAGTTGCTGTCGTCAGTGAGATCCTCCGTCGCGACACCGCTCTCTTCCGAGATGATCTGGATTGCGCGCTCGATTTGAACGTTTGAGACTGCCGGGGGCTTCTCGTCTGGGAGAGAAGACGTGGCCTTGGTCTCTTCCGTATCGCTAGACCCAGAGCTGGGGGCTTCGGTGGAGCTGGATGTCTTCGAATCCCCCAAGAAGCCCTTTAGGTCTGCGACGGTGGGGTACTCGTAGAAGAGCGCGTTGAAGTCGAGATCTAGGTCGAGCTCCTCCTTGAACCGAGCCGAGATGGTCAGGCCTAGTAGAGAGTCGATTCCGACATCGCCAAAGACAGTCCCGTCGGTCAAGTCTGCCGGGGCGAGTCCGCTCTCTTCTGCGATAATTGCCATAGCCCGTGCGACTGCTGGAGAGGACGACGAATTGTCCTTCGACCGAGCTCGGGTCTCTGTCTGCGGCTGGATTGATACTTGCGCAGCGATTTCCTTCTTGTGTGCTGGTGGCTGCGGTGGCTGCTTCGCCTTGTTGCCACCCTCGATAGACAGAATAACCCTCAAAATCCGGCGTGGAACGCCTTGCATCTGGAGACGTCGTAGTTAGTACGAATGTCTTCGAATATTGACATACATATACAGGATTGAGGAAGCTTACTGCGAACTGCCCGAGGTGCGCGACGACTTTATCGCCGTCAAGGATGGTCACCTCACCCTGCCACAATCGATCTTTGCCCTCGATCATGTGAGAGTATGTGGTGTACTCCTTCGTGAAGTCCATCGGTTCGAAGATCTGGAACGAGCCCCAGCCATGGTTGACGAACACGTCCTTATCCAGGTCGTTGTTGTCGTTGCAGTTCATGGAGAACCCAGCGGCCCAGGTCAGGCCGTCGATGAGACCGGGGTGGGTGTGGAAAGTCCCCTCTTTGTGGAAGTCCTTGAAGCTTAGGCGACTCGAGGCCTCCAGCGTCTTGCTGTTCAGCACGATCTCGTCCACAGCACGGTATTCTTCGTGGAATCGGGCCAGAGGGCGGATGGCGCGGTACACCATAGCACGATTGAAGCGAGCGGTTTCCCCCGAGAGTATTCCATCTCGGAGAGCTCGCTGCTTTTGTTTGGCGACCGTCTCCTTTTGGAGCTTCTTCTGCAGGCTGCCATCGTTGAAGCGCACAACACAGTGGGAATGCTCCTGCAGCTTCTTGCGGCTCTGTTATTGTTACATGTCAGCTTCATCATTAAAAATCGGAAGGGATAATGATAGTAAAGATGGGGAGACATCGCATACATCGTATGTCATAAACTTGATAGCCGCTGAGTTTGATGACCAGTCGGCCTCGGCGTGAACTTGTAGGACCTGCTCGGTAGCAGAGTTGGCTTGCAGGATGAGCGCCTTCAAGATGGTCATGTCGGCGATTTCAAGGGAAGTGTTGCCCGTCTTGTTGGGGTGATGCCGGTCGAGGAGGTGCTGACCCAGGCTCAGCGCGATGTCGGCATAGACCGCCGGAGTGCAAAGCGGAACCCCGTCGACTTCGTGGCCTTCTACCAGCGGGCGAAAGTCCTTACGCGTGACATCTGACTCGACCACGATGCGGGCCTTGTTGGAATCGCCGGTCTCTTCGACCACATGGTGGATGGTGGTGCTCTCGAGCCTCGAAGGGCCCTGTACAATGGTTATGGGGGCGTCACCCTTGCGCAACGACCAGTCGTTCACATACTGGATCCAGTACGGCTTCAGATCCCAGTTGTATGCAGGCATCTCGATGACCTTTTGGGAGGACTTGAAATCGTCGTGGTACGCGGGCCATCGGATATCCGCTCCTGAGATATAGAGCGTTTTCAGGGCTGCCGCCAGCATCTGGAAGGCCGGCCTGCCCCTTTGCGCTGAAGCAAGGCAGGTGACTTGGGCACCCAGAACCGCCTTTACCATGCCGGAAATAGCGGGGTGCGGGCCAACCTCCAGCGTAAAGCCCTTTTCGGGGAGGATGTGATGGCTGTTTGCCGTCAAGAGGGCGTGGCGCATGTTGACCGGTTCTCGGGTGTGCCGGGCGAGGTATTCAGGGCCGAAGGCACCGATGCCGACAACAATGCTTCCATCCAAGGGGCACAGTACCGGGATTTTGGCTTCGGAGTAAGTCACATTACCGGCGATGGTCTTGAAGTCTTCGAGCACTGGGTCGACCTGAGAAGAGTGGAAGGCGTAGGGGACCTTCAGGAGAGTCGTCTTCATTCCCGCGTCTGTAAGGATGGTCCGGAGCGAGGCGATGTCTGAGTTGATGCCGGTGATGACAGACTCGATCGGCGAGTTGATGCAGGCAACTTCGTACGCGATGTTCTTGTCCCCGATGACCTTTTCGATCTCATCCACCGCCGCCTTGATCACCAACATGGAGTGGGTATCCCGCGTGCACTTCTCTACGAGCAAGCTGGCCCTGGTGCCCACGAGGTAAATCGTGTCGGCGTCGGACATAACTCCCGCGACGTTCAAGGCCGCATACTCGCCTAGGCTGTGTCCAACCACGGCGACGGGAGACACGTTCCACGACGCCCACAACTTGGCGAGAGCGATTTGCATACATGTGCTTGCCAGCTGGACAGTCACGGGGTTAAACAGACCGATGTCCTGCTCGCCAGACTGGTTCTCGATGACTGGCAGCACCGAGGGGAAACCTAGCTTCTGGCCGATGCGATCTAGCCGGCGCAGCTCGGTGCGGAAGAGAGAGAAGCTCTCGTAGAGCTCCTTACCCATACCGGGGTATTGCGCACCCTGACCCGTAAACGTGAAAACGACCTGTGGGCTGCCCTTGGGTCTGGTCATGCCGGCCTGGTCGCGCAGAGCTGTGTCAATCTGGTTGCATAGCTCCTCGCTGCTCGCGCCCGTAAGCATGACGCGGTGCTGGTGGTGGATGCGCCGTGCGGTTGTCGTGTACGACAAGCGGCCGAGAGAAACATCCGGGCTTTGCTTCAAAAACGCCAGCAGTGACCTAAGGTTTCCCTGTAAAGAGATTCCGTTCTTGGCTGAGATAGCTACGACGTGGTGGCTTCTAGAGTCGGGGGCTTGGTTGGCGGGCTCGGGGATGAGAGGTGCGTCTTCTATGAGCAGGGCCGTGTTTCCACCTGCCGCGCTGAAGTTGTTGATGAAGGCCCGTCGGGGCTTGGTAGGGTCTGCGCTTCTTTGCCAGCTGGTCGGCTTCAGAGCGATGTTGACGTTTCGCTCCTGCAGGTCAGTGGGAAACCTGTGGTTGATCTTTGTCTTGATCCCGCCTGCAACGCCCGAGGGTTAGCGGCTACTTCGTCACGAGAGCCTCTCGCTTAGACAACTGGTCTCTCAAGAAAGACGCGGAAAGGAGAAGTGCTTACAGTGTGGGACTATGATGTTCTTCTTCATCATCAAGAGCACCTTGATTATACTGGCCATCCCCGACGCGGCCTCACCATGGCCGATATTCGCCTTGGCAGACCCCAGGAAGAGGGCCTCTTCGCTAGTCCGCTTGCCCCTCTTGACCTGCCCAGGATGCGGCGCGAACGTGTCTAGAACACTGGACATCTCTCCAGCATCTCCGGCTTGAGCTATTGTTTCCGAGTCAGTACAAGTACTTGGTTTAAACAGATTCCACGACTACATCTCAGAAGCTAGTCGTATCTGCGAGGCAGAACCCCCGGACCTAAGCTCCGAGGGCACTCAAGGGGACCAGCGGGATTACTTACTGCCGGTACCGTGCATCTCCACGTATCCGATCGAATACGGGTCTACGGCAGCTTGGTTCAGGATCTTGTTGAACACCGCCCGCTGGGCGCCTACATGCGGGCGCGTGATGGACTCGGATTCCGCCGAGTGGTTTGTGTACGCGCCTAGGATGACGCCTAGGATGGGGTCCTTGTCGGCGATAGCGTCGTCAAGGCGCTTGAGGATGATGGTCCCGACGCCCTCGCCTCGGCAGTAACCGTCGGCGCTGTCATCGAAGGTCTTACAGTTGCCCGTCCGCGACAGGAAGTGGCCCTTGTCGAGCCCGGCCGTCATGTCCGGGTTGGTCAGGATGTTCGTCCCGCCGGCGATGGCGGTGTCGATATCGCCGCGCCAGAGCGAGTTGCAGGCGAGGTGGATGCCGGCGAGACTAGAGGAGCACGCCGTGTTCACCGCGAAGCTCGGCCCGCTGAACTTGAAGAAGTAATTGATCCGCCCTGGGATGAAGGCCATGTTCCCGCCCGGTATGAAGTACGTGTCGACGTTCTGGGCGCTGTTTGTCTCGAACCAGTCCTGACTGGTCACACCGTAAAAGAGACCGACACGATCCCGTCGCGTCGATGGGGTAGCATCGGGAACGATGCCGGCCTGCTCGATGGCCTCGTAGGCAGTCATCAGCGCGATCCTTTGTGCAGGGTCGATCTGCGGCGCCTCTCGGGGCGAGATGTTGAAGAAGCGCGCGTCAAAGCTGGCGGGATCGTCGAGCCAACAGCCGAAAGGCGTGATGCTCGTGTTCTTCCGCGCCCCGGCCGGGTCCACGTGGGTTTTGACATCCCAGTGGAGAGGCGGGACCTCCTTGTGCATATCCAGACCTTCGTGGAGCACATTCCAGAACTCCTCGTTATCCCGAGCGCCAGGGAATCGTCCTGACATTCCAATGATGGCAAGCTTGGCCTTGCCGGGGTTTGGGTAGGATCCATCACCGGTTATCGACGGCTGACTCTGTACCGCTGGAGAGATAGAGGGCAGCAACGCTTTCAGCGACGTCTGCCTGAGCGCCGTGTAGATCAGCTGGTCCGCCTTTGTTCCTATCGCTACTACGCTGAATGATCTAGGCTGCTCCTTCTGGAGATGGGCTTGCAGCTCGCGGACGATATCGTTCCACCGTATGGACTCTAATAATATCTGTTCGACTGCCGCCCTCAAGAGCTTTTCAAAGCTGTCACTCTCCACAGTTATCCCGGCGCCGGAGAAGACAGGGACGTTCAAGCTAGCGTCACGAAGTGCGAGGGTCCCGATGATTTCATCGACATCTTCGGAGGTATAGAGGTGAGGGGCGTGGTATGGGGCGTAGATGGGAATGGTCTTGAAGGTAAAGGTGTCGGAACTTTCTGGGTTTGTGAATCGAAGTAACGAACGTGGTGGACCGCTGACAGTTACACCATTGGGAGCATAGGCACTGACGTATGGCCTGGCTGAAAGCGGCAGTTTCTGGTTCACGACGATGAGATTGTCAGCAACCACATAGCTGGCGGTTAGAGTAACGTATGGTTCGTTCTACATGTGCTTACCGTTGTCTCACAAAACCTGCTAACAGCATCGGCAGACGCCGCACCAGGCACGATGACTGACCAGCTCTTATCGTCCAGCGAATCTGAGGGTTCGATTCGTCGTGCCATATCGGTGACATGCAAGCCGGTCCGGAAGGCCACGATGACCGCTTCCACCGCCGGTGCGACGAGCTCTATCGTGCTGCGGCTGCAGCTAACTGCTGCTGCCGCTAGGGCTCCTGTGCAGATACCAAGTATCCGCGAATTGCTGGCCTGTATATCCCAGGTGTTCTTCTGGCTGGGTAGGTCGTTAGCACTTGTATGCCGTACAACGAGAGCACAAACTGTCTCACCTGATGAAGGTGCCGAGCTGGTACACGCAGGTCACTGCCATGTCGAGGGCCACGCAACGTTTCGAGTCTTGCTTCCACAAGAGGAGGTCATCGAGGCTAGTGAATCGAGGGAGATCATCCCTCGTCTCGACCGGGAGCCTGTACAGCTCCCTACGTATCGCATCATACGCCTTGGTTAGGAAGTCCTCTAGTACGGGGTTGTCCCTATGCCGCATCAACTCTTTGAGGTGCGGCTGTACATCGTACGTCTGGTCTCCGAAGAGATACAACTTTTGTTCTGCCATGTTGAATTTGACGATACGGCTAAGTGGTGAACGGGAGTGTCCGGGCTATGGCTCTTCACTCATCTCACTCGAAGTCGAGATCATATGTTAGACATGTGAGGATTTTATTAAAATATCTTCTTGAAGCACCGTCCTCGACACCGGAGCCGCTCTCCTCCAGGCCTAACCGCATACGTATCTATCCTCCGGGCATGTCCTCATCCGTGGTCTCGGTTGTCTCGTTCAGCTAGAAACAACTCCCCCCTCCCCTACGGGCATAAGCACATGTCATCGAGAGGTGATAAGTTCACAGCCACCAGCAGAGTTTCGGCTGAACTCGTCGAGATCGGGCTTATGGCGAACGCAGCGGCAGGAATACTCGGGGCTTGCTCGAAGGTGTGGAGCGACAATCACATCTCTCGTGGGGATGTCAGATTTCCTGCTGCCACTGGCCAGTGCAAGATGACGAGATAAGGGCGATTGGACGCAGAAGCACTTCATATAGCGTTAATTTTAGTGGCTGTTGTCATGTCACGAAGCAGTGTGTGATATTGCTATGTACATACAGCTTGCCACACACAGCTTGCCATAATCAGGAGGCGGCAGAGATCTGGGAGCCGGATAACCCACGTTGCGTAGTCGGGTAGTTACCAAAAAGTCTTGGAAAGGTGAGAACCCGATCCTCGACACTAGACGCAGTATATTGCCCGAAAACTTTCATCAAGCCAACCCTCTAGGCTCGGCGTTTATTTCTCTAAGCCTCTTGAGCCACAAAATAACAAAACTCCGTAGTTGGAGCTCGACTTATGCCGAGGTGTCACCGGTATAGTTACGCAAGAATTGCTGTATGCTAAGCGCTATAGGCTTTACGAGGAGGATGAAGATGTCTGAGCGGCGATTGTCCGCCTGTGTCTCCTATCTCCTTCAACAAGAGCAAATGAAGGCATTCTGTGGCGTCTTGTTGATGACATACGCCCAAGCCGCAAGACAACAGGGATCCGGCAGGCCCAATCGACCGACCAGTCTGGCTCACCTGTAAGCTGACCCTCCTGGGCCCACGTCAAGTCGCCGGGATCACCGGCCAGTACGGGGATACAATTCCTGAAATGCCCGGTCGATGCCCGAGACAAGGGTTAGAAACGCGCGAAGATAACCGTTCATCTTCGCCCGGAACGAAAGCCCTCGCGCCGACTCGAGGGTTAGACATAAGCCCAGCCAGTCTTCCGAGACTGCTTGGGTAAAATCCGACGAGACGCGAAGGCGAAAAGGGGTCAGCGATTCCATTTGTAAGGCCGCGCCTCGGTTCTCCGGGACGGGGCCAATCGCCTGGTAGCGATTCCCCCGTAGGAGCTGAATGGCTTAGCTGGGGGGTGGGGGAGGCGAGGATATAATTGGATAGGCCTCAGACAAAGACTCGATATATACGTAGGCAGCTGTTGGGTATTGTCGTCGAGAGATACCCCCTCGAACGGAATCTTACTCCTTTCCTCAAGTAAAAGACGCCATCGACCATCATGGCTGACCCCTTCGCCCTGTACCAAGAACACAAGCTGGCCGTGCTGGCCGTGGTTCTGGCCATCGCATCCCTCACGCTATGGTTTCGCCGCGACCGACGGCTGGATAAGATGCCAGGGCCCCGAGGGTGGCCTCTGATCGGTATCGGCATCAGCCTGCCTCACAAGGCGCACTTTCGTTTCCGCGAGTGGGCGGCGCAGTATGGAGAGGTTTTCCGGTTGCGGGTTGGATGGTTCAACTGGGTGGTCATCAACAGCCCGCAGGCGATGCAAGAAATCTTGAACAAGCAGGTATGACGCCCAGCACACACGTAGACGCCGATGTCCCGCCGCGCCGTCCTAACCGGCCCGTCCGTAGTCCCAGTACACCTCCTCGAAGATGCCGGCGCCGCTGGGTAATGACGTGGTCATGGGCGGCATGCGCATGTTCACCCTGGCCTACGGCCAGAAGTGGCGTGCGTACCGCAACATCACCCACCAGCTCCTCTCCAGCACCATGACCAACACCTTCGTCCCGTCCCAGGAGTACGAGGTCAAGCAGCTCCTCTACGACCTCTCCACCAGCAACCGGGACCAGCAGGAGTTCCAGATGCACGTGCGCCGCTTCGCCTTCAGCATCATGATGACCAGCACCTACGGCCTGCGCGTGACCAACTGGGACGACGAGGACGTGCAGCACGCCCTGGCTAGCGCCCGCATCCTCGGGTCGATCACGCGCGCGGGCGCCTTCCTCGTCGACGAGCTGCCGTTCCTGGCGCGGCTGCCGGCCTGGCTGCAGCCCGGGCGGCGCCAGGCCGAGGCCTACGCCAAGCCGATGCTCGAGGCCAAGATGCTGCTGTGGCGGCGGCTGCAGAAGCAGGTGGCGGAGGGCAACGCGCCGGTCTGCTACGCGCGCGAGCTGATGGAGAACAGCGACTCGTGGCGCAAGCAGGGCCTGCGCGACGAGGACGCCGCCTGGGTCGCCGGCGGCAACCTCGAAGCCGGGTCGACGACGACGTCGGTGACGCTGCTCAGCCTGCTCCTGCACCTGGCGGCCGAGCCGCGCGCGCAGCAGGCCGCCCACGACGAGCTCATGCGCGTCGTCGGCCCCGACCGCCCCCCCGTCTTCGACGACATGCCCAGCCTGCCCTACATCCGCGCCTGCATCAAGGAGGTCCTGCGCATGCACCCCACGCCCTTCTGGGGCATCAAGCACTACACCGACGCCGACGTCGTGTATAAGGACTACGTCATCCCCAAGGGCACCATCCTCCTCGGCAATACCAGCTTCATCCACTACGACCCCGACCGCTACGACGAGCCCTTCGTGTTCCGCCCCGAGCGCTACCTCGGCTTCCCCAAGTACAGCTCCGAGTACGCGAACCAGGGCGACCCGTACCAGCGCGATCACTTCACCTTCGGCATGGGCCGCCGCATCTGCCCCGGCGCGCGCCTCGCCGAGAACTCGCTCGACCTCGCGCTGGCCAACATCGTATGGGCCTTCGAGGTCCGGCCGCCGCTGGTGGACGGGGTCGAGGCGAAGAGCATGGACGTGAGCGACGACGCTTGGGAGGACACGAGCTTCCGCGGCCCGAAGCCGTTTGGTGTCCGCTTCGTGCCGCGGGGCCAGAGCAGGTTGGAGCTGGTCCAGTCGCAGTGGAAGGAGGCCGAGAGAGAGGGATACGTGCTGAGAGGCCAGCGTGTCAATGTGAACGGCTATGTTGAGAGAAATTGAGTGGATTCGTTATTGCGAGTTATTAGCAGGTGTCCCTATCCGATGGATAGTAGTTTGAACTAGTCGCCTCGATACACACTGTCTGCTCTCTAGGTAGGTATACGTTCGAATATAAGGAACGAAAGCTAGAAACCAGCCCCTTTACTGTATTTCCATCCCCTTTCCCTCTCTAGTCTAAGTTAGAACGTATGCTTGTGCTGTCGCTTCCGTCATGTGAACCATTGCCATCCCCTTCGGTCTCGGCCCATGCCACATCGTGAGGTCGTTCTCGTGCACGCGCAGGATGATTCCTCTCGAACGAGGAATGCCGAGTGTACCACCCCGCTAGCCCGTACCAAGCCCCGCCACAAATCCCTCACGGATGCCTAGCCGAGATCCGTCACCTCCGCCAACATCTTCCAACGACGGCGCTGTGCGTCTGGGAAGTCGACAACTACCCGCCGCCTGGACCTATCGACGAACGTACCAGGTGTGGAGCACCCATGTATTAGATCATGTATTTTCGCTACCATGCCAATCAGAGAAGGATTATTCGCCGGCCGAAATTTCCGCCGACCAAGTCTTTATTCCTTCCAGCTAACGCAGCGGCCACGTGCGTAAGGATTATGATGTTTCGGCCATCGACGCCCGTCATCATGTCGACCCCTGTCGCGGTCCAAGCACCCGACCAGGTATCGTGTGTCTGTGTCTGTGTCTGTGTCTGTGTAACGCCGTTGCCTCGTCAGCAACAACGGCGTCGCGTTTTCCTCTCCGCTCTGGGGGCCATCGCGCTACCGAATTTGCACGACTTTCTGGATCAAGTCCTGCAGCTCCTCCCGAATACGCGAGATACCGCTGAGAGACCACTGCACGGCGCGCCGCACGAACTCGTCCGCGTGCTCGTCCACGCCGGTGCGGTCGACGGTCATGAGCTCGTCGATGGCCCTCTCCGTCCTGCGCAGCTCGCGAAGGAGGAGGACGCGACGCAGGCTGGCCTGGTCCTCGGCGTCCAAGGGGAGCATCCCGACCTGTATCACTGTGGGCTGGACGCCGAATTGATCTACGGTCGGCGGGTCCTGCGGGGAGGAAGTGTTGGTCGCGTTGCTACCGCCGGTCGGGTCGTTATCGCCCGCTCCCCCGTCTTCGAGGAACGGAGTCTTCTCCGACGCCGCTATACGGTACCAGAATAGCATCTTGGAGAGTATCGACACGTAGAGCAGAATCAAATGAGGACACTGTGCGCACGTGCACTCCATGAGCCTACTCCAGCCGTTGAGGGCAGCCTTGTTCGTAGCCAGCACGTGATCGAAGCGCGGTGTGAGATTGAGATCCGCATAGCGTGTCGGATCGGAGGAGCATGACGTCGCCCCTTGTTGCAATTGGCCGTGCTGCATGGAGCGTAGGATAGAGATGGCGCGGGCCTCACAGTCGTGCGTGCTATTAGCGGGGTTGAACTCGGGCGATGGCACCTCGGCGGACCCCGACGTCCCGGGGGAGGCCTCGCTGTGAGTCAGGCCCGGCACGGAGAGGCCGTCGGTGCCTTGCAGGGCGGACGACGACAAGTCGGCGACATCCCAGCTCGCAAAGGCATCGACATCCATGTCGCCACTAAGGCCGTCGCCAAAGGCCCAGGAGAGGAGCGCAGTGTTATGGGGGAATGCATACTGGCCGTTCGGCACCTCCAGCGATGGCGCGGCCATCGACCCCGACGGCAAGGGGCTCCAGCCGGTGTGGCCGGGCGACGTCGTAGCCGATGCAATGGTCTTGGCCGTCACTAAGGGCCGGTCCTCGGGTGCGGTGCTGGCGCCGGCCTTGGCCTGGTCGTAGGCGGGCTTCTTTCGCCACGACTGCTTGCCGTGCTTGCGCGACTTGCTGTAGGAACACGGCGCCTTGATCTGCAGGCACCGATTGCAGGACGGGTGCGTCTTGTCGCACCGGACTTTGGCTGTAGAGCACGGATCGCAGGCTGTGCGGAAATGGACGTTCTGCGATGGCGCATCCCCCGTCATCTTCATGGCCAGCCGCCAACCAGCGAGGGCATGCAGGCGAAGCAACCGAGGACAGATGGTCGAAGAGGCGTTTGTGCTCGCGGGATGCTGCGTCCCTCGACGGTTCCGACCAGGAGCAGCACCGAGGTGTCGAAGTGCCGACCGATGTACAGCTCAACACGAGTAGTAGCAGTAGTAGTGGTTGTTGTTGTTGCTGTGGTGGTGGTAGCCGTTGCGTTGATGCTGTCGTTGGTGGTTGTTGCAGATTGCGGGCATGTGCAGATTGCGAATTGTGGACAGTGGATTCGTGCTGTTCTCTTGTCTCTTGTCGACGCTGTTGAAGGTCGCCTCGGCCGTGGTAGGAGACGGGCGGGATAGGGCGGGACGGCACGTCTAGAGAATCGTGACTCGGAGAACGGTGCCGGCTTTAGCTGTTAGCAAAACGGGCTGGGGTCTGCACTATGCCTTGGCCCCGCGTTATGAACATGAGGTGACGAAGACCCGGGGTATTAGCACTAGATCGGAATCCGGACGAGAGACGACGACAGACGATGGGCGATGACTGTAGTCGCTGTGAGATATGTAGCGGAGGGGGGGGGGGGAGGGGGGGCGCAGACCCCCGGGGTAGATCTAGCGGGGGATATCGAGAACTCCATCGCCGGGTGCAGGTCCTCGGGGTAGGTACATCTACCTAGCGAGAGACATCGAGAAGCCCAGCTCAGATCGAAGGTCCCCGGGGTAGATCTAGCGAGCGACCTTGGGAAATCCAATGCAGGCCCCAGGCCAATACGGAGAGGGAAAAAGAGGCAGAGGGGTTGTTGACGCTAACCTCGTCCTCGCAGAATCCCTACTGCAAATCCTTTAGGACTTATCCGCCGCCTCGCGCCAATCAGAAATCCCACGTCCCGGTCGGATCTATCCCTGAAACCCGGCAAGCCCTCCTAGGCTTACGTTGGACATAAGCAATTCAGATAAGAATCGCTGGCTAACATTAATAATGACCCCTCCGTCCGCATCGAGTCTACCTATGCAATCCCCCTAACGTGGGGATAATATCTAATAATCACCTCGGTCTGCGTACGGCCGTCCTCTGCCCTCTGCCGCCTCCCGCCCTAGCCGACACTGCTCAGACCTAGCTAGGCTCGGCTCCGTTGGACGGATGAGGAGGGTAGAGGGGTGCAGCGGACGCTGCCAGGGCAGGGGACAGGTAAGCTGTCCCGTCACAGGTAGGAACGGCGCGACGCACACACGACCCGGCATTAGTCGCCATGGGCAAGTTGCCGTGGCCAGGACGGCAGCACAGGAGCCCGAGGAACCCCGCGGGCAACCTGTCGACGAGCACTATAGCGAAATGTGGAGCATCGCCCCCCCCTCCCCTGTCCGCTATAGGTACCAGGCCGCTAGCCAGCCCGGGCTGGCCGGGGATGGGGGTGATCTCGTAGCGCAAGCTCGGGACTACAGTATGAGAGCGACGAGATGCCATCCGGTCGGTCATCCAGGTACCGCTAGTGACAAACAGGCTGGACCTCCGCGCGCAACTCGACGCTCTGGCCTGGCCTGGCCTGGACACTCTCACTCAGGGGCGGATCAGCAGGCCACGGGAAGCCAGCCAGGGCAGCTGCTGGCTGCGTCCGAGCACGCACGGCCGCTGGGTACGAGCGAGAGAGTCCGGAGAGGATGGCGTGGCGCTGTGCCGTCCGGGCCGTGGCTGGACAAATCGGACGAACAACTGGGGGAGAGAACACGGTCGGACGCTACATAGGTAAGACACAGGGTGGCGCGACGGTGCAGGGAAGCCGTGGTGACTGGTTGCGTGCCGTTACGTCCGCATCGTCGAGCGGCTACAGTACCAGGGGCTATTAATATAAAATATACACATTGGCATCCACGATGTCATTAGTGTTTTAGGCAGGGCGAGACCACTCCGCGGCGCTGTGGTAAGGAGACAGCCGATTGGTACTGAGAAGTACGTACGTAGACGGCGACGTCGCTATCGTCGACGCCACGGCCGCGAGGCGCTGGGAGTCGCCTCAACCCACATGTCTCGGAACAGGGGGGGGGGGGGGGAAACCAAAAAAAGAGGCGGTATCCAAGGTATGGAGGTAGGTAGGGAGGTAGGTAGGTAGGTAGACAGCCAGATAGGTATCAAGCTGTTCACGGCAAGTCCCGACCAGGACTAGAAGACTAGAAGGCCACCTCTATCATCGTGCGTTACGTAGCCGGCTCGACGCCGTCTCATTGGGCGCTCCCTTCCGTCCTTCCTATATAGCGACACATCCCGCTCCCCTAGCCATCGCCGGTTGTGGAGTTCGGGCTAGCTGAGCGTCTCCTCCCGCGCGCGCCCTTGCACGCAAATCCTCCCTTCTCCGTCTCTACCTGCCTACGGATGCAGCATGCGGTAGGCATGTGTGCAGATAGATGCGTTAGCGGTCATCTCTCGCCAGAGTCGGCCTGGCGCCAGCAAGAGGAGAGTGGGTTGGTGGTGAGTATGAACGTGTCGCGTTGCAACCTGCTTACGCCTCCCCCTTACCCCCCCCAGACCACACCTCCACACGGTTCCATCTACCGATGGCGACGCGCTAAGGAATAAGGTTGCCTCGGGGGCCGTCCTCCTTTCTCGTTAGGTGTTCTGCATCGGCTCTGCATTAGCTGTGCGCTGGACAGGCTGTTATCGAGGCAATGCAGTTATCGAGTATTACGCCCTCCTATCCATGCACCTATTGCGTGCTCTCCCCTCCCCTCCCAGTCTACATGCTCATACATACACACACATGCGAGCTGCGCAGAACAGAACCACACACCCCTCCGACCTCGTCAGTGCGATGGTGGCCGTGGTCAACCCATCGACGGGTCAGCTTACCTACTATCTAACGTACTCTCCGGGCCGCCCCGTGTTGGCTCGTATCAGGTCCGATCCTGGCCTCGCTCGCTCTGATTAGCCCTCCCCCTCCCTAGTTCAAGTAACCACCAGAAACGGCCGATGTAGCACAGATAAGCATAAGTTTCCCTATGTAGCTTACACGCGTTAGCTTCTGAGGGTGCCGTCTCCTTGCGATAGACGGCATCATTTCTCGAATCCTGTGCCGATCGCTGTCGATCGCATCCTTCCCTGCGCGTTGCCGTCTCCCGCGGGCCACGACTTAGGCCACCCAGCCTTAGGCCCCTTCATGTGGGCATAGCTACGCAGAACTATCGGGGCCGAGGGGCGGCAAACCGTCCCTAGAGAGAATCAGGCACGCCCCGCACGCAAATCGAACAATGCGGATACGCTGTGCTTTACGCTGTACTATACCTAGATATATACCTATATATAGGTATACCTATGTGTGTGCGTGCGTGTGTTCCAGCCGGTTTCACCACCGCCCCCCCCGTGGATAAGGAGATCCTGTCAAGATTCGTCAAGTTACACATCCTGGAAGGGAGAACTGCAAATACAGCCACAATCTTCATCCTTGCCCCGCCGCATAAACCGTTCCACGACGATCACCGTCCTTCACCCCGACACTAGGACCCCGAGTTGGCCGATGAAGGATTCGCTGACGGTGCCTTCTCGCCGCCGTGGCCTCGCACTCTCTTCCACTCCATCCCCACCGCGCCGAATATGGCGAGGCATTCCAGGATGAGCGAGATGCGGAATGTCCAGGTCAAGGCATCCATGTAAGCGTCGAGCACCTGCGGCAGGTACTCCGCCGGCACCGCGTCTCGCAGCGTCGTAGCCCCCGCTGAGACGAGCGTGTGGCCGTCGAGGCCTGGGATCCGGAGGGCGTCAACGTATCCGATGAATTTAGTAGCGAAGACGTTGTTGCCGACACCGAGGAAGATCGAGGCGCCGAAGAACTGCGCCATGGTTGTCAGGGCCATGCCCGTAGGGACATCGGTATCAGGCAGAGTCTAGATGGCAAGTAGGTGGAATTAGCTTGTGCCGATATCGTAACCTCGCTGGGCAGGACCTACCGCGGAAACTGCCGTCGCAAATAGCTGCATGCCCATCCCGAGCCCAAAGCCGATAAGCACTTGATATCCCACCCATTCTCCCGCTGACGAATCCACGCCCCATGTCGTAAGTAGGCCGAGGCCAACAGCAGCGACTGTGCAGCTGGCGACGAAGAAGGGTACGTAATGACCCGATTTGGCAGAGAGGATACCTGTGATGACGATGACGACGACCTGCACTACGACGAGCGGAATCATACGGATGCCCGAGTCCTCGGCGCTCGTGTTCTTGATGCCTTGGAAGTACAGAGGGATGAAGTAGAAGGCAGTGTTGAAAGCACCGAAAGAGAACATGTTGTACCAGCTGACGGCCGCAATCGTGCGCTGCTTGGCTAGTCGAACCGGGACGGTGGCATCTTCACCCATGAAAAACTGATCTGCGACGAACGCCACGAGCAGAACCTGGACAGGGCCGCGAATCGAGAATCGTCAGCGATGCGCGCCACGTAGTAGGTACCTGACTGGGGGGGGGGGGGAGACGTACACCAAAGAAGACCATGACGACGATGATGCGCCAATCGGACCAGTCGTATTGTATCCCCGCCCACTCCATGGCGAGGAGAAAGCATATGATGCTGGGGAGGAAAAACACGAGGCCCAGGAGGTCCAGATTCCATAAGACCTGTCCGAGCGACGCCGCAGTGTGCGCCGGCGTCCGAGTCTTTAGGAGGAAGAGGACGAGCGGCGCTGACACCCCGCCGATGGGCAGGTTGATGTAGAAGCACCAGCGCCAAGTCACATTGTCGGTAAAGGCACCTCCGATCTGAGACGGTCAGCCTCCAGGTGAGCACGAGCATAGAGACGCCAGGAAGGAACGTACGAGGGGGGCGACCGCTGAGGCGACGCCGAACGTCGCCGCGTTTACGGACTGGAACGCGGGCGCCTTCTCGGGAGGCACGATGGTAGCGACGATAACCAGAGATCCCGTGAACAGCGCGGCGGCGCCGACGCCGGCGATGGCCCTACCCACGATGAAGACGGCAGACGAGGGCGCGACGGCAGAGATCAGCGAGCCGACCTCGAAGAGGAATAGGGCGCCCAGGAAAATCCATTTCGCCGCGTACCGCGAGTACAGCTTCCCGGACAGCAGTTGGAACGCGCAGGTGGGAAGAAGATAGCCCGAGCCATACCTGCATGGTTAGCGTCAGCAGCATCGATAACGCGTCTTTTCTCGCATACCAAGGCTGTGCTTACCATCCGATGTGGTTGATGGCGTGAAACTCGTCCGTGATAGCGGGAATGGCGGTGGCGATGATAATGTTGTCGATCGCGACGCAAAAAAGACTAAGGCTCAACGCGACCAGGACCAGGATGAAGGAGAGACTCTTCACGTCGACATACTGCGATGGTGCGTCGGCGGTGGGCCGTTCCGGTGACTGGTCCGGCTCCTGCGGCGTGCGGGCGGGGATATGGGAGTATGCCTCGGTCTGGGCCTGATTATAGCTGTCTCGATCGGAGCTGACTGCAGTCTGTGTCGCTGACTGCTGGAGAGGGACTTTCTTCTCGTCCATGATAAGGGTAGAGGGTGTCTGGGCACGTAAGGCCCTGGGAGGGAGGGCAGTGATCCGCGGAAGGTCAGCGGCGGAATTTTTGGGGCCAGAGTCGCTTATCGACGACCACCAAGAGTGATGGCGTCAAGAACGTGCATACAAACAAACAAACAGAGGAGCCAAGTAAAGCCAAGTGAATTCAACACGCAGACTCGTGTGGGAATCTTGGAAAGACTGGGAAGAGCTTACATAATCAAGACGCGTTGAAGGGGGGAGAGTGAAGAAAAGGGGGGGTTGGGGGAGGGGGGTCAAGTGACTTGCTAGGATGTCGCCTTTTCGACGGCAGCGAAGAGGTATATACCTAGATTACGTACATACCTACACATACCAAGGTAGGTAGGCTAGCACAATCTACTATGGGGGAGGTAGTTCGGAGGAGAGGAACGGCGGGAGGAGAGGTCGAAGGGCGAGATGAGAGGTCGAAGGGCGAGATGAGAGGTCGAAGGGCGAGATGAGAGGTCGAAGGGCGAGATGAGAGGTCGAAGGGCGAGATGAGAGGTCGAAGGGCGAGATGAGGACGATGAGGGCCGAAAGGCGCGATTGGACACCTGCCAGCTACCTAATGCCTAAAGGCCAGAGGACCTATCAGCTACCTACCTCCTAAAGGCCAGAGGCCGATGGGAAGAGAGACGGAAAGCGAGACATCGAACGGAGCGGGTGATGTACCCGACGCAGTACCCGATCCCAGCCAGTCGGCACATTTCATGTCAGACCTCTCGGTTTTGGCGAGCGCCGAATTGCATCTCGGCGCGTTAAGTCCGAACGTCGCGTCCACCCCTCGGCCGGGCACGTACCGCGTACCGTACACGCGGAATAGATATATACGCGTAGTATCAGGGAATAACTCGTCTCGAGCACGACAGCGAACGGCGCATACCCTAGGCGCAATGGATATTTTACCACAATCGCAGCTATCACCTATACACTGGGCTCTCAAGGTCGGCCTTGTCGTCGTGGGATTCCCACTTCTGGCTCTCCTGGTCTGGGTCGCCCGCAGAGATCGACGGCTGGACAAGATACCAGGTCCCAAGGGCAGCCTCATCACCGGCATCGGCCTCGACCTCCCCCCCAATGCGCTGCAGAAGTTCCGAGAATGGGCGGACGAGTATGGCGAGATCTACAAGATCCGCCTGGGCTGGTATACCTGGGTGGTTCTGAGCAGCCCCGAAGCCGTGAAGGAGGTCCTCGACAAGCAGGTAGGCGCGGCCCGTGTGTTCGGGATCTGATCTGTGTGCTGACGAGCGACCCAGTCTGTCTCGACCTCGTCGAAGCTGGCAACACCAATGGCGGAACTGGTTGTCGGTGGTATGCGCAGTAAGCACTCCCAAGAGCTGTCGAGTTGTACAACTTAGAAAATTCATCAGACTGGGTCGCAGTCGCTAACCTACGCGATCTAGTGGTGACAATGCCGTATGATGCCAAGTGGCGCAAATACCGGACGATCTGTCACAATCTCCTGACGCCGAAGATGACAGCGGCCATGCTCCCGATCCAAACTCAGGAGATCGGTCAGCTCTTGTACGACCTCGCCTTCCGGAGCTCCGAGGACTTTGTGTTCCGGGAGCACATCAACCGGACCATCTTCTCTATCATGATGAAGACGGTTTACGGGCGGCGCATTCGGGGGAAGGATGACGAGGATATCAAGAACATGGTGGAGAGTTCGAAGATCCTCGGAAGGCTCGTCCGAGCCGGCGCCTTCATCGAAGACTCGTTCCCGCCGCTCGCCGACCTACCGGAATGGCTGCAGCCGTCAAGAAAGCGAGCCCTGAAGCTGGCTGAGTTCATTCTCTGGGTGAAGATGCGGACGTGGAACATCCTCAAGGACCAAGTCGCCAAGGGCGTGGCCCCGGATTGCTACGCAGCGCAGATGATCAACGCCAACTGGTACCAGCAGGGCTTGATGGACGAGGACCTGGCCTGGCTCGCCGGAGGTCTCGTTGAGGCGGGCTCGCACACGTCCATCCAAACCGTCGTTAACCTAATCTTTTACATGGCGGCTACGCCAGAGGTGCAAAAGAAGGTAGCGGCCGAGGTCGAAAGCGTCATCGGCACGTCGAGAACCCCGAACATGGACGACGTCCCGAACCTCCCGTACGTCTTCTCGTGCGTTAAGGAGATTCTCCGGCTCTGCCCCGTACCGCCGTGGAGCATCCGTCATTTTACCGATGCGGACGTGACGTACAAGGGCGTAGTTATCCCGAAGGGCACCGCGTTAGCCTGCAACACCGTGGCACTGCACTTCGACAAGGAACGCTTCCCCGACCCGTTCGCCTTCAAGCCGGAGCGGTATGCCGAGTACCAGAGGTCGTCGCTCGACTACTCGGCGCTGCCGGACCCCAACGACCGCGACCATTTCTGCTTCGGCGCCGGTCGACGGATATGCCCGGGGATCCGGTTTACCGAGAATAACATGTGTCTGATCTTGGCTAGTTTGATCTGGGCCTTCGAGATCAAGCCAGCGGTGACGCTGGTGAACGGCAAGGAAGAGGAGATCCCGCTGAACCTGTCGGAAGACGCGTTCGACCCGTATCCCCTGCGCGCGCCGAAGCCCTTCCGGGTCCGATTTCTGCCGCGAAGCGAAGAGCGGGCCCACATCATCGAGAGCACCTGCAACGTGGTAGAGTGAAAAGAGTGACAAGTAGACGGAGGCTCTAGCGTAGGGTTGTGTGAGGGTTGTGTAAGGGGGCAGAAGAGGCCGTTACATATCGCATGGGAAGGAAGCATGGGGGTATATGGGTACCTGTTGGAGTGGGCAGCCTGCGCTAGATTTCCAGTAACACCTAGGTTGGATGAAGAAAAGGGTGCCCAAGGAATCCGACGTCGAGAACATGCCACGTAAAAAAAGGGTCATTCAGCGTGACTGTTTGATACTTGATTCAGCTTCTTTCTCGCTCATCGTGTGGAGTATTCCCATCCAAGTCCACCCCGGTCCCCTCTAACCCTGGCCCATCTAACCCTGGTCCATCTAAAGAGTGCTTCTATATGTGGGTATTCATAGAGCCCCTCGCTTAGGCACTTCATCTAGCACGGTCTTATCGATAAAGCTCCTTACTGCACGCGACCCCGCGGCCCCACTGACCCCGCACGCAAGGGGTCTCCGTGGATACCCAACATACTATAAGAAGTGGTCCAGATCGTAACATCACACTGGGCATCATCTCCCTTGCCGCTCGCGAAAAACAATCCGTATCCAGGCATCATCCCTCGCAGATCGGCCACATCAGAGACAGAAAGGGAGCCAGCTCGGAATTCAGTACGATTTTGCTCCGCTCGGTGGCACTCCTTGGCTCACGAACAAGCACACGAGGTGTAACCGGTAATCTATTTTGCTTGATTGCTTCATCTCTACTCATCGGCTACCGACTCCTCCTACGCAGTCTGGTGGCATAGAATGTGCAACTCGCATACCCCTTACAGGCTAATTACCAGTTTCTTGCCGCTGTTCTGCGGGATCCTGTCTAGGCCCTTCTCGATAGCCTCGAAGCCCTTGCCGACCACCTCGACCTTGAGGGGGAGCTTGTACTTCCCCTCTGCTAGGAGTTTGGTGAGGTATTCCATGGCAGCCGGGTTCTTGTCGATGATGTTCTGGCCACCGACCACTGCAAAATCAAGGGTTAGGAACGGAGTCACCCAGCAGTAGACGTGATGATCATCATTCAGGGGTCCGTCCCATACGGGAGGAAATATCGTGGAGTACGGGCCCTCGCGAGACAAGAAAACAACCCCCCACTATGTAACAAGTCCGACACACGGGACAACTTAAAGAATCACTTACAAGTTGATTGGAGGCCGTCGGGGAGCTGCACGCCCGGACGCGTAAGTACCAAGGCGTATAGCTTCGGACCATCGCTCTTGAACGCGTCATAGATAGCCGGCGAGTCGGCAGCGGCCCCCACTGCGTCGAGGATGGCGTCTACTCCTGCGCCGCCGGGGGCTGCGGCCTTCAATGCGGCCGAATCTTCCTGGGCAGCTCGCTCGAGGCAGGTGTTGGCGCCCAGGGACTTGAGGTGGGCGTGGTGAGCGACCGAGCTGGTCGTGATGATGGTGGCAGACGGCAGCGCTAGTCGCAAGAGCTGGATGGCGCCTGAACCTACGCCCGAGCTACCGCCGATAACCAGGATCGACTTCGGCGCGGGGTTGATGGCCTCGGTGCCAGGGAGGCCGGGCAGGGGCACCTTCAGCCCGACAGCAACACCAGCGGCCGCGGTGAGAAAAGCAATCCTACGCGACCACGGGACGGTTCAGCCACTCGTGCGTATCTTAACAGAGGGTGTTCCTACTCACGGGAGGGAGGCGGCCTCTTCGAAGCTCAGGTTTGCCGGCTTCTTAGCGACGACGACGTCCCGGGCGGTGTAGACCTCCTGGAATGTGCCATTGTACTGAGTTCTCTGGATCCAGTTCATGACCTCGTCACCGGGCTTGAAGGACGTGACGCCGTCTCCGACTGACTCTACTACGCCAGAGCCCTCAATGCCGAGAACGGTAGGCCATCCTGGGACAGTAGCGCCGAACCGGAAATTCTTCCAGTCGATAGCGTTGAGCGACAGGGCCTTAGGTCGAATGGTGACCTCGTGAGGGCCGGGTTTGGGGGCCGTGGCCGTGACGAGTTTGAAGGGCCCGCCCTGCTTGATCGCCTGATACTGCTGGATAGACATGGTCGCGCTTGGTTCTAGAGGCCGAGAGGAATGGGAATACCAATGCGGGGGAGCGCAGGACGCAGATCTGGTCAGGTATTTAGAAAATACGGAGAGGCCTGGACACAACAGGCGTGTACGCGTCATGAAACTCGTGAGCAGATTGAACATGGGCAGAGCATCAGAAAGAATTTAACTCGATATGGGGGGTCTAATTGGTGATGTAGACGACATCCATCCCTTTGTTCGAGGTGGAGGTACTGCTCTCCTCTCGGGAACCGTACTCGGGGACAAAGCTCGGGGGCGGATTTAACCTATCGCCGTTATTGGTTTGTAGTGCCACACGCCAGGTGCTCGTATGACGGGAGCGCACCCCGTCGTGCCATGAATATGAAAATCTGACAGTCTGATTTCTAATCCCAACAGCACGTCGGCCAGCGGCGGCAAGCGAATCCTCTCCCGTAGCACATCACAGCCTTATAAACGTAACGAGCCTTGCTTGCGGTGTAGATGCTAAGGGCGAAGACGCAACGACGATCACCGCGACCGGAAAGGAAAAAAAAAAATAAAATAAGTCCCCATCAAGATACTTACTAGACGACACCCAGACCGCCCACCATGGCAAGCGGCGCAGTTAATGCCGCGGACTTAACCGCTCCCGTCCCCGTCGTCTTGTGCGGCAAGACTCTCGAGGTCGGCGAGAAGGTGACGCCGATGATCAAGCCCGAGATCGAAGGTTCGCGTGCTCGAAGCCACCCCCCCCCCCCCCAGCACAAGTAGGTAGCAGCAGCAGCAGCAGCGCTAACCAAGACTCCGGCGCGGCAGTCATCCACTTCGTCAACTCGTACGAGTACGCGAAGGAGAACCTGGGCGACCTCATCGCCGGCCGCGGGCCCAAGGCGCCCAGCGGGAACGTCGTCGGCAGCCACGACTACAGCAAGCCGCCGCGGGCGGTCATCTTCGGGCGGGCCTTCGCGCCCGAGGACGTCAAGGAGCTCAACCGCCTGTTCCGCGGGTCGGGCACGCCCGTCGCCTGGATCGCCGGCGACCCGTCTGTCATCCCGCCGGAGAACCCCGGGCCCGGCTACGCCGAGAAGGCGGCCGACAACGTCAAGAGGGCGCTGAACCGGTGGAAGGACGCGGGGGCCAACAGCGAAGACATCGTGTACTACTAGACGGTGCTTCGCGGCGTTTGGGCCTTTGGAAGGGTCTCTCTTTCTGTATCATTACACACGCCTATGTTATCCCAGCCTAGAACCAGATACTGCTAGGCGCATGGTTACTAGCACACTGAAACTTGTCCGTCCGATCACTTTTACGGTTTATTTTTTCCGAACTCATATGTGAAAAGGCCACATGTTTTTGTAGTGATTACGATTTCGGGCGGGGGATAGTTCATAGGGAAGAGGGAAGTGAGAGGCCTCCTCCCGCGACGTTGGACAAGGCAGAAGTCCTCTCTCGCGCGCACAAAGAGCGTTACCCCCATCTTATATCAAGGCCAAAAGTATCGGTGTTTTTGCTGTCACTCTATTTGCTACATACTTGGTCTCTGTTGGTTGCACACGGAGTTTCGCAAAACACCGCCCTTTTTTGCCTTTTCACCTATTCCACTCAACCCTTGCCATAGGCGCCTCGCGCCTCTTCTAGTCGGGTGACCACGGAGAAACCACCATCTCTAGTCTTGTCGCTGGTTGTGACACGGTGTATTCACGAGGGCAATGTCTAGGTGCGGAGTGGGAAAAGACGGGGCCGATGGGAAATATTGGTTTAAGCCCGTCATCGCGACTCCATTGCCACGATAGGCTTAGGCCGAGGCGCCGCCGACAGGCGACAAAAAGGAGACGGGGAATCGGGAGACCAATCTAGCATTAACTCCGTCTCGCTTCTTCGACGTGGCTTCGTCTAAATACATAGATTGTCTTAAAAAAGGGGGGGGGGGCGAAGCTGATCTGTACGCCCACAGGCTCCCCCTAGTGACTCGCGCCATTCGTCCCGTTCGTCCCGTTCGTCCCGTTCAGCTTGTTCACGCCATTCGTCGCGCCCGCGTGACCGTCGCGCGCCAGCGCCACCTCGATGACTGAGTGCTGACAGCCGTCGGGCCTCTTAATGGCGCGAATTCGCAGCGGGGGGTCGACCTGGGCGACCAGGCTATGCCAGTCGCCCGTCTCGCGCTCCTTCGCGTTGAAGACCTGGCGCATGCAGAGGTCCTTCTCGCGCAGCGCCGCCTCGGCCAGGATCGGCCCCGACCCCGGCGCCGGGATCACCATGTCCATGATCAGGAGGCGGCTCGCCGGGCTCATCGCGCGCGCCAGCTGCCCCAGGATCTGCGCCGCCTTCGCGTCCGGCCAGTCGTGGATGATCATCCGCAGCAGGTACACCGCCGCGCCCGCCACCGGCTGCGGTCCGAAGAAGTCGTGCTCCTGCAGCTCGATCCGCTGCCACGCCGGGTCCTCCGCCGCGGCCGCGGCCTTGCGCCGCCGCGCCCCCTCGATCGGCGTCGCCTGGTCTTGCACGACGAAGCGCAGCCCCTCGAACTCCCGCGCGACCGCGAGCGAGGTGCTGCCGCTGCCGCCGCCGACGTCGACGACCAGCGCGTCCTCGGGAAGCGCGGCCCAGTCGAAGCCGTCGAGCAGGTGCTCGACGCGGGCGCCGCCGTGGACCTTGGACTGGCTCTGCATGTAGGCGTCGAACTCGCGCTCGAGGTCGGGGCGGGACTTGAGGTAGGGGAAGTAGGCGAGGTCGGTGTCGAAGGCGACGTTAAAGGCGGTCTCGTTGGTCTGGAGCGAGTCGCCGAACTTCTCGGTGGCGGCGGCGAAGCCGTTCATGAACGGCACCGTGTGGTTGACCATGTGCAGCATCCACGTCATCAGGTCGGCGTTCTCGACGAACGCGGCCGACAGCGCGTTGTGCGCCGCCTCGCCCGAGGCCGTCTCGCGCAGGAAGCCCGTCGTCATGACCATCCGCGTCGCCGCGCGCAGGCTGTCCTCTGGCACGTCGCACGCCCGCGCTAGATCGCGGTACGACACCGACGAGGGCGGCAGCGGGATGCGCCTGAGCACGTCGAAGCGGCACAGCCAGTTCAGACAGGCGTACTGCTGCTGTTGCACGAGCAGCTCGGTCATGAAGCTGCTGGGGCTGTGCACGGCCTGTTTGGCCCTCGTGGCCAGCTCGAGGATGTCATCCCTAGCGCGGGCGTCCGTCATGGCGTCAACCGAGAGCAGCCCTCGTTTTCTTGGGTGTATATTTTGGGCGAATTCTTCCGTCGTACGAGCAACGGCTACGAGTAAGTATCGAGCACGAGCGGGCGCGATTTTCAGAGCACGTCACTATACAATTCGCAGCAGCGCATCGATCGATTGCTTCCTATCAGGTAGAAGATCTCGATAGGGGGCCCCTTTTCAACGTCCCCTTCGAGGTTTACATATGAACTCTCAGCGATCGCCAAAACCCATCCCACGCTGCTCCCCCGTTCCATTAATCGCTATACTAAGAATTAATCTGCCAGTTCTCTCCCGATCACACGCGTGCGTGACGTCGCAGACACCGTTTCGGGAGATTCGCACACGCATCCCCTATCCAGAGAAAACGTCGCCGTGATTCCCACAATCCCTACAAGTCCCTTGGGGAAGGCCGTCAGGGCCGGTGAAGCAGCCCAGTGGCTATCAGACACACATATGCCCGAGTGCGACAGCGAGGGGGCGGAGGGCATCTCGAGGTAACAAACCGCCAAACCGGCTGTCGGGTACGATTACAGCAGCAGCGGCGGCGGCGGCAGTAAGGATTGCCAGGGTCAAAACCTCCGGGGGGGGGTGTGGGTGCCCGGGGTATACCCGACGGGTACAACGCTAAATCCGACGCCGCCACCGTCGTTACATCGCTTGGGAACAGGCGACGGCCCGTGGCCCGCCTGCCGCAGGTACCCCCCCGGCACCACGCCAAGTAGCTCCCGGGTATCTCTCGGGTATATGTGGGCAGTCGCTTGTATCCCGGTGCCCTGTTCCGCCAAGCAGACATCCATGGTCACGGAAGCGGTGCACTATTTCCAGGCTAGGAGGTACCTAGAGGTAGGTAAGTTAGGTAGGCTCGCGCCCCTGGGACGGCGCTGTGCCGCGACATGAAACGATCGCTGGCTTTTTTTCTCCCTCGCGCCGCTCAAAGGCGTTAAATCCACCACCCAGATTCCCTCGCAGCGTCACCTCTCGCATGTGTGTCTAACCGTGTATGCAAATCCCATCATGCTGGAAGCCGAATAGGGCGAGGTCGCGCTAATATACACCCGTGTGCAGCCTGGGCAGTCCAGGATCCCGCGCTGGGAGTTGGCTGTCTGTCTGCCTACCACCGCGATACCAACCTGCTGCGTATTAGCGTGTGCGTGCCTCCCTCCAGTTTTCCGGCTCGGTGCTCGCGCTCCGCCCGCTCACTGGCGCTGTCCCGTGGCGACCACCCACTTGCAAGATCAGCGCACTCACGGGCCCCTTCATCTGCGTAGTGTTGGCTCGGCACCGGTGTAGATAAGCGCAAGCAGAGCGCAAGACGCGGGCACCGATAAGCGTCAGCTTCCAGGTGGGCGGCATCGACTGCGTTCGCGGGATCGAGCCAGTTGTCCCATGCAAGGTTATGGCGCCGGGACCTGATCCCAAACGGGCGCTGTACGGAATGGGGGGTAAGCCGCTGGAGCGCCAAGGTCGAGAGATGCCTGTTCGGATTATGTGCTGGGGAGTTGATTGGATCTGCCGACGAGACATACTACGTAGCCGTGGGCTGCTACAATAGCCAGACCGTCAGCGTGATTATGGTGCAGGCGGGCGAATTCGTCCGAGGGCACGTCGCTGATGCTTATCGTACAGCTTATGATTCCAGAACAAGCCGCAGCGCTTTGGGTGTGTTGGGCTGCCTTAGGCTGGGTACTTGTGGTGCCCGGTACCTACCAGGGTACATCGGTCCCCTGCACCGTCCCGGCTTGGCTGGTGGCCTAGCGCGCTAGTCTGGGTAGTCCCCGGCCAAGCCAGGCCTAGAAGGGGATCGTGCAGCAGCCCTACCGGCTGGTCTACAGCTAGGTACAAATACGGTACAATCTGAATCCGGCTTGTGCACCAGGGATGGCAACGCCGTCATGCCATAGGTAATATTACGATGTCCAGAGCTGGAGACGCCCTCCCTCCCATCCTCCCTTCCACCCTCCCGTCCGTCCCCTCGTCCTCCCCCGTTTGCTAGGCCCCGAAAGCGCGAGGGGTTCCCAGCGGGCAAGGAAAAGCTGCTCAGATCCCAGCAGGCGTCGTTGTACACGCGACCCAGGGGAATACCCAGCTCGGAATGCCCGTACGCCCCTATTCCGAGGGGGTCGCTACGCGGGCGCCGGCGTTAAACCCAGCTTTTCATCGATATTACTGTTCCAACTTACCAATCCGGGCCATTCCCCTGCCCGGACTTAAGGAAGCTGTGTTCTGACCTGGCATATAGGGGCGCACGGATGCCCTACTAGATACCTACGTGAGCGTGCGACCGTCGACGGATTATTTCATTTAATCTTGATCCCCTCCTGTTCCAGCCTTGCCTCCGTCGAGCCAATCCGTAACAGGAAACCAGACCACCCGTCACCACGCGTGAATAATGCCCTCGTACGTTGTCACCGGCGTTTCGAAGGGCCTGGGCGTAGGTTGCAATGAAGTCACTGCTGCGTGTCGTTGCATATCCGGCTGACCGTCATGTTGGGTTGACCGCTATAGTGGGAGTTCCTAAACCAGCTCTCCAGCGACCCGAAAAATACCGTCGTGGGTATCGTCCGGAACAAACCGCCGACCGACGCGCGGGTGGCCTCCGAGCTGCGCGGACGATCAAATATCAAGATCCTGGAGGCCGACCTGACCAACTACGACCAGTTGAAGGTGAGAGAATAATAAGAGACTGAAAAAGAAAGAGAGGCTGTGAGGAGGAGAAAGAGCGAGAACGCCAGCTTACTCCTCCCTCATCCCCCCTCCATCCCCCCCCCCCCCCCGCGCTTTTTCTTGAACGGGATCCCGTCGAGGCAGCTGTCAACTTCTAACATCAAATCCCGTGGCAGAGAGCGGCCTCTGAAACTGCAGAGATTACGGGCGGCAGCCTCGACTATCTCTTCGCCAATGCGGCATACGTCACGTCCTTTGATACTTACGATGGCATCGGTGTCTTGTGAGCTGCAGCCCGTCTCTCTTTCATCTATTTCGCCCGCCCGTATGTCCGGGCTCGTAGGATTCGGTGGCTAACTGGGCCGCGGGAGCGGGGGGCGGTCCGGGTAGGGGGCAGAAGCCTCAGGAGCTGTCGGAAGAGTTCCGCCAGCTGATGGAGACCAACGTGCTCGCCAACATCCACCTGTACAACTTGTTCATGCCGCTGATCCTCAAGGGCGACGCCAAGAAGGTCGTGGTTATCACCAGCGGCTTGGCCGACATCGACTGGACCAACGAATACGATCTCGAAACGACCGCGCTCTACGCCACGAGCAAGGCCGCCATGAACATGATCACGGCCAAGTTCAACGCGCAATACAAGAAGGACGGCGTGCTTTTCCTCAGCGTCTGCCCAGGCTTAGTCGAGGTCGGCCACTTCCAGGACCGTACGGTTCCCATCCCACACCTTCTTCCCTCCCCCCCTCAGGATCTCCCTCGAAATATGTGGCTAATCATATTTGTCTCCCGTCTGCAGCCAGCCCGAAGGAGCGAGAAACATTTCGAAAAATGTTGGTCAAATTCAGCAAGTACGCGCCCAACTTCAAGAGGCCAGATACTCCGGAGGTGGCTATTAAGGCCGTCCTGTGGGTAGTGCACAGCTCGAGCATCAAGGACGGAGACGGCGGCCGGTTTCTGTCTCACTTTAAAAATAAACAGTGGCTGTGAGGGATATTCTACGTACATATATATGAGATGCATAATAATGGCTCCGTGGCTTGCGGAGAAGGGACGCCAAACTGTAGATGGTATTATGCGCTGGGAGAGATTGTGTGGCCAGCAATGGACTAGATAGCTTCGTCCCCGTATGTATGTACAAATAAATAACTGCACGAGACACAATCCCACTGAAAGTGAAACCGGCAGTCCCAAGAGGGAACAATGCCGCGCGGACTATCCCGGCGCCACCCACCTGAGGCGCTCTCCGCCATGCGTAGAGTCAGCGTCTCTGTAGGGCCCTAGTGTTGCTTCGAGCAGAAGTTCACGGGATCCTAATATTAGACACATTGTCATGATAAGGAGGGGTGGATTCTTGCTGATGGCACCGAGATCCTCAGCTCGACGTCTTGTCCGACCAGGTTCTGAGCGAAGTCCGGAACGGTGGCACTGCCGCTCGCAGCGCCCGCGTATGCGCTACCCATCGAGAGCCGGAGTGACGTCTTTCCGGCGACTGTGACGCATGCCGCCACATCGAGCACATGCTCGTAGCGAGCAAGACTTTCCGATCAAGGTCTCTCCAGCGACGCGCCCTGCTACGACGCAGACGGACCCTCCCAGCGCCTAGAGCGGGGGCGAGGAGCTGGCCGGAGACATCGAGGCGAGCTTAGATGGTCACCCGTCGCCCTCGCGACAACGACTGAGCGAGGGAGGAGGAAGCGGCACGCGCGAGACGAGATACACCTCGCCGAGCCTGACCCTGTGCTTCGCCTATCCCGCCACGCTCCATCCTGGCCGATCCCTATCCTGGGTGGACAGTCACCTATCCAGCCCGACTCCTCTGCGTCTAGCCGCCCTTACCAACTCGGTGCGGCTCGGCGTCGATCGCCATCTTGACAATATGCTGCCCCCAGCGCCTCTCTGCGTCCTGGTGATTCGCGTCCGGGCACCCCCTCTGTCTCGCCCCAGCTGGCGCGAGTTACCGCGGAACCCCCGTGTTGACTTGGTGTTCGTTTTGAGGATGACGGTATGCCGTTTTAGGGGTTGGACGCTGCTGCCTCGCTAGAGTCCGGACAGGGGGTGAGATCTCCGTGTGCTCTAGATGCTGACAGGGGTCGGGCCCACCCACCTAGGTTCGCTCGACAGTGGCACGCAGTTGACTCGTTCTGCCGCAGCACCCGAGGGCGTGGAACCTGGACTCAGTCGCCCTCGAGGGTGGGGGACATCGGCTGGACAGCGCCGGAGAGCATCATGTCAGCATATTCCCACGGAGTACGCGTAGGAGAGGCAGAGCCAAGCTCTCACAAGGGGGGGGGGGGAGGTGCGCGCGTCCTAGTCCAGATGCGATCACGATACCATCACCTTGGGAGACCCGCACTTTTGCTGAGATCCAAACGGGTCTCATGACCCATCCAAGTGGTAAGCCCCGTCGACAAGGCATCACTCATAGGTCAGCTTCGTGCATCTCGCACGTGGCAGGAATTGGCGCTCGACCAGGGTCCGTATAGGTACGTAAGGTAGCTAATCCACCTTGAACGCTCACGAAATGCTCTCTTTTCTCTCGTCTACGGCTGAGGAGTCTTGTCGAGGTCTATGTATCCCTCGGACCCGTGCCGCAAACTCCATGTCTCGTAAAAGGAATCCCGGGATTTTATCGTAGTTCTTCGGCAATCCTAACCGGCAGGGTAGGCATTAGCAGCAGCAGACTTAGGACAAACTGTAGTGTAGATATACCTAGGTGCAACAGAGCATGGAGTTTCCCCCACAACATCGAGAGCAGGGTACCGTTGTGAAGGAAAGGAATTAAGGAAGGGGAAAAAACGTGGCAGTTAAGCGACAAGGTGAGCCTCATCTTCAGCTGCAATCTGCATACGTGTATGTAATGTGAGTAGCATCTATCGACGGGAGCGTAGATGCACGTATAGACGGGCGTAGGTACGGATGGATCCAGGCAGGGGGGTGGATGGCCGCTGACGCAGGTACTGGAGTCAACGCCAGAGCGCCTAAAAATAACGGGATAAGCCCTAGCACCAGCCTCGTCCTCAGCTGTAATCATGACAGTTACTGCTTCGGTAGTATGGCTATGCTCGGTCGCCTGCCAAGCCAGGGGTTGAGTCTATGCGATGATAGGGGTTAGTCATAGGCGAACCCACCTTCAATGAGACAAATCTCATTTATCCTCTGCGTAACGATCTTAATGATCGAGTCGATAACCATGTGATGGAATCCTGCCACTATTATTACTCTTATCAGTTGCTGAGGTAGCCCGTCTGCCTCATCTTGCCAGAGGATCGCGGGGGCTGTAACGAGATAAGGGGAACCGGAGGGGGCTCTGTCGTAGGTATAAAGCGAACGATCTGCCGGCACAGAATGGACCTCTTTCCCTCGATACCACGGACATCCAGCTTCTTGTTCTATTCTCCGTTACAATACACAACAGTCTCGTTCGTGCCACTGTTACAATGCTGTCCCGAAACACCCTCAACGTCTGGGCCGCCTTCGCCTGGGCTGCCGCCGCCGTGCCCACCTTCCAAACCAGCAGTGGTGAAGGCCTCGTGCAGCTTCTGGAGAGGGCGTCATCTCCCACCTTGAACTTCTCGACCTCTCCCGAGGCCTCGATCGTATATCCCGACGACCCTAGCTGGGCGGCCGACACCCACCGTTGGAGTCGCTGGGCCCCTCCGGATTTCGGTGTCGCGTTCCTCCCCGCCACCGAACAGGACGTCACCACGGCTGTAAGTTGGCCCCGAGGATTCTTATAGACTCACAAGAGCTTACACGTTACGCGTAGTTGAGATACATTACGGATCGCAACATCTCGTTCCTGGCCACGTCAGGCGGCCACGGTAGTACCGTCACCCTTTCTAGTGTCGAGGACGGTGTCGCCATCAACCTCGTGAACTTCAACAATGTTACCGTGAACGATGCCGACGAGACCATTACCGTTGGTGGTGGTGCTCACTTCCGTGACGTCTGGGTAGCTGCCTACGCGGCTGGCAGGGAGTTGGGTTAGTACTATATCTCCCCCTCCCCCTATTTGGCCTCCTGTCAAGTGAGATTGGTTTGCTAATACGTACATACACAGCTCTCTCGACTGCTTGCGTCGGTGTCGGAGGTACCACCGTCGGCGGTGGTCACGGATGGCTTCAGGGCAAGTATGGTCTGGTCATCGACGAAATCGTCAGCATGCGCGTAGCTCTCTGGGACGGCACCATCGTCACCGCGTCCGCCACCGAGAACTCGGATCTGTTCTGGGCCATGCGGGGATCCGGCCAGAACTTCGGTATCCTGCTTGAGTTTACGTTGAAGACTTGGCCGCAGACCAACGGAGGCAACATTTACAATGTCGACATGTCCTTCACCGACGACTCTCTCGAGGGCGTCGTCCGCGTCATCAACGAACTCATCCCGAACCAGCCCGCAGACCTTGGTATGGACTTTGTCATGTTCACTAACGCGACCACCAACACTGTAAGTACTTGTAAACCCCTCTCTAATCGCTAACGCATAGCTGACTGTATAATTAGCCCCAGCTCTACCTCGGCTTAGTTTACTTCGGTGACCGCGCCAAGGGAGACCAACTCGCCTCTCGCTTTGCTACCTCGAAGAAGGCCGGCATTCAGCGCACGCATTACAACGCAACTGTGGCTCGGTGGGACGAGCTCTCGGATGTTGCTGTCGGCGGCTTCATCGACGTGGCTTGCTCTGGAGACAACACCGGCGATGTCGATGTCGAGAACCTCAAGGTCAACGTTTACACCGCGAACCTGAAGCAGATAGACGTACCCCAGACCCGGCAAGTCTACAACGCCTACAAGAACTTCATCAGGAAGAACCCCGCGGCATCCAGCTCGACCGTACTGTACGAGGTATTTTCGCAGGAGGCCGTCAAGGCGGCGAAGGATGCGGACACGTCCTACGGCAACCGCAACCAAGCCAACGTCCTTCTCCTGCTCCAGGGCATCTTCGTCGACGACAGCGTCGGCCCCGCCGTCGACGCTTGGGGCAAGGAATGGCGCGACAAGATCACCAAGAGCTCGGGATACCCCAAGCAGTACGTGTACATGAACTACGCCCACGGCGACGAGCCGCTCGAGTCCATGTACGGCTACGAGCCCTGGCGTCTGGAGCGTCTTCGCAAGCTCAAGGGGAAGTACGACCCCCACGGATTCTTCAACCACTACAACTCGGTGCTCGGCACGACAGCACAGGGTTACTAAGGGCTCGAGCGACGAGCGATTATAATCCGGGCGGGCGATTCGGCGGCTTTTCGACCTGATCCCTTTTCACTCTTTCTGACCCCTTTATAGAGAGATTGGCATACCATAGAGCTTATAGATACGCGCTTCAAAGCCTATAGACATACTGTATAACTAGCTCATAGATATTACATTGTACAACATACCAATACACTTTTTGCAGTTTTCAACGCATGATAACATATAATACAAGCTCCGAGATGCACTTGGTGACGGATCTACTCCCACTGTAAGCGCTACAGCAGTAGATGTTATTAATAATTTCTATTAACGCAGCCACGTAATTCCCAATGCATCAGTGTGTTGACAATACACACTTCTGTACGAAGACGTGTTCCAGAGTTTAAAGACGCAGCCGCGAATGCCACCGGTCGGAAGAGCACATTCGCGTTCAAGATATATATAGGATTTTTGGTGATCTGAGTGATTTTGTTTTTGAGATTTCGAATATTTGTATGAAACCATGACTATTAATACAGTCTGCCGTTGAAATTCCCACTACACCCTTGGATCCTGCAAACACACAGATTTCATTATGATTGACACATGCTAGGGCAGAATCAGAACACATTTACACACAAACCAAGAACTCAACAACTATGATTGCTAAAGGGTATTGTATATTTATTTGTTGCGATTATCAGGGTGTTTTTGTATGACCTCAGGGTCAGAGGAAGCCAATTATATGGCCAAGCTCTCTGATTGCGGTATGTATAGAACACACACCACTGTATGCTATCACCATATTCTCGCAAACAAGCTCAATAACGCGATCCTTCTTCCCGGACCTTCGACCTGGTTCAGTGTTGGGGTACTAAGGATATAAATAACGGTATAAAAAGCCATACTTCCCCAGTCCTGCCTGGACGGCCATTTTTATCAACTACCTCCACAACCACGGCTAATATATATTCATGGTCAACGCAACAGATCAGATTCTCTCTAAATCATTCTCAACTTGAGAAACCAATCCTATTGATGCCGGTCTTGTCTGATACCTGGAATGTTATGATCCTTTAACAGCTCGACACGTAAAATCCTATATGTATATATTGTCATACATCCACCTTTGCGCATCCGTCTCTTTCACCAGTATCTCTTTTCTCAATGTCGGTCAACGTCAGATAAAGCAAGCTGTCGTGTAAATAGAGATGTAGAGTCGCCAAGGACTAAACATGGATATAGACGAATCCATGCCCACCACCTCTACGCCAACTGATGAACCCGGCAGCGAAGCCGATATAACCCTCCTACCATACAGACAGAGGGGACAGACCAGTAACTCCCGATAATGACCCGAGTTGGGAGCCACGGGCGTGTCAAATGGTCACAGAAATTTAAGCACCTCAGGCACGGCTTGGAATCGCGCACCGAAGGAGTCGAATTTGCTGTACGGTGATCCGTTCGGACTCGAGTAGCTGGATGACTGGCAGTTCCCCTTTTGGGCGTCGCGGATGGGAATCTAGATACTCGGCATTAATTCAGTGTCGTTTCCAGCCCACTTCAAACCTACCAGAAGAGGCAAAATAACCAGTTCCTATTTAACGTCGGCGAAATCGCGGTCACGTATCCGCCAAGCGCTCCCAGAGTCTGGAGATTCAATCGTGTAGCTGCAGTCGTGCGCGGCGTCCAACAGATTCCTGACCAGTTGCTGTTGTTATGAGGCGTTTGTGGGAAAGTTACAAGCCCCCTACTTCCTATCCTGCATAGTTAGACATTCCCTCGATACCTTTTTGGGGCCGTCGATGTTTCTCATCCATCCTGTGGAGCATCCTCGGGGCGGAGACGGCATGACCTGTGTGGGTGGCCCGGTAGGGACCACATCGGGAGGGGGCGGTTGGAGTATCATTAGAAGTCCTCGGGTCCGTCTAGCATCGAGAGTCGTTTCCATTACGTCTAAACATCGCCCAACGGCGACTGGAGGGACCCAGCAACGGTCCGACACGACCTCGAGGGGGGCCACAATAGTTTTGACTGACCTGGACCCAGCTTGACTACCTCAACTCAAGGCGACGACCAGTGAGGAACCCCGTCACGCGACGTATATCTCAGTGGCACTCTCCTGATTCAATCTTGACCCTGTAGCGAGCTTTCGCCAAGTGAGGTTTTCCGATCCACGGGGCATCGTTCCTTGTTGCGGCCACCTAGAGCCTACCCATATTGTCTGGGGGCTACCTGACTATTTCAACAAGATGTACCATTGCGGACAATGCGCGGGTACTAGTTCCTCCGAGTGCTTCTTCATCTAATGTTCCCCTTTTCCGTTATCGTAATGACCGCCGCAACCCATTGCTGGGCACGTCAAAGTATATCCAATCGGTGCAAATAGGGCGCACGTAGCACTAACGTCTGAAAGGGGGGGATACCACGAGTAGGTCACCTCTCTGTCTCGATACCGATCAAGAAGTCCCATGCTGGTCCTCCCGGTACCTACCAAACACATCAATACGAGCAAGCAGCCATTTGTGGTGTACCCGCCTTCGCTTGGGTCACGATAGCAACCACCAAAACGCATCTGAGGTACCAGAGGGGTTATATGATCAAACAGCCCACGCCCATTGCTTTTGGTATTTTACTTCTGACGCCTTTCAATGGCGGGTGGGTTCGAGATACCACGCAGACCCCTCTTCTTTGGCCCTTTTCTTTTTTTTGAATACCATCTCAACGGCCACTCGGATGACGGACTCCTTGCGCTCAACGAGCGTGGCGCGGCGGGGATGCCATATATGAGCTCCAGGACAGCCCCGTAGGAAGTTCAAGGGATCTGCAGGACCTCCTTAACCAGCAATGGTTAGCCAGACTACCTGTGGGTACCTGTACCGAAGGGAGGATGGGTTCCTTGACCCAATTGACATTTGTATTCGGTCCTTCGATCACCCGATTCCGCGACCAAACACCTTCCCCCATAATGAATCACGGCTCGACTTTTCTTCCGTAGCCGCTGAAGCCAACATATAAATTTCTCAACAGGACATCATCCCGTCCCTCCCGTCCCTCTCTCCCTTCCCACAAAGCCCCCCCAAAACTCCCTAAATCACAATGTCTGTAGGTGGGCATTATGACAGGAAGAATGCGGCTTTCCAGACCTCGCGTCGGGCCCATGTTGTCTGTTGTCCTCTCGCCGTCTAAGTGTTTCATCGCCCAAAATTGATGCTGCGGCTCATGGTCTTCCCGCGGTCTACCCGTATACGCTGTTTCAGCACCAGGCGGGCTCCGCGCGCAAGCTATGGAAGTTTGGCGGCGGGAATGGACGATTCTAATTTCCAGACGGTGTCGTCGCCACGGTAGTTGAAGAGGTTCGCGTCGGCATGTCCCTTATTAGAGGGGTCTCGTGTCAGCGATGGGTTCAACGCGGCACGTTCTGTGGCGAATACTGCACGCGCATACGATGCCGTCGCGTCTCAGGCACCGGCTGCATTGTTGTCGCGTTGCGGGGGGGGGCGAGGGAGGGGCATCGCTGCACTAGCCCGCTAAGGTGCCTAGGCGGGGAGGCAAAATTTGGCCCCTGGCAGGGCACTTTAGTGGGCAACGTGCTAACAATAGGCAACTTGATAGGCAACTTGGGTGTGGGTGGGTCTGACGGTGGTTGAATTAAGCTACTTGACTAGTCACGTGGCGACTGTTTAACTGGCCATTGAATCATCAGGCTGGCTCGATAACGCACGTGCCTCGTTGTTACACACACTTGCCTACCAAGTCACAGGCCCGGGTAGGGGATCAATTCGAAAGCCTCGAGTCGCCCGCAAGCACGTAGGTGAATGGCGTCGCGCCAAACTGAGCGAGTGGGCTTCGCTGTTGGCAAGTTGCCATTCTGCTAATAAGGACCTGTGGATAACGCTAATAGCAGGGTAGTAAAGGAGAGTGTGAATGCGTGCAAACCCGAGGATCCACGGCCCGCCAAGACGTAGTCACCATAGCCGTCATGGGGAGACATGGGGAGGCAGGGGCACCTTTCCTGCGATTCGAGTATGAAATTTCTTAACTCCGTTGCGCGAACCGAACGAGATCGTATATATACGCACCCCCCAAAAAAGAATGAGAGATATGGTAGCCATACCTATTCTCCACATCACCCTGGAGACCAGTGTGTGCCCTAAGGAAGCGTTATGGCGGCCTGGCAACCGAGTTCGCCTCGCGAGGTGACTACGTTAGTTGGCTACATCAGTTGGCCACGCACCCACAGGAGGGGCCGCACGGTAAGAGAACAGTCCCCATTGTGAATAATCGAGTAGTCGTTCCGTCGTTGCCCCGTCCAAGCCGGCCCATTGTGGAGGCCCCAAAAATAGGGCAGATTTCCATCTACCCAAATATAAATTTATGGACTACCTCCTAATCCTTCTCCCCAATTCCTCCCCATCCTTCCCCCAGAACACTCCCTACTATCCCTACTATCCCTACTATCCCTACTATCCCTACTATCCCTACTATCCCTACTATCCCTACTATCCCAACCGCAATTTACCTACCATACCAGTTCACCTTCCCATCACAATTCATCAACCACAACTTAGTACCTCTTACATCTCCAGAAGATCTAGGAACTGCTACTATCACCAGCCAAAGGGGAACTACAGGCTAACTCCATACACCTACAGGTCTTCGGCCTGACATCACCGGCCGAAATTTACTACCTCTGAGTTGTAGTATTTACATATCGGACTCTGTACCCGATATGACCCAAAAATTTCCCACCAGTTTCCCTCAGCCCATAGCTTCATTCAACTCCTATCCCACCGACCCGCATGTCGGCGAATACGTCACGATGGACCCGCACGCTCACCCTCCCCCCAGTGAGCAACCCCCTCGAGTGTCCCACGAAGATGTGGTAGCGATGATGGAGTCCGCCGTTGGCGAATTCCAGGGCTTCATAAAACGCCCGGGTGACTTCGAGGTCATCATGCGGGAGTATCTCAGCCTCCATAACAAAGACACTACGAGGGCAATCGGTATGCCGACCACCTTTGGCGAGAAGCGGAATCTGGTCCGGGCCCTGTTTGATGCCTGCCACGACTTCGGGCAGATATACGAGCCGGCACACGGCCAAAGTGTCAAGAGACTACAGAACGGTTACTATACCGATCTCGAGAACGAGCTAATCCTCTGGAAGCTCCTGGTAAGTATTCCCTAAGACTTAGCTGATGACTCCGAACTAACCGTTGCTTTTCTTCAGGAGTCAATTTGTGAGGCCCAGCGTGGCCATTGCTTAATTCCTCAATACTCCAATTGTCGGGATCGGGCCTACGACCATTACGACAACTTTCAGGCCCGGTTTAACTCCACCATTGAGGCCCTTCGTGTAGGTTTTGAGATGCTACCATTCATAAATAGCCTTGCTAACTGTTGTATAGTCTTCGAAGGACCTTGTCGCATCCTTATTCAGCAACGAACAGTTTGTTCATCGGCTCGCGTGGCGGCCCAAACATGAGCTTAAGGCAAGTCACCCATTGTGGATGATGCCACACGGCGTTACCAGGAGATGAAACTAACTATCTCGCAGCTCAAGGCCACTAACAGAAACCTCAACAATAAGAGGGACATGCAGAAGGCGATCGGCATGCACGTCGCGGCGCGCGACGATATCCACGAAAACAACGATGGCGAGCTCGTTGATTCCAGCGGCCAAGTCTACGGCCGAGCGAAGAAGCGGTCGAAGGCACTCGATAACACGCTCTCGAAAGTGCAGCCTCGTAACCGCACTACTACCAGTAACCGACGCGGTCGCGTGACACCCCCGACCCGCCGAGAAACCACCACCAGCGCCAGCGACAGCTCTCCCGCTGTCGCTGTCCCTGACGCAACTGCCAACGCGACGGTTAGTCGAGAGCCGAGCCATGAGTTCTCGGAGAATTAGGATTTCTCAGGTAACTCTATCAGCGATACGAATATTAAAGTCTCGTCTGCAGACCAACCAAGCTCACCCACGCAATTGGCTAGCCCCCGCGTCCCCCAACCCCTCCCCGACACGATCTCCCCGCCCATGGGAATGAACCAGCCCTTGTCTTCCCTGCCGATTGCCCCCATTCCCCTCGATACCCCACAGAGCCAGCACCTCACGAACGCGGAGCCTGGTTTTGACTACCTCGCTAGCGCAGAGCCCGGTTTTGACAACTTGCCAGCGCCGATCACCGGGCCTATGTCGCTCTTCACCAACGGCCTGGACCCCGACCAGCCCTTCGTCGATCCGTACCCGCCGCTCACCTTCGCCCCGGAGCCCGCGGGGCTGGCGGCCGCTGGCCCCACGACGGAGCAGGCCGCGTGCCTCGTCCGGGACGCCGTCTTCACGGAAACCTTTGACTTTACCGACGACTCGATGTTCCAGACGGTGGTCGGAAACTGGGAATTCGGCAACGTCGACTTTAACTTGGACTTCGGCGCCGGCATGAACGGGACGCTCTGACTCGGGTGCACGAACCGGGCATGGGGCGGGCCCCTGTGGCTCTGACTAGCCGCTCCGTGACGATCTGACGATCTAACGATCTCACGATAGTACGATGTTACGGTTTCCCGACCGTCCCTACTATTCTGCTGTTGCTGTTTCTTCGTTTCCTTCTTCACTCCTCATTATTGCTTTTCATGTGGGATTTACGTTGCTACACACGGTCATTATCACCTAGGGTCGGGATGGAGGGATAACTTCTGGGAACACACTCGTTTTGCCTCCCCGGGGTCTCGAGGGCCGGAGGAGGGCGGAGGAAAAGGTGGCGGCGCAGGGATCGGGAGTTTTGGCGCTAGGGTAGACGGCGCGGGAACTTATGTGATTGTTATGTGATTGCTACCGGATACCCCTTGTTGTTATACGCCGGGCGAGGCTATCCCGAGTCCGGCGTGGATCGGAGGTACTGTACGCGATCTTGTGGCGGTTTGTGGCATTTGTGTAAATTAGGACCAGCACCCCGTCGCGCAGCTGCTCGGTGTCGCGGTCGACAGGTCAGTTTACATGCCATAGACCATGTTTGCTTGTAGCCCAAATAAGATCTTACATACTACGACTTGGACTAGGCCTCAGTAGAAGAAGCATCGAATAATAAAGAAAATAGATATAATCCTGTGCCAATAGTTGTTGGCTCTCGGCAAGCTGCATGTGATTCTGCGTGTGTGTGTGGGGGGGGGGGGTTGCGTATCGCTTGGTCTCTGTGAGCCGTGGAGGGCACAAACAATAATAGAAGACCATCAACTGGCCGTGCCTCATCTACACGCCACGGGCATCCCTCGCAAGAGACGTATGTTTTCATACGATTGATCAGTAAGTATCTAACATAGGCGGAGTGCCTCCATGTCAGCGGGTAGATCTGAGATCGAGCCCCATTGACCATCCCGTCTTGGCGATAATCGAAGGGACTTGCTCGATATGGTCAGATATTCGCGTTATGATTGGCTGCTGCCGGTACCCCTGTCATTGGGGCCTGCAGGTACCCACAGGTACCTCACGGTACGGACCGGTTTGGGTGGGGATGCCTGCTAATACTACAGGTACCCACCTCTAGCACGGACACCTAGAGAGGTACCTATGGATTCCCTTAGGAGCTGCCTTACTTACCACCACCTCTAGGTACCTAATATAAAGCAGATACAGATACCTCCTGTAGTAAGGGGTACTCATACTGGATGCAAAACATATACCTGCCCAGGTACCTCTTATATTAGAATATTTGTACACGCGAACGAGATGACCACGCCGCCTGTCAGACGATACATTGCCTGTGTACCAACTTCCTATGTAAGTGGCAGTTCAGGATGACAGGCAAATGACGACAAGGGACGACGAGGACAGTTACGCTCTGTTACGTCAGCACTTCGGTGGCACTAAAGACAACTCGCCATTCCATGCTCAACCTGGAAGTCTACATGGCTGATCGTCGTATCGAATCTCTCTATCCTCCAGGGAACAGCTGCAATACCCGATCCCAGCCCACTTGTTGTCGTCGTTCCCCTCCTTCCTTGACGTCAACGAACACAATCCGCCACGCGCGAGCCGCAAGGGCGAGCACGTGGTGACCTGCTGTGTTGGACCCGAGGAGTAATGGACATCCTGTTCAGTATAAGAATCGGGCTGGGCTCGCCTCGCCGGGACTTCCCATCTCCAATTCTTGAATCTCCGACTATCTTACCTCAAAGCACCCAGTCGAACAAGTTCTCATGTCGTCACATATCGTCTCCGACACAGCACAGAGGGTGAAGAACATGGTTGTTGGCGAGAAGAACCGCAAGGTCGCCGACCTCGACGCCGTCACCCAGGATGTGTCGCCAAAGGATAGGATCACCTCCGACTTCGGCGTTAAGGAGGGCAACGTGGACGAGTGGCTGCGCGCAGTCGACCAGGACAAGACAGGCCCGGCACTGCTGGAGGATTCATTCTCTCGCGAGAGGGTTCGTCGAGGCAGCAAAACCGCCCATCCGGAATAGCTACTAACTCGTTCAGATTCATCGATTTGACCATGAGCGCATTCCCGAGCGGGTTGTCCACGCTCGAGGAGCCGGCGCGTTCGGCAACTTCCGGCTATTCCAGAGCATCGAGGACGTAACCAGCGCCGGCGTTCTCACCGATACCTCCCGCGAGACACCCGTCTTCGTTCGCTTCTCCACCGTCCAGGGCTCCCGCGGCAGCGCTGATACCGTTCGCGACGTACGTGGATTCGCCGTCAAGTTTTACACGCAGGAGGGCAACTGGGATATCGTCGGAAATAATATCCCCGTCTTCTTCATCCAGGATGCCATAAAGTTCCCCGATTTCGTCCACGCCGTAAAGCCGGAGCCCCACAACGAGGTGCCGCAAGGGCAGACTGCGCACAACAATTTCTGGGATTTCGTCTTCATGCACACGGAGGCCACCCACATGTATATGTGGGCAATGTCGGACCGTGCCATCCCCCGCTCCTACCGCATGATGCAGGGCTTCGGCGTCAATACGTTCGTGCTGGTGAACAAGAAGGGCGAGCGCCACTTCGTCAAGTTCCACTTCACGCCCGAGTTGGGTGTGCACTCGCTGGTCTGGGACGAGGCGTTGAAGATAGCTGGCCAGGATCCCGATTTCCACCGCAAGGACTTGTACGAGGCGATTGAGAACGGGGCATATCCGAAGTGGAAGTTCGGCGTCCAGTTGATTCCCGAGTCCAAAGAGCACGATTTCGACTTCGACATCCTCGACGCGACAAAGCTGTGGCCTGAGGATCTCGTCCCGGTTCGATATATCGGCGAGCTCGAACTCAATAGAAACGTCGACGAGTATTTCACCCAGACCGAGCAGGTGGCATTCTGCACATCCCACATGGTTCCAGGGATTGCCCACTCGGACGATCCTCTTCTCCAGGGACGCAGCTTTAGCTACTTCGACACGCAACTCTCTCGACTTGGGATCAATTGGCAGGAGCTTCCCATTAACAAGCCTGTCTGTCCTGTTATGAATTTCAACCGCGATGGACAGGGTCGACACACGATCAGCAGAGGAACGGTCAACTACTGGCCGAATAGATACGAATTACGACCACCTGCCCAGGCATCCGAAGGCGCGTATCCGGAGCCCAATTTCCCCGTGCGAGGGGTCAAGGCGCGAACCAAGAGCACCAAGTTCAGAGAACACTACAACCAGGCCCAACTGTTCTATAACAGCCTCTCAAAACACGAGAGGCAACATGTTGCGGCCGCTTTCTCGTTCGAATTAGATCACTGCGATGACCCTATCGTATACGAGCGCATGTCGCAACGATTGGCAGAGATTGATCTGGGACTGGCCCAGACGGTGGCCGAGATGGTTGGAGGCACCAAACCTGACAAGGAGACGAGGGAAAATCACGGCAGGAGGGCCACTAAGCTCAGCCAAGTCGAGTTCCGACCCGACGAGCCAACTATCAAGAGCAGACGCATCGCTATACTTATAGCTGACGGATTCGATGGAGCGGTCTACGCCGCCATTAAAGCGGCAATTCAGACATCCAGCGGGCTCCCGTTTACGATTGGTACGCGCAGGTCGGAAATATTCGCCGCTAATTCGTCCCAAAACCCGGGGAGCGGCGTAAAGCCCGATCATCATCTCGAGGGGATGCGATCCACGTTGTTCGATGCCGTATTTGTCCCCGGCGGTGCGGAGTCGATCGAGACCTTGTCCGAGAGCGGGCGGGCGCTGCACTGGCTTCGTGAAGCGTTCGGCCACCTTAAGCCTATCGGTGGCACCGGGGAGGCGGTCCAACTGTTCCAATTAGCATTCCCGATACCCGAGATTCGGGTCTCGACAGATAGCAGGCCAGTCGAATCCTACGGAGTAGTAACGATGAGCAAGGCAGCCCCTGACAGGCTAAGGGAAGCCGTAGACATCGTTAAGGAGGGGACGGGGTTCTTGGACAAGTTCTGGTACCAGATTTCGCAGCACAGAAATTTCGATAGGGAACTGGCGGGGCTCAACGCGCGGGTCGCATATTGATCATGGTGATCAGCAGGTGGTAGTACGCGTGGCAGGGATCTAGAGATGGGAGTCATTCGTGGACACTCTTGAGCGATAGCGACGAGTTCCAGATTCCGGGAAAGTAATTCACACTCTCTCAATCCCAAGTAGAAGGCGAGACTGCGGATAATGGCCGTTGTGTTAGTTGGCTGCGTGCGGGGGTCCGACCCGGACACGAGGAGCCATTTCAGATGGAGGGGAACCGGAGCGGCTCTCATGTGACGTGGAGTACACAGACCCTCTGCCCCTATTTCTCCGGAAGATGTGATTCTGCAATCGCCTGCATTTTAATCCGCCCTTCGTCGGTCGGGCTTTCGAAGCCAGCTGCCGTGCTGGCCGTACCACGGACGCTGCGTGCCCAGAAATCTGTGAGTGGTGATTGCTTGGCGGCGGCGTACAGGCTGCACTGGTAAAGGCAGCTAGGTTGGATTTGCGCCTCGTAATAAATAAGAAATGCCAGAAACGCTTCGAAACGGGACGGCCATTCCGCTGACCAATTCCAGACCAGAAGGGAGGATCCCCACAGGTGGAGTGGTGTATGGAACCAGAAGGGATCTCGCTATGGGAATGGCAATTAGCAAGAATATAGCCGGCACCGGTTAATCCGGAGATGTTTCTTAGCAGCCTGTCGGTTGATCGAAACAATGCCTTCAGTCGTTATTGCGCGGAAAGGCAGGGTGAAAGCATGGGCAGAATATCAGACAACGCGCCCGTAAGCAAGATGTGCTATCGGCTGCGGAGAGAAGACATGGTGTCGTGGTCTCTCCGCAGTAATATAAAGGCGATACGGGGGCTAAGGCGCCAGATCCTAGGTAGGCGGAAACAGCAGCAGCATCGTGGATGGCGTAGGCCCATGTGTTAGGCGTAATATATAAACCGGAACCGACACCTCGAACTCCCGTAGCGAAGTCGATCGAACCGTCTCTGCTTCTCCCCTCTCGCCGCCCCTCTCTCATCCGAAAGTCAGTCAACAACCCACCTGCGTCGCGCCCAAGGTAATCCGCAACCAACATGCGCGTAACCACTCTACTAGCCGTGGCCTCGGCACCCCTCGCGGCGCTCGCGGCGCCTGTGCCGGTCCCGCTGGCGGCAGTCGCGGCTCTCATCGCGAGGCAGGGGACCTCCAAGTTCTGCGAGCGGATCACGCCGGCGCCGTCGGCCGAGGAGACGGAGAAGCGGTTCAACGAGTTCGCGGACCTGTTCCTCGTCAAGAAGGACGTGTACAAGGCCTTTGAGTACATCTTGCCCGAGTACATCGTGCGTCGAGCCCTTCCCCCTTCCCCCTCCTCTCTCTCTCTCTACTTCCTTGCTCTCCCCTCCCTCTCCCTGAGGATTAGTAAGAGGAGAGAGAGAGAGAGAGACGGCACTAATACGACCGCGCAATATGCAGAACCACAACCCGCTGGCGCAGAACGGCGCGCAGAACGCGCTCAACATCCTGGGGCCGATCTGGGGCAGCCAGTCGATCACGGTGCTGGCCACCAAGTTCGAGGGCCCCATGTCGTGGCTCAACTACCGGAGCGGGTTCGGCACGATCGTGGACCGGTACCGCTGGGAGGACGGCTGCATCATCGAGCACGTACGTAGCGCGCCCCTCCTATTCTTTTTATCTCCCCTCTATCCTTAGCTTCTGGCGGACACGCGTGCTGATGTCAAATGCTGTATCTCGGCAGTGGGACCAAGGAGAGAGGTTCCCGGCGAATTAGGGCGGCACAAGGGTGCGAGGGACTGCGCAGGGGGGTAGAAATTCTAAGGATCGGGGATGCTGTATCTAGATATACGCCATCGCTTTTCCGATGACCTGAATTAGAGGCTTCATCTTGTCGCAGAATCGATTCATGAGACCTTGGGTGAACACGTGTCGCGGGCGCGTCTTGCCGTCTGAGTTGGACTCGTCGTGCCGTGGGAATGGGCGTAGCTAAAGCAAAGAAACAGAATAGAGTACCTAGGTCTAGTTCTAGAGACCTGGTTAACGGTGGCATTGCGGAAGCGGGCAAGCTGGCGGCAAACACGAGGTATGAAGTATTAGTAGAGAGGCCTGTCTATGTAAGCGTGAAGAAGACACGGCTGGGGTCGGCTGGTGGTGAAGGCAGACCATTTACCCGCCTTAGGTAATACCTAGCATTGACGATGGCTGGGCACATCGGGGCCTCGACGCGTTCACTAACAGGTAGCCGACATATGTGCCAATCTATTGTTGGCTCAGCACCTACCTATATGTCTCTGACGCCCGTCTTCTCTGAGCCTTGGAAAAAATGAGCTGTATTAACCTCGCTAAACCGGAAATTTCTGACGTCTCCGTCTTCTTATGCACTCGGAGTATCTTCAGCGCTGGCGACGCACCTACTGATTCTATACGCCTACACTTGTCTAGACACTCGTCACCATCCAAACCCTGCGGGAAGGACGCAAGGGAAAGAAAAAAAAATTCCGTCAGTATGCCTAAATTATATCTATCCGGCGTCTCATTCCGCGCTGTCTGGGGCTACCCGCCCTCCCATTCCAGCCCACCACTCTATCGCCGATGGTGCCGCGGCCTCAGCGCAGGCGGCGGTTCTGCTGGGCGTCGTGGCGCTTCTTGAGGCGGTAGGCGATGGCGCGCTTGCGGGCGGCGGGGGACTGGGTGAAGGCGGCGGAGCCGCCGAAGGGGCCGGCGACGGCGCTGTTGCGGACGCGGACGATGCAGACGTTGTCGGCGCCGCCGACGCTGCCGTCGCAGGTCATGCCGGCGGGCATCTGCACGGTCAGGGGGAAGTCGGTGTTGGTGGCGAGCGAGAGCCCGAGCACCGCGCCCGGCACGTCCTGCGTCACCTCGGCCGTCTGGAACGCGGCCGCGTCCGTCCCGCCCGACGTGCCGTCCACCGCCGCCTCCAGCGGCCCCGCCCCGTCCTGGTTGATCTGCCGGAACGTCATCGTGATCGACCCGTCGTCCGCGCACGTCGGCAGCCCCGCCGACGCGCCCGCGCCCGCCGTCGCCGCCACCCGCGTCTCCGCCGCCGTCTGCGTCTTGTTGCCCCGGCTCCCGCCGCTGCCCCCGCCGCCGATCAGCCCCGACAGCAGGTCGCCCAGACCCCGCCCGAAGACCCCGCCCCGCCCGTTCAGGAAGTTCGCCGAGATGTTGTCCTCCTCGCCGACCGAGTCCGCCGCGCCGTTGTTTTGCGGCGCCCGCGCCGTGCCCATGAAGTTCTGGATCATGGTGGCGGCGTCGATGACCCCGTTGCCCTGGGTGCGCCCCAGAGGGCCGGCTCGCCCGTCGCTGATCTCGCGGTCCCTGATGATCGCCGTGTCGGCTTGGGACCCGCACCGGTTGCTGCTGCAGTCGCGGGGCGTCCCGTCGGCAACTAGATGTGCACCTTCGTCAGCGATCGTTCTCCTCTCCCGGTGGTTGGACGTTTGCACTTACCGCTTAGACCCGGCATTGTGACTCCATTCGCCCCGGTGATAGAGGTTACGAGGCCGTGGCCAGAGACGGTGGCGAGAAGGCCAGAGACAGCAGCGATTGAGCCACGCATTTTGGTATTAAGGTGGGTATGAGCGCAGTGTAAACACTAGGAAGGACTAGACGATGAAAGGCCACCTGGGCAAGAGAAGAAAAGAAGTGAAGATATGAGCGCGAAGAACCTCGTTTGACACTGGCAACACCACAGGTAAGAATTCACTCGATGCCGTCTCTGTCGAGCTCTATATACTCGATCCCGATTGAGGTGAGTCCGAGCATCCTCGGTTCGCCTATCCCTCCAGATTCGTCTACTCTAGCGATTCGGCGATCCCAAACAACACCGCCCCGCCGGGGGCCTGTTGCGTAGTATTGTCCGAGATTTCCGAGACGATGGCCAAAACAAATACATAGCCAATCGCATTACACCGTTTGGTTTCTCCACGTTTCGGCCCTTGACTCGACGGCCAGAGTCTAGTTCAAGATGGACATCGCGCACGCTAGGGCAGGGGGGGAGGAGGCCAAGCCGCGAGTTTGAGGTTGCTGCGTTTCGAAAATTCCCCGGCCGCCAACACGATCGGAAAATCGTGTCAAACGCACATAGCCGGTAGGTAATAGTCCCGGCACTGAGGCAGTCGTTCATTGTTTCGCGTAGTACCTACCTACATATGTATGCTCAAGACCAATATCAACACTAGATAGACGCGCGGTAGCAAGCTAGGTGTTTCTATGTGCTCATTTTAGCGACTTGTCACTCTACCTACCTTGTCTCGCAGACCAATGGTCAATTGCCTCCTGTCTTCCAACTTCGCCGTCGTCAATGCGGGTGCGGTGCGGGGTGTCAGATTGCCCTCCATTGCCGCTCGCCTCGCCAAGAAGCCCTTCCTGTGGCTCCAGCCTCGGAGCACGGCACATGGAGGCGCAGCGGACAGGGGCCCCCAACAACCCCTGGGAAAATCTCATACCGACCAAAACTTGTGGCCAACCAATGGCAGCCGTGATGGCCGGTTTAAGTCATGCTTGCGAGCGCTCAAGCACCTCGCAGATGCCAGCGGAACCGTGGGGTGAGCGGAACAGGATGATACGCGGGCAGTGCTGGAGGGGGGGGGGGGCGAGCTCAGAGACCACCACGCTTGCGATCGCCTCGCATCCGGAAAATCATCCCCGGGTCTGGGTCTTGGGTTCGATGTTTCTAGACTTGTAGCAACTCTTCTTATCACTTGTCAGAGAAACAGCAGGAGTGGCGGTCTTTGCGCATCTCGTTTGGGGGGGCATGGTCCTATAATAGCAACTAGATCGCCGTCGGTTGGCTCTGCCGGGTGCGGCGTCAACTAATACGAATGTGCCGCGGGGAGTCAGGGTCGAGACGGTCAGACCGATGGACGTCTCGACGTGTTACCCCTTGGTCTAACAGCTGTCCGGCCTGGCGCCACATGCCCTCCGCCCGCCTATTTCCCCTCGCACCGATACGACCCCCCATTCATCGCTTCTGCCATCCCGCCGACACACTCGCCCTAGCTCGCCGGCCAGGTTGCGGCAATAGTGGTGTCGGCATGCGCCTCCTGTTCCTCTTCCCCACCTCCACCCGCACCCGGTTTCCTCTCCAGCCTCCCTCCCCTCCTCTTGTGTCGCCCCTCACCCTCCCTCGTTTCTCCGGTGGTGTTACTACCAGGTCTCCCCGACATCTTCGCCCTGCCGACTGCCGCCGTCGACCGTGCTCTGTTCCCGCATCAGCTCCTTGTCGTCGTCCCACATCCTGCGGAAGAGCTCCTGGTACCGCACCAGGGTGTCCAGGTCGCGGCGCAGCCGGATGAGTTGGGCGAGCAGGAAAAGCCCCAGACAGATGCACACAGCCAGCGAGATCCAGGTAGGCTGTCGGGTGTTGAACTTAATCTCGTCGAGCTACATGATGATAGATGCGTTAGGTCCCTGCTCCTAGGAAATATTTAAGGTGGAGGCTGGGGCGGGAGGGGGTTGTCTTTCTCTTTCTGGCCACGGTGAAACTAACTGCATTTTCAATTTTGACCGCAAATACTTTCTGAAAGTCGGCGGTAGAACTGTCTGTGAAGATGGGACTCGCGCCCCCGCTGTTACGCGACATCGTCGAGGATTTTTTGGATGAAGAGGTTTAGTTGTTCAGTGTGTCGAGTGAGAGCAACTCGATTGCGCCTCGACACGGTCCGTGGACTGCTACTTACTGTTCGACGATGGCATGCAGAATTGCGCGACAAAGCGTCGGGTTGGGCCATTTCTTATTATAATATTAGCATTCGCGTGTCGTTGGGACAAAGACAACATCGCCCACACTAATAGCGAACAAAAAGCCATTCGACCCAGGTTTCAGGACGCATCCGGATAAGTTGACATTTTATTAAACACAATTGGCATGTAAGCAATGCCCACCTTATGGCAACATGACAAGGTATGGGAAGCATTATCACTGTTAACTATTACTTCGCTCCGGACAGAGCAAATCCCTCTCGTTCCCGACTTATCGGATTCCATCACGGACGACACTATACCTGCATCTCAATAACAGAAATTTTTCAAGTAATATTATCAAGGCATGTTTTACAGAAGAACCGACATTGCTATTGAAACTATTTAGCGCCCACCCCACCGGCCCAACCACTGACTCCGACTCTATACCTAATATCTACGTCCTGATCCTTCGCGTATTTGTGGTTAAAGAAGCTCATATGCGCTGCAGTGTCTCTCCTTCTTGTCCAACTCATCGATGGCCTTTCCCTGCATGTATTCGTTAACATATACATCGCCGATGAAACGGTACTTGCCGGCGTCGCGCTCATGCTCTCGGAGGACGACCGGGGTATCGCAACCAATCGGCACAACCACAATATCGTCCGGCAGCATCGCTCCCGTACCCATCCCCAAAGCCCCGGTGTCTAGGAGACAAAAACAGCGACCTGCCATGTTCCCGCCGAAGTGGTCCTGTATGAACTGGCGGTCGTCGGTAGGGTCGTATTCTGCCGGTATCTTAAGATCCATATGACGTGACAAGGCTGGCAGTCGTTCCTTGAGCAGGGACGCGAAGGCCGCCTCGCATTTTACACTCCATTCTTCCGGGCTGTAGTCCCTCGGTACCTGCCCCAGGCACAACGTCTCCCAGAATTGGTTCACTTCCTGGTGCTGAGCGCTCTCTCGAAGTAGGGCTAGCCAGTGCATGAACGCCATCAGATAGTCCGCCAGGCTGGAGAGCGGGCCGACGGAAATCCCGTGCTCCTTGATATTCCCTATCTGAATTGCGTCGAAGCACAGCGCGTTATCGGACTCTCCCCCGAATTTATACGTCCCCGTCATCTTTTTGGAGGCCCGGAATTCGTACAAGGACCCCAAGCTCTGAAGCCCTTTGTTTTGCGACCAGTCGGGGACCCAGGACGGCAAGTGGAAGTTTCCGACGTGCTCGGGAAAGTGGATGGATTCGCAAATAATATTCAGCTTCGTAGTTTCTTGGACGACGCGCCGCACAGCCTTGGTATAAATATGTCTCACAGATTGGCCGTAGTCGACCTCGAAGACCCTGGACTTCTCTGGCCGCAAGCCCAGAATCGCAAACACCTTGTCTCGAGGCTCTTCGTTCAGCTTTTCTCGCGCCAGACGCAGGAGGGAAAACAGGCTCTGGGATCCCGGTGCCGGATAGCTCGCCGGGCCGCCGTAGACTAGTGCCTGGTCGTAACCCAGAGAGTTTTGGAAAGGCAGAGTGGTCCTGGCCGCTGTTCTCTCGTTGAATAGGGAACGTAGCTTCATCCTATGTTTGGCGAATACCTCCGAAGCGTTTTTGAAGTGCTTCCATTCGCATTGGATATCGCCACAGTAGACTTCGACTTGCCCGCGTTTCTCCTCGGCATAGGCAACTTCTTGGACAGTCCAAAGCCGATACCAGTAATCTCTTTGGAATAGGTTCGCCATTGCCACGAGAACCTGTCGCTTGTCCTCGGCTATCACCTGCTCTACATCCGGCAGAGATCGCATGGCCACATCGCTGTCCTGTCCAGCGGGTCCTAGCCAGACAGCAACCACTTTGGCTTTCCCATAGACCTTTTTCATCTGGCGTACCTGGTCACTCCGCTCCTGCTGATCTCGCTGGTTGATGCAGACGGCATCTGCCCAGACTGCAAGGTGTCCTTTGCCTCGCAATGCCTTGAGTGCCCCAAGGAGACTGCGTGTGATACTCACTTCTACGTCGTCGATGAAGATATCGTGCCTATCGTCACTGACTCCCCATGCATACGAGACAGCAGTGTACTCTCCAGCTTCCTTGAGCGATACCTGCGACATTCGGCAACGGACAGGATCCTCTTCGTTCGCTGCTGGCAGGACATCTAATAGTCTTATTTGGCCCTTTTTCAGCGTTTTATAAGACTGGTAATGGTGCGATACCCGGACCGGCGATGTAGGCATTGCTTCTTGGATAGTCTGCGAGATGGTATCATTTTCGCTGAGGACCAAGTGTAGTAGTTCCTTGTACTTCCGTTTGCTTGACCTTTTGTCAACTTTTTTTTTGTATGATAGCATTCCGCTTCCAAAAAAAAAAAAGGATATTTTGGGGGTTTTCACTTCGCACCTGTGGGTTATAGACTGGTTGATTAGGAGGAGGAGCCTTTGTGATTCTTGAAGGATACGACATACGTGTACGGTTTATACGGGTTGTCGTGAGGGTCGTCGTCTTGGGGGGGCAGCACCTCTTAATCGCTTGCGACTCTTAAGAAAGGGACAAGGAAAAGACCCAGGTGTCCTAAATTTGAGAATAATAGCGCAATATGAAGGGAAACTTGTATTTACACCTTACCTCCGTCTTGCTAGCACCCTGGTTATTATCAAGCGAGAAGTCGGTGGCTGTACGTCAGCAGTCTAACCCCGAATCGCACACATGACAACGCCAGTAGCTGGGGCCAATCGGACAGAGGCGAGATCCTTCTCGAGATATGCTATATAGATAGAGTGTGATTCCAAGCTTTCCCTACCACATCGAGTGCCTATGGGAAGGCTTGGACCGAGTATGATGGGAAACGAAGGGGGCTTACTGGCCATCCAATACACTGATGGGACATCAACTAGGCTCTAGAAGTGTATTTGTTGACAGCCTCATCCCATTTCTCCTAATTAATAGGCATCAATCTCGATGTGGCCGTACTCTTCCCACATCGCTTAGTCTGTATGGGCATGGAGCGGGAAAGTTCACGTACAGTAGTGCGAGGCATAATGTACGCGGGAAAGGCAGAACACATTTGACGGTCGGGGCTCAGCCCCGTTCAGCTCCAGGATTTGGCCTGACGATAAATCTATTCGGACCTCTCGACATATGACGCCAAGATATTAGGCACTCCAGGCACACCTGGGCAGCGCAGGGGGTGCGATCAGCCCTGTATGCATCCCGTGAATACACCGCCACCATAATACCTAACTCGTAATTTCAAACCACCTACCTGCAAGGGAAGCGAAATCCAGCAAGCAGTGGACCATAAATCACAGTTAACAGTAATATTCGCGTCACCACATCGAGTATCCATGCTAGAAGTGGCCAGGCTCATAGGAAAGGAGCTGGATTATCAGTGAATACACCGGGATCTATGGGTATCTCAACAGGAAAATAAACTGACGCCCTGTGGTAAGAGTTCAGAAATGACCACTATGTCATTCTACGTACGCCTCCATCCGAGTCTGTGACCGTGTCGTCGTTCCATCAAAATATGGCCTCTTCTCGGGCTGAGTCGACTTGGCCTCGAACAACAAAACGGAATAGTATCGTCCTGTGAAGGGGAATGTGCCAACCATCCCAGGGGGAACACGATAGACCCCTTGTGGCATCGCCGATATTACTAACATCGTGACGAGGGACACTTCCGAGGTACGGAATTGCAAGCGCGCGCCCTCGAGCGACAGTAACGTACGCGGGTACTAGATGGAATCTAGCTCGTGAAAATAGCTGGGTCGTCCCATTTGCGGATGAGCGCGGCGAACTTCAGACAACGGTTGCAGTTTCGACAGGTAACCTCGCCTTGCTTATCAAGGTGATAGCAGCCTTCGCCATTCTTAGTGGCAAGTTGCTTAGCTACCTTGTTGAATGCATACGCGACGAAATCGGGGGCTGAAGATGGGGCAACCTCTCCCTCATTCCGGAGCTGTCTGAAGACGGCTTGCACTTCTTCTACCTGGGACCTCATCGCAGATACCGAATCTTCGACTTGCTGGTCTTCGTAGACCCGCCCGCCCGCCCGGCAGCCAGAACCGCTGTCGGCTACGACAGAATCCAGAAGAAGCTGACCTCCAAGTTCGGTATCGGTTAGCTCCGCCGCAACAGCAATCTCGAAAAGCTTGTGCATGCTCCTCGCGAGCTCGTCGCCCTTTGACTGCCGTGTAAGGGTATAGCGATCGAGTTTAGTAACTTTAAAGCGAGGTGCACGGTAAAATTCCCCAACATCGATCGGGATGGATCCGTATAGCTCCATCTGACGCTGCATATTCTCGAGCAGTGTGGGTCCGTCAGTATCGTCATTGATATCGCTACGGGCAACATGAGCCTTTGTGGGTCTCGGTTCGCCGATCGGCTGGGGGTCCGTCCTCCTCTTCACATAGGCGAAGGCGTTGAATAGGGTCTGATGGTGATATACGAGCATCTTGATGCGGTCTGCAAGCACGCGAAGCCGGTGGTTCATGAAGCGAAGCATCGCGGAGATCTGGCTTGGGTTAGTTGCGAAAAGTATGTCCGGGCCGCTCGCATCGAGGACTTCTTACGTAGGCAGAAACGGCAGCATCTCGCATAGCCTGTTTCTCGTTCCCCATCTGGACCCTTCTTAAGATAGGTCTAAGGAACTCCTTTTCGACAACCATGTGTGCGAGCGGTACCATCTCATCCCAAAGAGATTGTATCTCGGCATATACCGCGTTTCGCTCCTCATTGATAGCTCGGGCATGCCCAGAAAGATATGGGGTATCCTTGTTATACGTCTGAGAAGCCTCCAAGAAGACCGTATCCAACGAGGCACGGCATTTGGTGGCCAGTGATAGCACGACCCTGTCATACCGTCAGTGGAAGCTCGGCAAGCAGTCTGGCACGTGGGAATCACTCAACTGGCTGGCATGAAGTCTGGCTGTCTGAAGAATTGTTTCGTTCTCAGCCGTGTCGTAACTCAGTTCCCAACGGAGAGCCTTCAGTCTACTCAGAATGTGGTCATACGAGGGAAACGTCGCTTCTAGTGCTCGGGATAAAGAAATAAGCTTGTAGTTCTGGTCGTAGAAGTCGCCATCGTTCTCTGCTACCTTGGACTCGGTACGTACGAGTGCCTCGAGTAAGTCGATACGATCGCGGGCCTTGCCTTGCAGGGCATGGATCTTGCATCTTGTCAGCACCGGCGACACTCGGGATTTGCATGTGGCGCCGCACCTCCTTCTCAACGAGATCTCTTCTCAAAGCAAGGGCCGCGATTTTCTGCTCGGTCACGGAGGCTACCCTGTGCGCTTTCGGAAAAGATCGAATATTTACGATACTACGGCGGATGCATTCCTTGTACTTCGATAGAAGCTTTTCAAGAGCATCGTTGTATTGTAGTATGTCATGAGACGCTGTCTTGACAGCGCTGGGGTCAATGCCCTTTTGACCAGCTTCAGGGGCACCAGCTGGTGAGCGGCCATCCATATGCAGAGAACTAGTTCGATGGCCTGTGAGCAATCACTGCATCTCGAATAGATGGCCATCTCACTTACTACTTCAACTCATCTTCGGTCAGTACGCTCATAGGGCCATTTGCATCCATCGACTCCACCAACCGAGTCCACTCGGAGGCCAATTCATCGCGAAGGAATGCGCGGAGCATATTCTTTTGACCCTCGCTTGTTGTGTGGGTGGCCTCACAGAGTTGAGCAAAAAGACGTGTCTCGGTCTCCGAGAAGGGCGCCGGGTCAGCCATCTTGACTGATGATAGGCAAAGGTCAAGAGGACGGTGGAGATGGCGTTGGCGACGTGAGAGATTGGTATCACGGCTTGATACTTTCGCAGAGCGACACGGGGATGGACGCGTAGGGCGGGTAAGAGGAAGAAGGAAGTGATATAGGGGACGGAACCCGAAGATGGATGGCTTAAGGAGAGCAGAGATCCTACCCGGAAACTCTGGATGACTGGAGATGGCTCAAGCCTGGTGTGCCTATGGCGACAGACACATAGGCAATCGGAATCGGCAGGCAGAATCCGAGGCAGCGTCAAAGGCAAAGAATACCTTAATCTCGGGAGAACCAAGCGGTGAGACTAAAAGTAAAGGACCGGACCATCAGGCGGAACACTTCCGGGTCTGCGGTGGAACCGGGACGAGGCGGGGCACGGCGTAAACAACCGGGGTTTACAAGACTAGTCGGTGTGAGAGGGCCTTGGAGGAGCCGGCTCCAGAACGACCGAGGCAGCTCAGGAGAGGCTATCGTCGAATCTAGAAGACGCAGCTTCTTCACTCAACAAAGGCATAGAATTGCCACAAAAAGGTCAGAAAGCCTTGGATGGCAGAATACCGGGGAGTTCAAGCGGACAAGCATAACTTGCGGTTGCTGCTCGGTGAAAGGGATGACTTGGATCAAGGTGTTGATGCTGGTGGCGCCTGGGGAAGAAAGTGCCCGAGGCGGCGGGGCATACAAAATAGCAACTAAGTCGGGTCCAGATCGGTGTGCGGCGGAATTAGGTAAAGGTCATGTGACATCGGTACGTAAAATGCCATTAGGCTGCGTAGGTACCGCAGGAACGGGTACATTGGGTACGTATGTACCTACCTTCTATACCCACCCGCGAGATAGATAGGAGGTACCTACCTAGGTAGGTATATTTTTGCTCAGTAGGTGCCCTAAGGTACCTCTTGCAAAAACGCGACGGAGAAGCGTAGAACGTAGCGAAGTGCTTTCATGTAAGCATACAGGTAGGTAGGTACCCAAGTAAACTGTCGTAATCAAATAGGCATAATCGCAATCATCCAAGTATAACCTACTAGTACTCTGTGGCACCCAGCGCTCCCTACAAATGGAGCCCTGTGATTGGTCGATTTGGACAAGGGCAACGCAACAGGCGTTCGCCAGCGAATTGACCGAAGGCAACTATACCTATTTAAAGTCGTTGAATTACCAAGCTGTTTTGACACCTAGTTAATAGTTCACTTAATTTATCAGCAGTTCAGGTTCAGCCTTTAAACGTTTTCCATGCCTTATTGCCTCAGGCAGCGAAGCAACAGGAGCGAACCTACCTAGCCAAAACGCACAGCTCTGCGTCTGTTTAGGACCTGCGTAAATAACAAACCCCCGCCATCTCACTTCTCCCAACAATATTACCTGCCTGCCTACCTCTTACCTCCTACCTCAGTGACCTCTCATCATTTACCAGAAGATTCTCCCGTCCACGACACCAACTCGTCTTCGACACTCTCCCCAGCTGCCTCTGTGCCGTACATGCCGGATCTGCATCAGCCGCATGCGCCCTCTTCAACACGGCTGGACGTTTGCGATCAAACGAGCAACCCACCCATCCGAGCTCTGCTGGCTGATTCCGCCTGCGCAGACCTGTGTCCAGGGATGGGAGCAGACAGAGAGGGTGCCACGGGGCTGGAGCTGCAGGCAGCCGCCGCCAGCTTGGACTTGCGGTAAGCTACTAGCGTCAACCCAGACGTCTCTCTCTATGCGCCTGCTATCCGACTCACCGCAGCACGTGTTGCCGTGTGTTGCCATTGTCGTGTGCAGAGGGCCGGTTGGATGGGATCTCTTCAGGTTGGCGGTTTGCAAGCGTTCCAGCTTCATACGACAGCTTCAAAATACCGGAGGCGTGCCCGGCAGTAAGCAATTCCACCTCCGAACCGGCCGGGGGACCTATTGCAGCAAAGGTTCTGTAATTTCAGGCACTCCTCTCCCAGTGCTTCTATATATCTCCAATGCCGGTCGCTAGGGCGCAATTTGGAGAGTCTTCCGACACCCTACGCGAATGAATCTCGATATCGTATCTCAAGACCTAGAACTTCGCATACGCCAATTCTGATCTGCATTATCACAAAGCATTAAGGGTTGGGTTTGGATCTTCCGAGGGGTGTTGTTGGGTGTCGGGCGCGTTTGCATGTGTCTATCCTGTCCCACTTCCGCTGTATTACTTCCCTCCCAAGTGATATCCCGATGCCTACAGGCATATTATATATCGAGACGAGAAGATGGGGGTCCCCTTTAGATTTTTCTGTTATGTTTCTTCTGTTTTACCCAGACAATTCTTTGGATTTCCCTTCCGCCTCGTTCGAGCCCCTCCGTCCTTCTCGTTACAACATATCCTATCGCGGCTCCCGGTTGCCCGCTGGCGCGGCCCAAGCATGTGAGGCGTTGTGAGGCTGCCTCCATTTCTCTCCGGCTAGCACGGTTGGCCTCGACCTATCCAGGAATCTCGAAAGCTGCCTATAGGCTTACGTGGTCATAGGCATGCTATGTATTGGTCCGTGAAAACATCAGGTAGGTGGCAACGTAGAGTTGGGTTGTCCATGTCGGCTACCGGTTCCTTGCGCATGAAGCCTTCGACACCAAACGGGCCGTGCGGGCTATTATTATATCTCATCACTCCCTGGCCGTGTTGTCTCTATCATCATGCCGCGTCGAGACCTGGGATTGCTGATATTTTCCCGTTCCGCCGTCCATTTCGTCAACCCGGGATGTGTCCGTGCCATACCTTCGAGGCCAAAAGCAGACAATACTATGATATCCTTGGTCCGGCAGCTGTGTTGGACTCTTCGGGCGCCGACGCTGTCTAGGAGGTATCGCGATGCCGGGATTGGGTTCGCATTCATCGCGTTAAACCAACTGTTCATCCTCCCCACCCAGATTATACTTGATATCCACTCCGTCAGTTTCCCGGCTTCTATCCTAGTGATGCTTCTCTTTACCGTCATCCTGCTCGTTGCAAATTGTGTTTATGGGGAAACGGCTCGGTTCTATTCTGCCCATATACGTGGGCCAACAGACTTCCTTGGCCGCCACATGTCGTTTGGCTTCGTGGCGTCATTTATAATGCTAAACCGGGACCACGTATCCAACGCCGTCGACATCCCGATAGTTGCCGGCGCATTCGGTAAGTCATCAAGACAACGTGACTGGCGTAGCGTCTCATCCCCTACCAAACTGATATAACTAGTGGTCACGACAATTGCGGGTTACGCGGGATCGTTCTTGCTTTCATGGGGCACCTTTCAACTCGAGAGCCGATTTAGAGGGCGGCAAATTCGAATTCATGACCACGAAAGCGAGAACAAGGCCCAGCCCAGTCCATCTATAGCCTGGCCCGCCCCGCTCGACGGATCCCGGAAATTCTTGTGGAAGTTGCTTAGAATCAGCGCGGTTATGGCCCGGGGTAAATCTCTCGCATCGATTGGGCCAGCAAAAAGGGGTTTTGTCTCACAGTTTATGGTTCACCTCCTCAACACCCCGCCGTTATGGATCTGTGCGCTTCTCATTCTCGCAATCGGACTTCCGGTATACTTTACAACTAAGTATGAGACGCCATTCGAAAGCCTATTTTTTGTGTTGTTCTGGGTCATGTCCGTGCAGTTCCAGAGATCCCTGAGGAGTTCACACGGCCTAGCACCATTCCCGCGGGTGAGATCGACGCTGGTCATATTCGCAAACCCGGTGCTTGTAACGAGCGGCTTCGGAACGGCCTACCTCTGGATCAAGACAAGCTGCACGGGGCAAACCATCGATGATGTCGTTACACAGTTTCGTCGACACAACAGCTTAGCGGAGGGCGTTCTCGACATCGTTAAGGGCCGTAATAGTTTCGCTGACCACATCGGCACCGGTGATCTGGCCGGCACGGTCTTGGATGCCGGTATTGTCTGCATGAGTTTCAAGATGTTTGAATATAGAAGAGAACTGTGGCAAACCTGTATCACGGTGTTCACCACGTGCGCAATCATGGCTGCGTTTAATGTCTTCTTAAATGTACTAATCGCTCACGGGCTAGGTCTCCAAGAAGCCGATGCTGTCGCTTTCGCCGCCCGTTCCGTCACGATTGCGCTTGCAGCACCCGCCGTTCAAAACCTAGACGGCAGCACGACGCTCATGACCGCGCTAGTCATATTCGGCGGCATCATCTTCCAAATGGTGGCAGACTGGTTGTTCTCGCTCCTACGGATCCAGGACCAGGGGGGCCAGCATCTGCAGCTTGACAGCAGCAAGGACAGCGGTAAGATGGAACCGGCGGGGGAAGAAAGGGAGCCGGCGCGGCAACGTCTTAGGACGGAAGGTAACCGCGTGATCGCGGCGGGGGTGACGGTGGGCATCAACGCGGCGGCGATGGGCACGGCATATTTGATCGAGCGGAACTCGAGGGCCACCGCATACTCGGCATTGTCGATGACGGTGTTCGGGGCCATAACGGTAGCTCTCACGACTCTGCCAGGCGTCTCGGAAGTCATCGGCTCCCTGGCGTCAACATGAGAACGAGCGTGGGTTTTAAGTCGAGAGGTAGGCTCTATCGAGCACTACGACGATAAGAAGAGCCGCAAAGCGCCCCATGGCGCATTCCGAAGAACTTGGGAGGTGGATAACGGTACGCGTAATACGATATCTACGATCCGCGAACCTGTTTATATACTGTAGCACAAGGACCAGAGAGGGGCATATTTTCTGCCTCCCCCTATATCGCGTCACATCCATTCCTCACCTAGGAAGAGATAGCCGTGTGCCAAGTGTCTTGTGACAGGTATTTCTGCATCACGAATCGGTACCAACTTCGCATCCGAAGATACGGCACCATGTATAAGAATTATTGAGTTCGCAGCTTCTCATCTGCCCCCCCTGAATGCATGCGAGAAAGAAGCTCGACCTGACGAAAAGAGGCGGTGTCTCTAGCGTTGCAGTCGCACTTCATCGCCTCGATAGAAAATCCCCTGGTACGAAAGCCCGCATACATGCGACTCCGTATACCTGCAGACCTTATGCAGCTGCGTGCCGCAAAGAAATTCTCCGTTCTAATTACCGATTCGCCCGTGCCGCCTGGGCTGGAAGCCTCGCGAGCACCCGCAGGGTTCCCTGACTAGAAACACTCTAATAGTTCAAGCTACGGATCGAGCGTTGCTTACTTTCTCCTTTCATGGATACGCCTGTGCTTGCCTGTGCCCTGCACCGTGATCCCCCGTTCGTGACAGAACGTTCGCTAATAATCAGACTCCCGGTCGTCTCCGCTCCCGTCCTCTGAACAGTTGTCTAGAACCTCGTTCACAAGCTCCCGCGTGACACACAGCCTCGGCGCCACCATCGCGAAAATCGTCTTTCGCTTCGCGAGGTCGTCAGCGGTGGTCTCGGCGCCCTTGAACGTCGACAAGTACTCGGCGACCCTGTGATGCCCGTTCGCCTTCGCGCAGTCTGCAGGTGACTGGCCCGAGTTAGAGAGTCGCGGCGCCTCGAGAGCGTATGGGTTGACGGCGAGGAAGCGACAAGCGTGGATGCGGCCCTCAGACGCCGCAATATGCAGTGCTGTTCGCCCCTCATGGTCGGCATGGGCGAGGAGTCTGCGCATGAAGTCCGAGTTCCTAGACACAAAGGAGGCCGGGTTTCTAATGTCTCGATAGTGCTCGTCACCCTCTTCCATAGCGGCATCGAGATGCATTTTGAAGATGTGCGCTACTAGTACAGTCATCACAGTCTCGTCTCCGGTCGCGGACGCAATCTCCAGTGCCGTGTGCCCGTTGCCGTCCTCGTCGAGGAAGACCTCGGGACTGACGCCCGTGCCGTACCGGCTCAGGAATGCGCCTATCAGCTTGGCAGCGGGAGATGTCCGGTACGTTTCGTTGCCGAGTCCGGCCAAATAGTGAAGAGAGTTCTTGCCACTTTCGTCACGGGTCCAGGCCAGGTCGACAGCCCACTTGCTCTTCAGTAGTTCGCATATCTCAAGAAACTTGAAGGGTTCGTCCCTCCCACAGAGGCACGCCTTGTCGTCCACGGCATCCTTGCACAGGGAATACCACGGCGATCCACCATGCACGCCCTCCTGGGCTGGTGGGCCGGCATTGTAGTCCAACAACATTCGCACATGCTCTACGCTCAAAGCGTGAGCTGCATGCTGCATTGGTGTCTTTCCCCGTACATCGGGAGCGTTCGGGTCTGCCCCGCTCTCCAGGAGCAGGCGTGCTGTCGTTACGTACTCATTTCTGGAGGAGCTGCATGCGTAGCCGAGGATAGTCTTGCGGCAGTCGGCTTCACCGTCGAGAGCGGTGTAGCCATTTGGGGACGCCCCATGCTTGAGTAGAAGACGAAACATATCGTCCTGGTTGGGGAAGAGGCGGCCGAGGATGGGTACGTGGAGGACGCTGTGATTGGAGGTTGAACCACCATCACCATCGCGAACGTCGACCTCCAGGGCCATGGGGAAAACAGCGCCTTTCTTCAGCAGTAATTCTGCGACTTGGGTCATGTTTTTTCTGGCCGCCTGCGTAATTGGGGGATCACATCCATTGGGAGCTGCGTTGACATCAGCTCTCCATTCCAGGAGATCGGACACCACCTTGAGCACCAACTCCTCGTTTCCCTCGTAATTCGGCCGAGCTAACGCTGCCAGGAGCGCAGTGCCGAACTTACCACCCATGGCATTAGCATTGGCCCCGTGTTGAAGCAGTAGCTCTACGAGCCGCCCATCAGAGACGTCGTATCGTGCGGCAATCTGGAGCGGCGTGTTCTCGCCGGCCCCAAACTCGACCTGAGCACCTGCTGCCAGCAGCAAGCTAAGAGCTCCAGGCGAGATCCCAGCGTTGCAAACACGGCCAACGGCAGTCCATGAGTTCGAAGTGACAGTATTGACGTCTGCTTTGTGCTTCAGGAGCATCTTGACCATGGCCGCTACTTGGTCGCTGTTGTGATAGTTGTCGCAGGCAACGTGAAGCGCAGTCATCCCGAACCCGGCCAGCAGGTTAGGATCAGCTCCTGCGTCGAGAAGGGCCCTGACAGCATCGACGCGCATATTTCCGCATACAACACCAAGCGGCCAGCCCCATGTCCGCCTGGATGCCCACGCCGTCAAGCCATGGCCGCCCGGAAGGTGGTCCACGTTAAGGTACCGGGTGGCGTCGGTGTTGAGTAAGGCTTCTAGGATTGCGGAGTTTAGCTCGTTATCCTCCTTGCTCATAGCGGCTAGCAACAGACACGACCTGCCCCATGAGTCGAGGAGTGTTGGGTCTGCTCCGGCGCCGAGGAGAAATAGCACGAGGTCTTTGTGCGATCCGGCGGAGGCATAAAGAAGGGCCGTGGTTACGAGTTGCCGATCCTCAGGGGAGTCGGGATCCGCAAATGGAATATCCACGTCCCAGCCCATCCTGGCCATCCTGCTGCACACTCCGGTATGTCCCTTCCGCACAGCATCAATCCACAGTAACAGCATGTCATTATGCTGCGGCCGGAAGCCTGAGTCGAGTAACATGAGAACCGCAGACTCCGAGTTGCCTCTGAATGACGTTGCCGCCTCTGCAATGGAGGGGCCCTTGGTTGTGGTGACGAGGGACAAAGCGTAGAACAGCAGCATAGCTGCGAAGTCGACCAACAGGATCCTGATCGGGTAACGGGGGAGGATAGAAGGAAGGCCATAAAGGCTGCCTAGCTTCGACGAAACCCGCATCAGCATCAAACAGTAGCCGAAAAGCTTCGCCAGACGGAACAGAATCAAGAAGAGATCAGCCACGGATGGTAGCGGCAGATATGGCGAATCGGGCGAGGCTCCGGCCTCGAGCAGTACCCAAACTGCCTCGGGAAACCCTGAGCGAAGAGCCAGGTGAAGAGCAGTTTGTCCCTTCTCGCCGGCGCCATCTAGCTCGACATACTGCCCGAGAAGATTTCTCAGCCGATCGAGGTCGGCCTCTCTCGCGGCAGCGTGCAGGCCGACATCGTGGCTAGGGCGGTGGAGGAGACGGCGGCAGAGCTGCGCCGTCGTGAAGCGGTTTAGGGGACTAAGGAAGACGTCCCGACGATAGGTGTCTATAGGCATGACAGTAATGTAGACGCCTCCAGGCCGAAAGGCTGGGGAACTTCGCCACGTACCGAAAACTCGAGTCAAGGAGCTGGCAGCCCGGTGAAAGTTGGTGTCGTCCATCTCATTTGAGCCCCTCGGATCAATTCTCCGATTACGCCAATCGGGAGCAAAATAGTCCGCCTGCTTCTGAAAGCTTCAAGTACAGTGTAGTGCCCCCAGACTGGTCCCAGCCTTATCGTACTACCTGCTGCTGCCTATTGCTGCCCAACTGGTACCGCCATCGAACTTCCAGTCTTACTGCTGCTACTCCAATGCTAGTAACAAGGGCAGTTCATAGCCCTCCTAGGCCCGCAGAGAAAGATGGACTGGGGCATGGTTGCGGCCGTCGTTGCCATCGTGACCATTCCGCTCTACGCGTCTCCGCTCCTGCTCGCACCCGCCTTTAATCTAGTGCGCGAGTACGTGATCCGAATCCTCTACCGAAGGGCAGTATGCGGGAGGATCAGGTGGCAAGACCTCCCAAGCCAACAGCGCCTCACCGTTGCCACTTCACACCACGAATGGTTCCGGCGATCTGGGGTCGCCGGTACACCGGGAGTTCTGGGACCCGGCGGTTCGAGCAATGCACAAATTCTCAACTTTTTTCGGTATGTGTGGCACACTGCACCCCGAGTAGAGGAACGACCTCGATACCTAAAGCTCGAGGGACAGTACCTGGGTATCGATTCAAACGCCCTGATAGTGGCCCTCATGCTGGACGACAGGGCAGTTTCGTTCATTTTCTCTGCGAGCGCACCTCATCACGTCGGTAAAGGTAGCACTTCCAACATTCGATATGCACGCGGATCGCCGGAGGGCATCTTTCGCTATCACGAAACCGATGGTGGCGATGATGCGTACATCCTCGGCCGTCTTCACCGCTTTCCTCTCCCCCCCGCCGTCCAAAATAGATTCCACGGCCTGTCCAAGGACGACCTCCTCCATATCGCCCAGGGCTACCCGCCGTTCTATCGCAGCACATTCAAGGCCCGCTCCGGCGTTGACGTTGCCCACCCAGTCCGCGAAGAGCGGGACGCAACTCGCGCCGGTTGGGTCGTCGCCATCGGCTTCGCTTCCGATCCGCCGATCCGCCTGTATAACAACAGGTTCATGCCTCGGTACGAAGAAGCATGCCGCCGGGTTCTCCATGTGCTCGAACACATCCTCGTCCCGGCGTTTAAGGATCATCAAGGTGTAGGACAGACGTTACGAAGCGCCGTGAGAGGTGTCAAAAACATGAACCGCGACAAGACAGGCAGCGTCCTGTCCCGGGACATTGATATTGCCGTCTTTGGTGACGGTGATGATTCTGACAACATCGGCGTTAATCTAAGCGCTAGAGACATACGTTTGGTTTTGGACCTGTTCAACTCTTACAGTCGGGGTGAACTAAGTGACACCGAGCGTTCTGATATCGAGACAATCGTGCTCGAGGCGCTGAAGGCCGCCGTAAAGGGCGTCTACACGTGGTGGCAATATGTAAATAACCAGGGTCATGCCATTCCCGAGTGGCTCCTCGACGAGAGGACACAGTTGTGCCCGATATGGCTCGAGGATTAGGAGCCCAGCAATGAAAAATTGTACCGAGTGACTTGGGTTTGAAGGTATCCCATTCGATGAGAGATTCGTACAGGCTCTGAGCTGGTATCGAATAGCCTGGGGCTGCCCATTCCGCTGTTGCGTCATTGGCAAGTCCTAAAAGTGCGTATATTTTGTCTCTGCGGTCGGTGGAAGCTAGGTAATGGTACCAGCTTGGTTACGAGTGTGCCGATAGAAAGTCCAAAAGAGGCAGATCTTTGAAAGACCTCTTGTTGTGTAAAACGTAGACGCCTACATTTACGCTGTGGGGTATGTAGGCATATAAGGGCTGGTTCAATTGCTACGTGACACCTCTCTCATGTCGAAGACAAGCCGACGGGTACGAAGATCTGGGAGGTGAACCATCTTAGGATAAAGACTCGATCTCTTCTCGAGTAGAGACAAGCTCGCACCTAATTCTCTCCATTATATGGAGGATATTTTGTGCTGATTATAGTTGTCTCGTCCGCTTCGCCAAGCCAGATGGCTACATCGGTAGCAGATGCAAAGATATTTTTCATTTCGGCAACTTGCTGCCCTCTCTCCCTTGGCGTCATGCTGATTGATACAAATCACATCAGCCCATATATGTTCGGCGTGTGTATCCTGGCGTAGCTGTCGAAGAGCTGCGTGGAGATTTGTTGTGATTCTTAGCTGGCTCCCGTCTACCGATATCAACTCAGCCGGCTCTGCGGAGCCCCAAGTGTGCTATACGCAGTATAATAGGAACACGGTACGAGCTCGACGACCACCATGCCGGGACACGCTGATGTGCCCATGCTAGATGACCAAAACCAGTCGGATCCCGGCGCCTCGATCTTCGAGACGGCATGGTTGCATGGGGCACCGTGCTGCCTCTGTCTTTATTACGCGCTTCTGGCGTACATAGCGGGTTTGCATGGACGTAGGGAGTAAACGATAAGCGAGTTATCCCTGATACTATTATGGCCAGCCATTCAGGAATACCCCAGGGAGGAAAGGGGGAGATTACGAGAAGCTGTAGAAGATAGTTCCAGGGGTTCTGACGACAAGGCCATGGCCAGGACCTCAGGATGACCGGATGGCCAGAACTTTGGCCTCGAGCCCACAGGCTTCCCGACATCGATGCCTCTCTATGACGGATGGAACGCTGTACAGGTTGTAGGGTAGACCGAAACACAAGACAACTCGCAGGTGTCGAAATATCAAGTTTGCGTTCAGAGACACAATGAAGACGAAAATTGTGAGCTCATATCTCCTACGGAGGCCGAAACCGTCAGTTTCGTGGCGATGAGCACGGCGAATACCGTTAGAAACTGAAGTAACTAGAATCAAAAGGGGAGTGAAGTTTAAGTTGGGGGTGTTCGGGTCGCATGATTACGGTCGCTACCGTATTCGAGAGAAACGATGATTATTGCCAGGCCGCTTGGGGCGAATTGACGGGAGGTTGTTTATATAACGGGTCATAAGCCCGGCAGAACCGAATGGGCAGTATTTTGGGTGTCAATGAACGGTTTATCTTCCTAGACTGAGGAGGTCAACGATAGATACTGCTCCGAATATCGGGCATGTGTTTAGAGAATGCGCACGGGGCGGACCGACCAGCTCTTCCGGCACCCGCATCATTCCACGATGCAGATTGAAGAACATGCAGCCATCTCGACGCGCCGCGCTCGCTCGCTTCATTTCATTCCGGATCTAGTGCTAGGGGTGAAATGGTACCTAAGAACTAGATAAGTACCTAGGAATGAAACTGCACCCTACCCCCAACGAGTGCTTATTCTAGCCTCTCAATCAGGTGGAGGCCGCTCGCCGTTTCCACTATACCGCTCAATTGGCCTGGCTGCAATGCAAAGGCAGCCTCCTCAAACTCCTTTTGCATATCACCCTTGCCAAAGTATCCCAAGTCTCCCCTCTTGCGGGCCGAGCTGCAATCGCTCTCACTCATGGCTAGCTCGCCGAGCGAGATCGAGCCGCTCTTGATCTTCTGCTCGTGGCCTTTGATGATATCCAGCGCCTCCTCCTTGGACCGTGTGATCTCGTTCTCGCGCCAGCTCGCAGGTCTCCGGCTGTTGCGATGCTTAACCAGGAGGTGGGCAGCGCGGATCTTACCCTCGGGCCGGGCAGAGACCGAGGTCTGGGACGAGGTCGAATGGTGGACGGCCATGTATTTCTTCAGCTTCTCTGTGTCGGTGCCGGACGGCGGCTCCCAGCGGGATACCTTGTCGATCGCATTGAAGTAATATGGGAGGTTCTTGGAGTTGCTGTGGCGCACCTCCCAGTTGGGTGGAAGTCCCGAGTCATCCTAGCGAATTGGCATTAGCGACAGCCCGCGCTGGGGACGGTGTACCGGCAATGTTTCAAACGGGCACACGCGCCCGGCGAACCTGGGGAAGAAAGCTCACCATCTTGGTTATAATTACGGCTTATAGAAGTTATATAATCAGAAGATTGCCGAGGGGCACCCCGTCGCTTGCTTCCACTACAGATTCTTTTCTCGGGTCGACCGGGGCGGAACACAACCACAACAGCCTCGACAGAACGCCCGGCGCTCCCGGCGTCAGAGATCGTTAGACGCAGATTGCGACGGAGCGAGGGAGCCGGCTTGGAGACGACGGTCTACTGCGATGCCAATAGAAGGGTCACAAAATACTGCGAGGCCAACTCGGGAAGCTGGCTAGTAGGGGTTTTTTGTTTCTGTGTTTCTGCCGAGCTATAGCTAAAGGCGGGTCGCGCAACAAGAACGCCAGCAAGGGACAACAAGGAAGACGATGGCGATGAAAGAGATCAAGGGGGGTGAAGGAGATGCAGGAAGAGAGGGGAGGTATTAAGGTACCCCTTGGAAGGTTATAGGACGGTCGGGGCGACCAGACACTGAGGCAGACAGACGTGGGCGGGATGAGGGAGGACGGGTAGGTAGGTCAGTATGAGGTAGGCAGACAGGTACAGTCCCTGATCTTAGGTAAGGCAACCAGGAAAGGATCACGAGGATGTCGTCGGTTAAGCGGGGCAACCCCGACGAGAACAGGAGTTGGACGGAAGCGAAACGCGGGGTGGCAGTCCACACTGTCTTGCGTACTGTCCCGCCGGGGCTGTGCAGCGGGCAGAGGCGGTCGATAAGCCTGGTGGTAGGCGGGTGGCAGGTGGGTAGGTGAAGTGCGGGAATCAGGTGAATACAGTGCCCGAAAACTGCTGGGCTAGCCCAACGATAGCGAGTGTCCGTCACGAAATGACCTGTGGGGATCGCCGGAGATCCAATGTTGCATAAAACTCAGCATAGCTGGAATTAGCTCATCTATCGCCAATCAGATCCACGTGCTGAGGTGCTTGTTCGGCCTGTCTCGAGGCGTAATGTAATCTAATGCAAAGCAGCTGCAGGCAGGTGGAGGTACCTTCAGTACCTCAAATTCGTAGAGACCGGAGGTACAAGTACCCAGGTGAAGCACCTGGGCAGAGGTGCCCAAGGCCTAGAGGTGGGTACCTTAAGTACCCGAGGCCTACTCATCGAGGTGTCTAAGGTACCCAAGACAGTTTGGTAAAATTCGGTACCTTACAAAATAGGCCTCAGGTGCATTTCGCAGGCATGGCAGAAGTACGTGAGGTGGCCCATGCGCGTGAGTCCATACTTTAGGTACTTAACCAGTCGGTATTTGGTCCAGGGACAAGTTCCACGGCTTGGCCGGGCTACTCCTTATCCATGTTCTTTCCAGCAACGCCGAATGTCGTCTCCATCTCACCTGTTTCTTCCTTTCACCATCACCCGGATCTCAACACCATCTCCAACGAACCTGTCCCACGAAATCCGCACTGCTCACCCCAGAGTAGTAAGTTAACTGAGAAAGCAGACTAATCCTACGCTAATTGACGCCGAGATTCCCCTGGTCTTACCGCGTCCCCTCTACCGAGACGCACCGCCGTCCCTCACATCTCACCCACGAGCCCAGCACCGTTAATTGCACACACTGCGGCTACCTAGCAAGCCCGGCAACAACATGTCTTCGCCGGCCTCAGCGACCGCGGATGACGCTCCCAAGAACAATCTCGAGCAGATCACCTTCCGCTTCTGCTCCGAGTGTTCCAACATGCTGTATCCCAAGGAAGACGAGGACGCCCACAAGCTCCAGTTCACCTGTCGTACGTGCCGGTACACCGAGGAGGCCACCTCGTCCTGCGTCTTCCGCAACGTTATGAACAACGCGGCTGGTGAGACGGCAGGTGTCACCCAGGACGTCGGATCGGACCCTACGGTTCGTAACCCTTCCCCTCCCCCACGCATCGCTTCCATAACCTCCACCGATGTTAGCCTGGCTGTCTGTCTGAGATGTGGAGTGACTCTCCTGCATTGTGAGAGGTGTGAAGATCCTGCGTCGGTCGAGGAGTACAACCATTTTATCGCCCACCACCCGGACTTCGTGGTCCAGAGGTCTCTGGACTACGTCCGAGTTACCAATTATTGGAACGCCCTGGATGCCCATTCGAAAGGGTTATGGGTCGACAAGTTCGCCTGTCCCGAAGGGGTTTCCCTCCCTCGTCTCTCCGAGGACGACATCGCCCAGTACTTACCCCTCGAGGTTGCTCTGTACGGGGATAGGGACCCCCCGGAAGCACTCGAAGATGGTCTCGAGGACGACGATATATCTATGTTCTATAGAGACGACGACGTCGTCCCGCACGCCGTCTGTAAATCATGACGAAATTTGCTGGCTTGGCATACGAAAACTTGCTACGAAATATACCTGAAACAATTCCATGAGCTTCCTTATACTCCCCTCCACAGGACTGAGGTCGACGGGCGAGCGGGCGGGCAGGCAGGCAGGCAGGCAGTTGAGCAGCGCTGGCACATCGACACGTATTTCGGAATCCTTCCCGGCACAAAGCACCCGGCTCAGGGAGCGTGTATTATATGACCTCTTGCTGAGCCTGGTGCTGACGTTCTGCTTTCTCGGCATCTAGCTCCCGAGGTCGAACAAGACGTGTCCCTCATGTGGACATGAAGAAGCCGTTTTTTTCCAGTCTCAGCAACGTAGCGCCGAAACTGGCATGGTAAGTCCTTAGGACGACTGGAGGTGGCTCGTTAGGAGTAGTACAGACATCTAATGCGGCGTCGACAGAAACTCTTCTACGTATGCTGCGAATGCGGTTACATCTTCCAATGATCAGCGCATCTGTATGATCTTGTGGGTCGAGCATCGATCACATCTTTTTCGGCGGTATTTATAGAGGACTTTTTGACACCGTTGTTGGGGGTCACTTCGCGGGTAATGTATGGGATCGGCGTTTAGAAGTAGCTCGTCGAGGTCCATCAGGACCATTTTCTCCCGGAGTTAAAAGCATGGCCGATAGACCTCGGGTCCAACACAGCGGTGTGACGTCTGGCCTCGTATCTATCCCGATATCGTACCTACGCGACCAATCCTGTAGCATTAGACACAACTATCAATAGGCTATATCACATGCACAGACAAGGAATGGTTTAACACGAAGCGGTGATGCTTTATTTTTATTTTTATTTTCAGTCGTGATACTATGATTTCTCGAAGTTGTATGGGGAACATTTTTGCAAGAATGCCGATTCGCTCTCTCAACGCCAGCTAGATGCGCGCCCGGGACAGTGCATAAAACTGCGGGTTCCCTGGTGGTAAGATGCCTCGTCAGCCCATGCCCGCCGTGATTAAGAATCGTAAATTTTTTTTCCTTGACGCCTTGCTCTCCCTGCTTCCTTCGCCCTTTTATCTCCATTTCTTGTGCTTCTATAGTGGCCAGTTCTTCTAGCAGCCCAACCAGGTATGCCTTTCCTCCGTGCTGGCCAGCTACGCAACAACCGTCATAGCGGGCGTAACCATAGCAGGTAATCGTAAGGTCGCCGCGGGCGATCGGGCCGTCGCTACGAAAGGGGGTCGGGTGGTAGCGCGAGGCGAGGGGGATCACAAGTCTACGCGTGGGCGGGAGCCATGCTGAGGATCTTGCTCCAGCCGCGGCGGCGGAGCTCGGCGCCGACGACGCCGTTGACGCGGGTGCCGATGGGGTCGCCGGCCTTGCTGACGAGGACGCAGGCGTTGTCGCCGAAGCGGACGACGCTGCCGTCGGGGCGCTGGACCTGCTTGCGGGTGCGGACGACGATGGCGTGGCGGATGTCGCCGCGCTTGACCTTGTTGGCGGCGGCGGCGGCGCCCATGCCGGCGTCGCTGGCGCCGCGCTGCTTCTGCACGATGGCTACGATGCGGTCGCCTGCAGCGCTCAAAAGAGGGGGGGGGAGCGAGCTACACTTTAGTGACCGGGGCTGGCTACCTGGGGGGGGAAGGGGCGGCGGCGGCGGGCCGGACGTACCAATCGTCGCGTGCCTCTTCTGGCCGACGACGAGCGCGCACTCTACTAGGGCGGCGCCCGAGTTGTCGATGCAATTAAGCATCGTCTGCCGCCGCGGTCTACCCGTTAGCAAGGGCGTGAGTCGGACAGAGCGAGGGCGGGGGGGCGGACGGAGAAGGAAAAAAAAAGACCAAGGCGAAAAGAACACCTCCGGGGCTGGAGTGCAGGGCTTGCTTGTCCTACCTTGAGTTGAATCATACTGGCGGAATGTTACGCGCACCAACACCCTGAGGCAGGGTGCTGATCGAGTGTAAGGCAGTGCAGCGAGATGTTGGTGGTCGTGGGCGGGGGTAGGTGAGGTTCTACGTATATAGGCAGGACAAGTGGTGCTCGCGGTTATTTCTGGCCGAGGTGTGAGATTTCGAGGCTCTGCCACCCTCTGCCCAACCCAATGGACCTCGAATTGGCCGCTGGTGCGCCGGCGCCCGCCGACCCCGGATTGGGTTTAGCGGCTGCTCCCCAGGCTATTTTCGTAGAGACGCCCTTTCGGGGAGCCACTTTCGGTGTGTTACGCACGCAATGTCACCAAAATTGCCCTCTGCAGCCCAAGTACCTCCGCCCGGAGTTGTGTGCCTGTGTACTCGCGCTGCACAATTGGCTGCCTCCTGGTCGCGTTCGTTGCGTCTGTGGCTGCAGAAGGCGCGGCATGCATACTCATACTGCAAGCGTGCCTGCCTCTGGTACCTACCTAGGTAGGTTACTTAGGTAGGTAGGCGCCTCCCCGTGCCTGAGTACCCAGGTACCTGCGCGCCTGGGCGGGATGTATCTGCCCGTCTATATTCGGTGTCTGTGTACGTGGCGCTGCGCACCTGCCATGTTCAGGCACCGGAGGCACCACCTCATCTCTCTGCGCCGCGGCAGGTGCAGGTGGCTCAGCTCTGCATTTTCTGGGGTCTGCTTTCCTCGATGGGATCCGTCAATGCTTCCTTCCGGTGGAGAGCGACGGATCCGTGATGGCATCAGAGGTACATCAGGTACGCCCAGCGCGGCCGTGCCTGGCCTCCACGTCGCCTTGTCCAAGGTCTTATCCGTGTACCCCGGTACCCGCCCTCCCTGGCAGGGTACCTCGCTCTCCTTGCTGGTCGTCCGGTTGACCTGCCACCCGCTTTTCCCCCTTCCTTGCTTCCTCGCTTTGCGCCATCACGCGGCCGGTCATTTTACCTCGCCGCGACGTGCCATTCTCGTTCGTAATCTTATTCTCTGTCCTGCCGGCGTCGTAGCAGCTTGGAATTGACTCTGTCCTGACTCTCGTAACTATGGCTGCGTACAGTGGAAAGTCAATATGATGCGCTATGTCTCTTCCCTAGTCAATGGAATTCTCGTGGTCAAAGGCTGACCTCTAGTCCCTTCTCCTCTTCCTTCTCCTTCTCCCCCCTTGCTCTCACTCTTCCTCTCCTTCCTCTCTCTCTCTGTGTCTCCCCTCGAACTCTCCGCCATATCCCAATCCTCGTCGGCTCGCGTGCGGCCCGTATATATCACCAACCGCGAAATTGGCCGGTGCAATCCCATTTCCGGCTTGTGGTATCGCGTATTTTGGGAGCGGCGTTCATAGGTGCATCCGCAGACACTGCAAGGGGTCGAGACCACCTTCGGCTTCACCTGGCTTGCATCCGGCCCGGAGACCTCATTACAAGTCAGTCGTGTCACTGCCTCGCTGCCACTTCATCCGCATGCGTCGATTGCAAGATACATCCCCTGGGAAGGCTGCGCGGGCGAATCTGTAAATACGACGCCCCCCCGATTCCACACCACTCAACCCGATTCCCCCCCATTAGACTCTCTTTTTACTCGATACCCGTTAGACTAGTATCTTCCGCTCATTTCCCGGCCCGTCTGGGCTCGTACATTCGCAACCATGTCTTCCCACACGTCTGCTGCTCTGAAGAAGCAGCAGATCACATTGGCACAATTGGCGTCCTACGACGACATATTGACTGATGCGCTGGTCGATCATGTGAGTTGCCGTGGCCTCTCGGTTCTCTAGTACTTTGGCCTCGTACTGCGAGAGAGAGCTGACGTGTTCCTTAGGCCTACTACTGGACTACCATCCCGAAGAACCGCCCTTCCTACCACCCATCCCGAGGCGTTAAGGAAGAGGAGATCACCAAGATCATTCAAGCTCACCTAATCGTCGACCCGGATCTCGACACGGCCGAGTCGAAGCTGCTCGCGACGGACGGGTTACGCAAGTTCTACCAGGCGCTGAAGACACCCAAGGAGAAGGACAACTTCCGCGCCCATCTGCGACGGTACATGCAGATGTACCTTCCCGAATGCCCCTTCGAAGTTAGCTCGACGAATCGCTACACGATCGTCACCCACGAGGCCGCTGTGACCGCGCGCAGGTTCATTCGCAAGGGCCAGCCGATCAAGTACCTGTCGGGTATCCAAGTGTTGATCACGGAGAAGGAGGAGAAGGAACTTTCTAAGAGAAAGAAGGACTTCAGCATTGTCGTCAGCGCGAGGAACAAGTGCGCTAGTCTATTCATGGGACCGGCGCGATTCGCCAACCACGATTGCGATGCTAACGCGCGCTTAATGATCACCGGCCAAGCCGGAATCGAGATTATCGCTGCGCGGGACATCGAGACGGGCGACGAGATTACGGTTACATATTCAGAAAATTACTTTGGCACGGACAATTGTGAGTGCTTGTGCAAGACTTGCGAGGACAACCTGGTCAATGGGTGGGCGCCGGCCGACGGTATTGTTGCCGTGAAGAAGAGCATCGAAGCGACAATCGCCGAGGGATACTCTCTTCGCCGCAGGAGACGCGACGATAGCTGCGCCTCGGCGTCTCGAACGCCTTCGGTCACCCCCGATATCCGACCTCGAATCCTGAAGACTCGATCCAAGAAAGTAGACTCGGAACAGAGATCTGTCGTGGGATCTCCGGCACCTCAGGACCTCTTGGGCCGAAAGAGGAAGCGCGATATCCAACCTCTGCACTCGCCACCGGTTACCCCGGTGAAAAAGCCCAAGACGCTTCATTGCGAAGTTGAGGCTCTCTCTGTCCCTCCCAGCCTATCTGCGAGCAGCGCCGATGATTTGGCTAGTATGCACTCTTCGGAGCGTGGGAGCGTAGAATTAGGTCTGACGGACGTGACGACTCCCGAAGAAGATGTGAAGGAGGTGCCTCTTCTGCACTCGCCGAGCCCGACGCCTGCGAAATCGGTAGGACTATCGGGAACGCCTCTCAAACGGGAGGACTCGGATACGTCTTCGATTTCGGAGGTCACGTATACCCCTTCTAGCCCCAGCGCGCACGAGCCGATCGCGGTGGTGTCATTTCCGCCGGACGAGCCTATGCCCCAAGCCGACGACGAGGCCGCTGTACCAACCGTTGCGCATCTGCATGAACTAGCCCCCTCGGACACCATATCTCTTCCTGCGCCGATCATATCCGACGTCCCCGTGGCTGACCCAGCTCCCACCATTCCTTCTGCGATCGAGGTCAGCGACCCCTCCCCCGTAGTCGAAGCATCACATCCCGGCCGAGGCCGTCCTCATTCTCGAGAGAGGCTACCAACAGACGAAATTCCTACAGTCGACCATCTCATTGAAGACGATGATGTCCCTCCCGCCCGCACGCGAACGCCAGGAGACTACACGCTTACACCCGTGCTACTTTCTGAGCCTACCATGGCCTGGATACATTGCACGGTGTGTAGCGACCCATTCGTGCAACCGAATGCGTATTACACACGAAGTTCGTGCCCACGATGCGAGCGACACTCTAAGCTGTACGGTTACCAGTGGCCGAAAACAGAGAAGGAGGGCAAGCACGACAAAGAGGAGCGCATCCTAGACCACCGCACGATCCACCGATTCTTGGCGGCAGAAGACGAAGCGAAAATTCGCGGGCGAAAAGCTCTTCCGAGGACCAGCACGTCCACTCCCGGCCGGGATATTTCCGAGAAGAAGATGAGGGGTCGGCTGCGAAGAGTACACTCGCGCGATCCCGATTCGGTAGACGGGTACGGGGAAGAGGAATACGACGACGACGACGGGAATGCCAGGCGCAGTACGCGAAGACGAAACCCGAGTCAGAGAGCGACACGGAGCTAGGGTGTGGGTGGTGGTGGTTGGTGATGATGATTAGCATAAGCTATTGGTGGGGGGAGGGAGGGATGTTCCTAATATTTGAATGGGGGCGCGGGGAGTAGTATTCGGGTCTGCATGTACACACTGCGGGTGGACATTTGCATCTGTAAAATACCGTCACCGCCACGCATAGGGACGGCGTTATCGCGCTGTGCAGTTAATAGCGCTTTGCATTCATGGACGAGACGAGGGTCAATTGCATCCCAGTATGCATACTTGCAGGGGTGGGCACGTGTACATGGGCTTTTCGGTGTAGCCTAGTGAGGATGCCGAAGTTCGACAGCAATGGAAGGGATCTCTATAGAGTGCAGCGGCTGGCTGGTATCGCAGGTTTGGGCCGTCCGGTATCGCGAGGTGCTACCCCATGCCGGCTTGAGACGCAGCAGCAGCTTGGTCACGAGGGCCCCGGGGGAATCGAGCCCTTGTCTCACGTCAGAAGGAGGATAAGAACCAACAAGTCTTCCGTACTCAAACCCTGATCCCCTTTGTCAAGCCGTCCAGATAGCCTCTAAACAGCGCCCGTTCTGTCTATCTCCGACTCTTGACTCTTGCTCTTCTTCCTCTCGCTCTCTCGTTCTCCTCATTCTCGTCGCATTCCCGACTCTCTACGCATACACCAACACGCATATACATACGCATACCTAGACATCTTATACATCCACATCTACGTCGATATAAAGATAGATATAGACATAGATCTACCCGACAGGGACCGTTGCCTCATTCGATCCGTCGGACGCCAACGCCGGCGACCCCTCTCGGTCTTCCCTCGCGTCCACACGAGATCGAGCCAATATGGAGACGCCCGATCTCGCGGCCGCGTACAGCCATGTATGCACACTCCCGAGCCGCTGAACCCCCTCTACCCGCACGCATCTACCACCGCCACTACTTACTCCTACGGCTGGCTATTCATGCACACGAGTGACGCGAAGAGCGAGCAAAGCTGACCGTTGTTGGTGGGGGGGGGGGGCAGACCATCGCGCACAGACTGAGGCAGGTGGACGGGTGGACGTGGGCGCTGGCGGCGGCGGGGCTGTTCGTGCTCGCGGTGCTGCTGGCGAGGGCGCTGGCGACGGACGGGGGCGGGGAGCTCGAGAGCCAGGACGAGCTGGACGAGGACATGATGAGGGGTTTCCTCGGCCGCAGGAAGAAGAACAAGAAGGGCGCTAAGTAGCTAACCCCTTCCTCCACCCAGGCAGGCAGGCAGGCAGGCAGCTCCTCTTCCGCCGGGAACGGGAGAGGGGAAAAGGCACGGGCTCGGCTTCGCCCGAAGCAGCGCGGCAAGCAACGGTGGGACAAGAACAGGCAACTCTCGACGTCACTTACGATGCTACTGCGAATGTCAGCGGCCCTTGCTCGCCTGCCGGATGGTGATGATACGCAGGCGTCGTGTTTTTTTTTTTTTTTTTTTGGTTTTGTTTCTGTTTTACCCTCCATAAATTGTCCGGGTCATAGAACGCTGCAACGTCACGTCGGGGCGGCTCGCAGCGCTGGGAAAGGCGCTGGGAAAGGGGGATCGCAGTCGGGATGTGCTCTAGCGCTCAGCTGGCTTGGGCCGATGTTACGTGCCGACATGCGCAGGCGCCCGCGATGGAGGTTGGCAAGTGATGTAGGTACCTAACACAATGTACCGAATGTAGGCCAGCCAGCAGCCAAGGCAACTTATTATTAGGTACCGGCAATGGGTCGATGCAACTGGGAGGTTTGCGAGCAGGTGAAATCCCGATCGGCCGGGTTATCTGGCGGTGCGACGTGCCCGGTGTGATCCTGAGCCGCGCTCATTCGCCCGGCGATGGGGTGAATGAGGCATAGGTGCATACGCCCCGGGCACACCCACCTACGTTATGCATATGCATTCATACCTCTGCATATGTGTATGCACAATATGTATGCACCTAGGTACTCACATGTACACGTAGGTATGTGTGCTGTGTACAGGTACCACCAACAGCAAACCGCACACACATACATATACTCATACACGCGTGGCTGGTGACCAGGCCGTGCGCTCTCACGGGGCTAGGGCCAGGTACCGGGTACCTACGTAGTCGACGTGGGCGGGGCCGCTTCCGCATTGGGGCAGAAACAGCACTTGTCTGACGTATTGGCCCACGGGTCGGACGGTCGGTCACAATATTGCTAGACAACACCACCGCCTCGGCCCCTCTCGCCCTCTCTCGCCCTCTCGCTCTCCTTCTCCCGCACGCCATCCCAACGTCTCACCATATCGCCGCGTGTTCTGGTCTGACTAACACCATCCCAACAACCTCGTACATAAATCATACCCAACCGCTCGCCCAGCTTACCCGCGCTGCCTCCCACTCCCCCTCCCAGCCGAGAAACATACCCGTGCGTGTCTTACCGTGTGGCCAATACCAACCTACGGTAAGAACTGACAAGTTAGTAAGTGCATTTCGGCACGAGTAATCGAGACGAGCTCCCCATATCGGCTGAGCTGGACTCAGCTGGGCTGACTGTGCGCGCGCAGCAGATCCGACCAACCAACCGACCACTTCGCGCGATCCGCTTTTCGCCGTTCGCACCGTGACGTCAAGATGGGCCGCTGGTCGCAGTACGACACCGACGAGGAGCGCCTGCCGGAGGGCATGAAGCGCATCGGCTACGACGCCGACACGCAGGTCTACAGCTTCCGCGACGCCGACGGCAGCATGTGGGAGAGCGCGCCAGGGAACCAGTACGGCCAGCTGCACCGCGTCTCGGGGAGCGCTCCGCCGCCGCCGCCCCCGCCGCCGTACGACGAGGCGTCGGGCGAGCCGCCCGGCCGCCCGGCCTCGTGGCGCCACGACATGATGCCCCTGCTCAACTGGTTCCTGCTCGTCGGGCTCTTCCTGCTGCTCGTCTTCTGGTTCATCAGCAGCGCCGCCATGCCGCCCGCCCCGCCCGCCTGCGGCGAGCACTCCACCCCCCACCACATCCGCCCCGGCGACAGCTGCTGGGCCATCGCCGACGACCACGGCATCCCGCTCGACGCGCTGCTGCGTGAGAACGCCGGCGTCGACTGCGATAAGCTCGCCGTGGGCGGCACTATCTGCGTCCCCCAGGCCTAGGCTGGTGGCGCCGGCGCCGAGAATCCCGGGGTCATCCCAGCATCCACTAGATATTGTTATTTTTGGAGGGGGAGGGGGCGTATTTTGGGAGGGGCCGCGATGACTGCGCCAATCGTAGCAGCCTGGGGGGTAAATTTGTTGAATTAAACCCCGTATGCGCCTAATCGACCTGTCTCGAAGGTGTAGCTGTGCTACCCTACCTACCTACCGAGTCAACACCCCCATCTTGCAATCTGCTTCGCTGACCATCCCAGCCCATAAACGACGTGCGGCGCGCCTTTGGCTCTGCGATGTGCCGAGACACGGCGCAGAAGTCTGAACTTGCTTGTCCACATCGCTTGTGCACCACCTCCTAATACATGTGACAACCCCGTCTGTGGGAAATCCTCTCTATGTACCGAATCTCGACGGCACATCCATCCCCTAGATGTTTGCCCACGCAAAGGTGTGAGCCGTCGGCATCCCACTAGTACTTGTTCACGAACAACAGTAGTGATCTCTACGTTTTTGGGAACCTCCCCCGTGGTGTCTTGCCGGGAGCAGTAGCTGCCAGCCGCGATACCGTTCCCTCTGCGGGCCTCGACGCGTGCGTTGCGGGTGTCCGGCGTCAGCGTCGTCAGTTCGGAGGTAGGCATCGCGTAGGCCAGCCCGCGGCAGATATGAGGCCCTCCATACAACGGGTACGCCTTAGGCTACGAGACGGGTACCTCCGTCGCAGCTCCAACTATGACGTCGAGGGTTGGGCTCGCCTCTGCACAACGGCCCAGTCGTCCCAGAATGCCGTCTCGGTCCACTCGCGATCAGTAAATATACGGCCTGCCGACGTGCGATACCTCCCGCGTGGGTGCTGTTGCCTTCAAAGGCATGCAGTCTATGAGTGCTTACGTTGGCGTTGTAGACGGCGGGGATAGGAGAGCATCGAGACGAGACGGGATGAGGCGAGGCGAGGGAGGCCTTGTCGTGGCCGCTCCCGGCGGGTCTCCCAGCCGCGTCCTTTGCCCATCGTGCACTGTCGCCGACGTCGCCCTAGCGAGTGCCTAAGCGCTAGGCGGTAGCTGGCTGCTCGGGGCTACGCTGGCTGGGGGATAGGGGATAAATAAATACCTAGCCAACCTACCACCACACAGACCTGTCGGCCCCGGCGATCCCACAAGTTCGACCGTCCCATCTCTCCCCCTCCAACTACCCCCATTAGCCGGCTCGTCGCAGCCAGAATACGAGGACAGGGGATGCAAGGGGGCGCAGGGCGCGCGCACGCGTCGGCAACTGCCGCCGCGATCCAGATCGCCGCGTAGTTCGGCATGGCTGATGGGCCTGGCTACGTACCTACCTACCTAGCTGCGTACGCGCGTGTGGGCGACACACGCGGCATCGCTCGCTCGCTCGCGGCTGACCGCGCGGTCGCGGGCGGTCGAGAGGCATTGCCTGGCGCAGCGTCGGCTGCTGGGACAGATGTGAAACGCGACGCTGGCCGTCGCAGATCTCCCGGGCGCCGGCGGCAGCGAAGGGGGGGAGGGGGGGGGAGGGGCGCCGATCGCACGGCCCGTCTGGGCGTACGTAGGCTTAGGGAGGGGAGGGGCGGGGGGGCCGTCGTCGACGACGACGACGACGACGACGACGCAGGCGCGTCTCGCGCCATCGTTGCGTGTGCGGCGTTTCATCGTCGCGGGGGTGCGGTGCGGATCCGCGCGGGAGAGATGCGTGTCGACTACCGGCGCTCTGATATAGGTAGGGAGAGAGGGATGGATGGTATATTAGGTAGGTATCTCTGCGAAGAGCGCACGCGTACAAATACCGCCGCGATCCTCCCGGAGACGGCGATGATTGTTCTTGGTCACGCAAAACTACTCAAGTTCCTTCGGCCCATTCTTCCTGCATAAAATATCCGCTCGCACGACCTGGCGTCGCTCGTTTCCGTGTATATATAACCACATTACCTCGCCACTCCGCCCTCGTCCCATCCCAAAATGGTTCGCATCAGCGCCGCTGCTCTCTTGGCTTGTACGTTTATCTGTCCGGCCGGCCGGCGACGACTCGCACCAGCCTGCCGACCTGGCCCCCTTTCCCCTCTGTGATCGCGCTTCGTTGTGCTGACGCGCATTGCCACCCACATCTAGTCGCCGCCACGGCCCTCGCCCAGCTCACGCCGAACAACGCCGGCGCCCGGAACGTCGGCCAGGGCAACGGCCAGCAGTTCATCACCGGCGGCTGCGTCTCCGACGCCGTAAGTAGCGACGTCTTCTTCATCTCTCCGCCGCCCCGCTCCATCCCCCGCTTTCCCTCTCGGATGATCCGCACGGCTGCGACGAGCCCGCGCTAACGTTAGTGCCCGCTCCCGGGCGACGACGTGCAGGACTGCTCTTCGGCGTGCTGCGCCCAGGTCCAGTCGAACGGGCTCGGCGTGTGCTCGGCCGAGGCCGCGTCGCTGCAGAACGGGAAGCTCGGCTGCGGCTTCGTCGACCCGAATGCGACGCAGACTATTGCCGCGGCCAAGGCCCAGGTCGCGAAGCAGGGATTCTAAAGAGGCGGCGACAGCAGCAGCAGCAGCAGCAGCAAGTCGCTCGTTGCCCCTGAGACGAGGGATGATGAAACTGCACGGCGAGACAGGCGCCCTCGCTTCTGGCGTGGAGGGTTGCGCGTCTGGGCACTTCTCGTGTTCTCCCTCGTCTCGTGCTACCCCGACGAACGTGATGATGGAGATAGATGGTGGTGCACGGAGGACTACTGGGCCGGGCCGGGTTCGCGCCTCGCTCGCCTTCGCGAGAGGGGAAGTTAGTTACTCACAACTCTACAAAATAGCAAACAACCATTTTCGAAGCGTCCGTATGAGGTCCTTCTTCGCGTGATCTGTGCCGGGTCCGTTGCCTCGGTGCATATGCGTGTGTCCGTATCGCGCCGATGTACTGACAGGAAACATTGTCCCTGTTTGTGGTTCCCGCGTCTTTGTTTCTACGGCCGTCTCGAACCATAAAGGCGCGTCTAATAGTCCGGTCAACGTCCATGTCCGTACCGTACCTGGCCTCTCTGAAAATTAAAAAAAAAAAAAAAACCTGCAAGCAAACCCTTCTTCACTCCGGTATTCTTCTTTGTCCTCGCCTCCCACGCTCTGTCCCACCACCATCTCGACGCCCGTAATATTGTCATTCAACGTGGCTCCCTGTGGATGGCCATTGGGGGAACATAGCATGATTGGTCGACTACCACACTGCGAGTTTTCATTCGGGCTCCTTTATCCATGGTGGTCGAGAGTCGTAGCCCGGTAACACATTCAGGCCTCGCAACTAACGCACACTGCATTGTCCGGGGTCCGATCCGAGGGGGGCATTGTCCGCAACGCTTGTGCAACGGACCTCGAAGTTGGAGAAAAAAGAAGGAGAGAAAGAAGGGCCTCTTTGTGCTGCTGTTCTTAGACACCGTCTTCGCGCAAAAAGTCCTTATGTCGCTCGAGCACAACAGCCTTAGCGATACAAATCCGAACGGTTAGGCGCGTCTTCTCTCCTACCTAACCCACGATTTCCGGCCGGCCCGCACACGCATAAGAAAGCCTACCCGCGAGCTGCGACGATAGCACCGAATGCGACAGAAGAGAACACAATTCGAAGAAACGGATCGAGATAGAGAAGGACCATGGCGAGGCCGCAGACGCTGACGAGCAACTACCTACCCTACATACAGCACGCCATCGACGCGCAGGACGACGTCGATGCGAGCGCCGACGGCACGGCGCTCGAGGTTGTGTGCGCGATATGCACAGAGAACAGGCTGGACATCTCGCAGAGCGCGCGGGCGCTGGCCGCCGCGGCGCACCGCGAGCCGCCCCCGGGGGCACCAGCTGCCTCGCACCTCGAGACACACCAACACCTGCCGACGTACGTGCGGCACGGGCTGGAGCGGACGGTGGCGCTGCCGTGCGGGCACGTGTTCGGGGACCGGTGCATCGCGAAGCTGCTAATATCGCGGCGGACGTGCGCCGCGCCGGCGCCGGCGTCGGACCACCTGAGCTGCCCGGCGTGCGGCTACCGGCTGCGGTACCGGGTGTGCGGGCACGCGATCGCGCCGGCGGCCGTGCCCGTCGGCGGCGGCGGCGGGCCGGTGCGCGACCGCTTCCCGCTGACGGTGGCCGAGGGCGCGGCCGACCCCGCGAGCTGCCTCGAGTGCCGCTGGAAGACGATACGGGCGAGCCTGCGGCTCGCGCTGGCGGACGAGTGCGTCGTCTGCCGGCGCGGCGGGGGCGGGGCCGGGGCGGGCGCGGCGGCCGAGGCGCAGCACCGCGCCCACCGCGACCGCTACGTCGCGCGCGGCCTGCGCGAGGCGCTGGCCCACGTCGTCGCGCTCGTGTGGCCCGAGTTCGTGACGCGCGAGACGGACCGGTCCGCGGCGCGCGCCGTCGCCGACGACGAGCGCCGCCAGGCCCACGTCTCGCTGCTGTACGCCATGGTGCTGTCGGAGCTCGACGAGACGATCTGGTGCCGCGCCGCCGGCAAAGGGCCGGCAGCGGCGGCGGCGGGCCGCGCCGCAAAGCAGCACGCGCTGCGGCACGCGCACGGCGTCGCGGCCATCGAGCAGAGCATCCTCGGCTGGCTCACGGACAGCTCGGGCGGTGCTGCTGCTGCGGCGGCGGCCTCGGGGGGGGAGGGCGGCGCCAGGCGGATGTGGTGATGCCGTATATTGCCATGCGATGGAACGGGAGGGTGAGCGCTGGGAAGCGATATAAAGGAAACTGGTCGGTCGGGTTAGGTTCGTATAGGTGCGACGAGGTTCGGTGTGTGTTAAACCGATCTGCGGCGGAACCGAAACGAATTGAGACAGGGAAGGGAATCACAAGGTATTATTATAGATGGGATCGAAGCGGCTAAAAATGACCTGGTTCGTGCCATTGTTCTTCTTCTCCTTCTCCCCGCGTCGCCTGCGCCTCTCGCAGTCTTGTCGTCTTTCTCCCTTGTCCCCCAGCCGTGCCCTACAACGCCACATCGGCAACAACATGCCGGGTTTCGCGAGCTTCGCGCCTAGCTAGCAGCCGATCGACGGACGTTTTCGGTGTCGGCCCCTCTCGATTGGAGGTGCCTTGTGACTCACGGGGGTTGAGGCAGGGGTCTGTCGATGTGGGAGGAAATTTGAGTGGCACCCAGTCGTCCGGACCGGGGTTGAGAGACCGTCGAAATATGGGCACACAAGGGGCTAAGCCGAATCAGAAGCCTTCCTGGCCGGAGCCAGTCGTTTCGAAGTCTTGTCGCCCGTTAAAGACTTTCCGGGGTGATGGGTAGAGCATCGGCAGACGGCCTAGCTAGGTGTGTTCTGCTTAGGATGGCCGCACTCAGCCCCGTTCGTGTTACTCAATAATAGCGATGCTCGTTAATTGGTGTCGAGTGTATAGTAGTACGTATAGAGTGGAATTCAGACAGATGATTGACTTCCCTTGATCATGGAATCCCCGCACCACAGTTCTATTCACGGAACCGTGGTAGGGTTATATGCCACCCCAAAATCCTTCGCCAAGCGTGTATAAGCCTCTGTGTAGATGCGCCATGCCTGTGGCGACGGCTGATTGCTAAGAGAGGGTGCCATTAGGCAACCGATCCTCCCCCTACCTCAAGCATGATGGGTCCTGCGGCTTGTCTGATTCTTAGTGACTGTGCCGCACAGTGATGGGAAGCCTGTCCATTCCTAGAGTCGGTTGGCGTGACGCTGAAGAAGAACTGCGATATTCGACAGATACTGCCCAATATAGCTCGCTTAATACCAAGGAATAACTGTCTGCCTAGTTTTGCCTTAAAATGCCTGCGAACCATCTCCCCGCTGTATATATAATCCTTCGGAGGACCGTCGCGCGTCTCTCGATTCGTCTCTCTTCCGAAAATCTCGATCTTGCTCACTTCGAAGACCAAAGCCATACTGAAATACGAGCCGTCCGGTAGTTGTCGCCCCAATCGGCCCACTCCTGTCCCATAACTCGACTGTCGATAATACCTCCTTACCACTCCTACTCGCGCAGGATGTTGAAGATTGCGGCGCTCGCTGTCCGAGCATTCCTGGTAAGTCGCGCGCGGGATCTCTCTAACTCTCGATAGCGGTTGGCCGTGATACTCATCAACTAGTAGCTCCTGTTTGGCGCCGTCGTCCTAGGCCTCTCCGTGACCCTTGCGAAGCAGCAAGTCGTCGGCGCACCCCCATCCGAGACCTCATTCGGTAGCTTCTGCGGGGCTTTTGGTATACTAGTCTCGCTCGTCGGCCTCGCTGGCCTTTTCATCGACAAGATACCTGCGACCGTCGTGTTGGGAGCAGACGGCCTCGCCTCGGCGCTCTACCTAGCCGGTGGCATCGTAAGTCGAAACTCCGGTCGCGCCGTGTGGCATATATAAGTGGGAGAGAGTTGACCAGCTGACACCTGTGACGCGGTAGGCTCTGACGATCGCGCTGAGGCCGGTATCGAGCTGTACAAGCTGGGATGCCTGGCCCCGTTACGAGCGAGCGACCAACAAGCTCCTGACCGGAGGTTGCCAAGACGTTGCTGGCGACCTCGTCTGCCCTGGCATCGGAACCGAAAATGATGTGATGAGCCGCTGCCAACGGGTGCAGGCCGACTACGTCTTCGAGTACCTAGCCTTCGTCTTCGGCATAGCTATCGTCGGCCTAAGCTTCGCACTTCGCAAGCGTGGGGGCGGGTCAAGTGCCACTTATGTCTAGGCGGGAGACGGACGACTCGGCCTGCGCCTACGATTAGGACGTAATATACTTGATGATCCAAGGAAACGAACAGGTCGCTGTATCCCGTCGCGTGGAGGGGTTGATAGTAGATAGTTGTCTATGCGTAATGAGACGGAATTTGCTCGAAACGGTCCGAGATGACCCGAACGCTTTGTTGCGAGCGTGTTGGCGGCGTACATAGCTTCGATACCCTCACTTCTGTGATAGAAAAGACAATCTACTTCGAAATTCCCAAGCCCGAGATAAACGGACGATGCGCGGGGACCCTCGGCACCTTCACATTCGCCCCCTTGCCCCATCGACTCTTAAACCCCCTTCCGAATTTTCGGTGTAGACAAGATTACGACTTGATGGATGCCTCTGCGACACGTGCTGCTCCGCCGACAGAGCTTTATTTCGATGCAGAGGCTGGCGAGGCGAACAAGATAGACACCCTAGAATTGCCCGATAGTAGAGTCGCATTCGATTTATACGACATCCCTTCCTTTGCCCTTATCCTTGCGTCGCTAATCCGAAAAGTTCACGATAGCAGCTCTTCTGTAGCGTTTTGTCTTCATAGTCAGTCATAGTGCCTCCAACATACCAGGTACAAAGGACAAGTGCTTGGCGGTGACGAGCATCCCCCTGGCCCTGGCAGGAAGCTCTCGGGCACGGGCTTCAATTCTCTCCTCTTATTGGTTTCCAACAGTAAACATCGATATCCGAATTACAGCTTAAGTACGGAGTCGCACATCTACATCTGGGAAAATATCCATTTTGGGTGGAATGCCCTAGTTTTAATGTACGTATATAGACTTATGCCCCAATAAAAGGAGGTGTCTATGTGCGTGTTGGCGGTTTCACTTTCAGGGCCTCTCTGCCTCAATTGTAAGGCGTACAAGACGTGTCGAAAGCTGAACCTATTGTTGTTGAATTGAAGGAATTAAGCTAGCTACTCGAAAACAGCTTGAATACAGCATTTTAAGGTCAGTTGACAGTTGTGCGTTTTTCCCCAATCTGACCAATCGCAGGGTTCCATTCTTGATGCCTGGATGCCTTAGGTGCCACAGCTGTAGTAATCGATATATTCAACTATTAAGGGTTACTCTGTCGTCGTCCTTTCGTGCAAGGCAGGCAGTGTCGAAGGTAGGAGTAAATGGAAGGCAGTTGCAATTGAAGGCAGGCGTAAATGGAAGGCAGTGGCAAATTAAAGGCAGGTGTTAATCGAAGGCAGTAGCAAGCAAATTAAAGGCAGGTAGGCAGTTACGGCCCCTTCGTAAAGGCAGGAGGAGGTAACGACGAATGAGTACGTACCTTTCGATCAGGGTTGAATCGTTTTTTCCCAGATGTAGATATGCGACTCCGTGCGTAAGTCGACAATGCGCTGTTTGATCCCCCTCAGCTGTGCCGTGCCGCATGCGCACCTTGGCCGGAGTCAGCGCCATTGCGCGTCGCCGGGCTTCTGTGCGAAAAGCCAATTAACGAGACAAGCTGCTCGTACTCGGGCAAGCCCTGCGGCGCATCGTGGCTGTAATGCCAGTAAGGGTAGTCCCCCATCTTGACTTGCCGTGTGCGTCGCGCGCCTGCTGAGCGTCGGATAGTACCTAGAGAGAGGGGGGGAGAGCAATCACGACTACCAATGCAGTCCGGGACGAGGGGAAGGTATATGGGCATCGGCGGGCCAAATCCCCCACGACGGCCCTCGATTCTCCCTCCTCCATCACAACATGGTGGTTGGCGTGGCCTGGATCGAGTTCTTGACGGTCGACACGGAAGGCATGGCGCCGGACGAGATCTAGAGGGCCAAGAACCACGCCGCGTGGAAGTTCGACTTCATGGAGCTGTATGGTGACTACAAGGGCGTTCGCATCGCGATGGTTGATTGATTTCGAAGTCGTCCGTTCGCCCTCCGAGGGCAGGATCAGCCACAAGCCCGGCAAGTTGATGGTCAAGCCTCTCAGATATGCCGACATGCCGCACAGCTCAGCCCGTACCGTCCAGATTCCCATCGCGGAGGTGAAACTTCCCGTCATACCATCGCCATGTCTCAGACAGGATGCCCTACGAGAACACCGCAAAGGCCCAAGAACTCGCTAGCGAGGTTCCGTGAGGTACGATAAGCAGTCACCGCTAGGACCCCTAGGTCTGGATTCCGTCGACGGTTCCCTGTTCCGCTCCGTTTCACACAAATTCGAGCCCTGACCCTCAGTTGTCTTGAAGCTTTGGTCCTTTCCTGCCTGCCGCCCTTTTTTTCCCCTTACCTTGACGCAAAGTCCTGTTGTTACGTAGGTAGATCGGGAGAGCTACGTATGGGGCTGAGGTTTGCTCTGCTGTGGGAGCAATGGAAGCTGGGATGAAGAGGTTGAATTGACTGACTAGCTAACGAGGAAGGAGTAGAGAGCTAGGTATAGGTGGCTCTCTACGTGACACCTGTCCTTACCGGTACCATGCTGGCACATGAAGTAGTCCTGTCCTTACCAATAGTTTAGCTCTCAAATCAACAGTCCAGTCCTTACCGATAGTATTGCTCACACACGCACACGCACAGGTCACAGTTTGCTTTCCAGGCTGCTCTGCTCCTTGTTCCGCCGTATGCTGTGGACTTACTTTGCACCACCGCGACAGCCTAGGCGCGCCGAATTACCACGGTAGAACTAAGAGATTAGATGATGGGTCATCAGAGTATGTAGACCGTCGGGGCTGTATCCAATGTATTACATCCCACCAACACAAAGGGGAGGCGGGACGTGCCGTCCGGGGGCGGGTCCGTCCTCCATCTAGGTATATCTAGGCCCGGCAACCCCTGACCATAATAGCATTGCTGAGAGGAGGCGCATGCGCCGATGGCCGATACGCAGAATGGAAGCTCCGAATGTCCCCGTGGCTACGCCGGCAGAGTTCCCATCGTCCGACCACACCTTGCCACCTCCACGGCCGTCCGAGTGTGTGGGATGCTCGGCCATGCTGGCAAAATGAGCGCCGGGACATCTCTCACGCCACGTGGGCAATGTCCCCTATATGCTTCGCTTCCTTCAGGCCCGACACTAGTGGCACTCTAAGGCTGCCCCACCGCATGGTCGCGGCTGTTCAGCGAGCCAACGGCGCAGACTTCGCCAAGCAGGCTGGGGGGTGCGACTGATAACGCTGCGGCAGGATGAAGGATTGTGGATATATAAAATGAGTTCTTCACTGCAGGCGAATTGGAAATAATAAGTCTGAGTTCGTTCTGCGACACCTTCAATCTCTAGGGTTGTCTAGTGCATCGCGTGTTGTGTCGCGTCTCGTAACGTGATCGCTCCCCGGTCTGTGTCAAGATGTTGGTATGCATGGTCCTATAGATGGACGTAGGTACAAGAAGGATGCTGACCCATATGTGCCACCAGTTCCAAAAAGCGACTCTCCTGCGTGCCGTCGCAGCGTGCTGTGAGTATGATAGGAGCGCCCAGTTTGTATAGACTGCTAACAAACGGCGCAGGTTCAACGGGATGCATTGCGGCTGTATCGAGCTGCGGCTACACCAAGAACGGTCTCAAGTGGACGGGTGCTACTCGGATGAACCAAGTTCAGGTATAAATGACGCTTTATATTTTACTAGACTATCTTCAGGTTGCCTCTCGTCTATCCCCGCCGTTGGGAGGAGGATCATCGACAAGTTGGTATTCGCATGGATAACTAATCCGGCCACTGCTAGGTCATCGGCACTCACAATTCCTATCACCTCGAGGTTCCGTTAGAAGCGCGTGAGGTGCAATCCCAACTGCTGTCGAACATCATCAACCTCGCGTACTCGCACCCCGCACTCGACATCCAAGCGGCATACCAATCCGTACGTAGCTTCGAGATCGACGTCTATGCCGATCCCGAGGGAGGCTGGTATGCGACTCCATATGTGATCCGCGAGTCGGGCACCGAGCTACCTCCGCAAGACGTCATGAACAAGCCCGGCATCAAGGTCTTGCACATCGCAGACGCCGACGTCTGGCAGACCTGCTACACGTTCATCGAGTGCATTACCGTGGTGAAAACCTGGTCCGACGCGCACCCGGGGCACGTGCCGATCCCGTTCATGATCGAGTTCAAGACAGCCGAGACCGGGACCGGTGGCGGGGTGCCCCCGATTCCGTGGGACGACAGCGAGCTGCTCGACGGCTTCGACGCTGAGATCCGCTCCGTCTTCCCGCCGTCGAAGCTTGTCACGCCAGACGACATCCGACGCGGCAACTTGACACTGGAGCAGTCGGTCTTGGCCTACGGGTGGCCCGACCTCGAGTCAGCGCGGGGCCGCGTGCTCTTCCTGATGGACAACTCCCCGGGCGCGATCCGCGAGGTGTACACCGCGCAGCGGCCTAACCTCGAGGGCCGCGTCCTCTTCACCAACTCGGCGCCCGGGAACGCCGACTGCGCGTTCCAGAAGCTCAACGACCCGCGCGGCGCCGAGAACCTGGCCAACATCCAGGAGCAGGTGCGCGCGGGCTACTGGGTGCGCACGCGCTCGGACGAGCCTATGTCGACGATCCTCAGCAACGACACGACGGGCATGCGCGACTCGGCGCTCGCTAGCGGGGCGCAGATCGTCAGCACCGACTTCCCGGCCTACGGTATGACGAGCCGCTGGCATGTCGACTACGCCGTCCGGTTCGAGCGCGGCAGAGCAGCGCGGTGCAACCCCGTCACCGCGGCCGCCAACTGCCAGGACCGTTTGCTGGAGGCCGAGGAGTACGTCCGAAACTGAGCCGACGTTCGTTTCATAGGGCAGAGGCTATGCTCGCTGGCACATTCTCTTCCGCCTTCTTCCCGTCCGGTTAGATTAGGTAGCTCGGATTTGATAGTCTAGGTAGGTATACCTATGAGTAGGTACATCTAAATCTAAATACGGCCCGCGATGGGAAAGCGACAGCATGCCGACTCGTGACAATACAGCAATTCCAAATACCTACCTACCCATATCGGTACGAGTTCGGGGACGAAGAAGAATTCGCATGGGTGCCTCACCTATCGGATCTGTCGGTGGCCTGATTGCCGAGATCACATTAGCGGCTTGGCAGAGGCGGTGAGCCCAAAGCAGGAAAGGGTCTGGGAAAGGAAGCGATCGCGCTCTGGCGCGCCACGACGACAACAGCTTCTGTTAACCAACCTATGGAGCGCGACTGTTTCGGAGTCACAAGCGTGAACTCGCCTTGCTGGTATTGATAGCATAGCTTCGTCTCCCATCGCCGAGAACGGTGAGTATTAACAGCGTCCCGTCCCTCCCTAGATACCTCTCGTCCCCCTGCCCATTGCCGGCATGGCGCATCAACGCGTGCCGACGACGCCTACTCCGTGCCCAACCCAAACTAATGGCACGCCAATAGAGGGGGAGCTGCTTCGAACCCTGGATTCATTCATTGTCATGCCACCAAGGAAAATTCGACCGAGTTTTAAACGCGCCCAGCAAGGTCAAGCTCGTATTTAATACGGTAATACGGTAGCCGGCGGCATCTGGTGGGGTTGTCCTCTCTGCATCCCTCCAACGGCTGCTCCCAACGGCTGCTCCCAACGGCTGTTCCCAGTCTCGGGGGCTTCTGTGCCGCGGAGACATCATCTCCATCTCCATCTCCATGCGTAGTATATAAAGCCAGAACCTCCGCTCCTGGGAAAAGAGGTGGCCGGACTCACAGATCCGCCAACACTCGCCCAGAGTCTCCCTTCCATAGCCACCATGTTGTCTCCGCTAGTAACGGCTCTCCTCGCGCCGGTGCTGGCGTCTGCTAGCTCGGGCTACGCCCAGTCGCCGGCCGTCTTCCCGTCGCGTAAGTTTCCCTTGCCGTCCTAGCCTCGGCCGACTCTCGCCTCGAGCGGGTCCCCGCCTCCAGTCGCTGACGTCGGACGTCGCTCTACCTACAGCACCGGGCAGGGGCGCGGGCGTATGGGCGGATGCGTACGCGAGCGCCCGCGACCTCGTCGGCCAGATGACGCTCGACGAGCGGGTCAACGTCACGCGCGGCTTCGCCGTCAGCCACAACGTGTGCGCCGGAAACACCGGCACCGTGCCGCGCCTGCAGTGGCCCGGCATGTGCCTGCACGACGCCGGCAACGGCGTGCGGGCCACCGACCTCGTCAACTCGTACCCGTCGGCGCTCCACGTCGGCGCCGCCTGGGACAAGAGCCTGACGTACGAGAGAGCCTACTACATAGGCAAGGAATTCAAGGCCAAGGGCGGTAAGTAGGGGCGACGCGCTTCGTGATGTCTCGGGGCCGGTGGGCTCACGTGTTGGTAGTCAATGTCGTGCTGGGCCCCAACGCCGGCCCTCTCGGAAGGTCGCCCCTGGGCGGCCGAAACTGGGAGGGGTTCTCGGTTGACCCCTATCTGTCCGGCCAGCTGAACGCCGTGACTGTTGTCGGCCACCAGGACGCTGGGGTCATCGCGAACATCAAGGTGAGATCATGCGGACGGTTGCCATATCGAGTTCCGCACGTTCGCTAACTCCATGTAGCATTTCATCGCCAACGAGCAGGAAGCATATAGGCGGCGCTACTTTGGGGTGGAAGCAGTCTCGGCTAACGTTGACGACAAGACCCTCCACGAGTTCTATCTATGGCCCTTCATGGATAGCGTGAGGGCAGGTGTGGCCTCAGTCATGTGTTCCTATAACCGGATCAACAACACGTACGCTTGCGAGAACAGCAAGCTCATGAATGGCGTTCTCAAAACCGAGCTTGCCTTTGAGGGATTCGTGCTCCTCGACTGGGATGCTCAGCACAATCTCGAGAGCGCCAATGCCGGACTGGATATGGTTATGCCTAGAGCCGGGTTTTGGGGAGACAATCTAACTGAAGCTGTCGTCAACGGGTCCATCGGCGAGGACAGGGTCACGGATATGGCAACAAGGTAAGGCTGCCGTCGCGAGCCGCACACTAGTTGGTCACTGTGCTCAACTGAACCAGAATCCTGGCGGCGTGGTATCTTCTTGGCCAGAACGACACCGACTTCGCCATCCCGGGCATCGGGATAAAGAACCTCACCTCACCGCACGAACAGGTCGATGCGCGCATCCCCGAATCTCAACCGGTGATACTAGAAGGGGCGATAGCCGGGCACGTCCTGGTCAAGAACAGCGGCGCGTTGCCCTTCCGAGAGAAACCGACCATGCTTTCGGTATACGGATACGACGCTACGATCCCGGAGACTAAGAATACGGACAACCTGTTCCAGTTGGGGTTCACCTCTTCTCGGGAGATGGGCCAGGCCGTGCTGGGTTCGGAGCAACATTTTGACCAGGCGGCTAGGGGAGGGACGATCATCACCGGTGGCAGAGCCGGCGCCAACGGCCCATCCTACATCGACGATGTATGCTGTTTCTATGTCATCGATTACCTGTCACTTTGCTAACGTCGAAGTAGCCGTTGAGCGCCATCCAGCGGAGGGCGAGAGCGGACGGGACTTGGATTAATTGGGACTTGATTTCGCCTAACCCCGACGTCAACGGAGCCTCAGACGCGTGTTTAGTCTTCATAAACGCCATGGCTACGGAAGGCTGGGAGAGGGAAGGGCTCCACGACGATTTCAGCGACGGGCTCGTCCTCAACGTCGCGTCGAAGTGCGCGAATACCATCGTCGTCATCCACGCAGCGGGGGTTCGCCTAGTGGACCAATGGATCGACCACGACAATATTACCGCGGCCGTCATCGCCCACCTGCCGGGACAAGACAGCGGCGAGGCCCTAGTCAGGCTTATCTACGGCGAGGCGGGGTTCTCTGGTAAGCTCCCCTATACCCTAGCCAAGAACGAGAGCGATTATGCCGTCTACGCTCCTTGCGGCCGCGGCCCGTCGAACACGACCGACCCTCAGTGCGACTTCACCGAAGGCGTGTACATCGACTACCGCCACTTCGACGAGCAGGACATCACCCCCCGCTACGAGTTCGGCTACGGGCTGAGCTACACCACCTTCAACTACTCGTCACTCTCGATCGAAGTGCTAGCAGTGCACCCCGAACTCCGAGGCGTCCCCATCCTGAGCAGCGACGAGAGTATTTGGGAAACCGTAGCCACGGTAAACGCGACCATCACCAACTCTGGCTCGCTCGCCGGCGCAGAGATAGCGCAGCTGTATCTCGGCATACCCAACAGCCCCCCGAAGCAGTTGCGCGGCTTCGAGAAGGTGTCCCTCGCCCCAGGGGAATCCGCCGAAGTCGTCTTCGAGCTCACCCGGCGGGATTTGAGCGTATGGGACGTGATCACTCAGGCCTGGATCGTGCAGGGGGGCGAATACCCCGTCTATGTAGGTGCTAGTAGCCGGGACGTCAGACTGACCGGTGGTATTTCGGTATAGCACGTTGCAGCCAGGATACATTAATACAACAGACCCTATTGCGGCTATTCAGAGAACCGTCGTTAGGTTAATTGGGTGCGTATTTGTGTGAATGTGTCTTCTTGAAGTGACTCGGAGGCAATAGAGGGGAAAGCTCTCCTTAAGGCATGCTTTCCTTTTCCAGAAAAGGGGAGGAAGGGGGGGAATATTTGATGTCAAAGTGGGCGATGGCCAAGCGATCCCCGTCTTAATTCAAGAGTCGGGGTTTTCTCAGCGCGAAGGGCTGTACAGTATTCAGCCGCCGTTTTGAATCCAGGATCTACTCTTCCCACCTCCTTACTGCTGTAAGGATGAACTAGGTACGCTCACAGGATACCCCCTACCTACCCCACAAGCCCCTTATTCTTTTTCCCGCACCTCTCTCGTTGGAGCTTGTAGCCGTCCCCCCTTAGCCCTAGCCGCACCACTCTATGCCGCGGGCTCTCTCTCTCTCTCTCTCTCTCTCTCCGCGGACCGCGGGCGCGTCACGCCTTCTCCACGCCGAGGGCCTCGAGGTACTGTGCGGCGACGTCGAGGAAGGCCTCGTCGAGGGTCTTGAGGGGGCGTCCGAGCAGGCGCTCGACGTCGGCGGAGTCGTAGGCGAGGGGCAGGGTGGTGGCGGCGGCGGCGGCGCGGGTGGGGGCGAAGACGCCGGCGGCGACGGCGCGGGGGAACGCGCGCGCGACGACGGCGAACAGGGCGCCGAAGTCGCACGGCGCCGCGAGGCCCAGGTCGGCGGGGACCGCGGCGCCGCCCGCCAGCGCCGCGCGCAGGTGCGTCTCGACGACGTCGTCGAGGTGCGCGTACGCGCCGGGCAGCGGCCGCGGCGCCGCCGCCCGTCACCAGCGCCAGCGCCACCCCGTTCGAGCTGTGCGGCGCGCACACGCCGCGCGCCAGCGCGTCGCGCCCCAGCACGAGCCCCGGCACCACGTGTGCGCGACGCCGAAGCGCGGCTGCCGCGCGCGCACGAACGCGTCCGTGTCGCGCAGCTCGGCCGCCTTGGCCGCGGCGTACGCCTCGTGCGCGTCGCGGAAGCGCAGGGGCGCCGGCGGCTCCGGCGGCGGCACGCGCGTCGCGGCCGAGAGCGTGACGCCGGGCGGCGGCGGCGGCTCCCCGGCGCCGATGTTTCCCGCGATGGACGACGTGACGACGACGCGCCGCACGCTCGGCGCCCGCAGCGCGGCGTCGAGCAGCCCCGCGGCCACGCGCACCGTCGGCTGGAAGATGTGCGCCGCGGGGTCGCCGCCCGGCGTCGGCCCCGGCGACCCGGCGCGGATGACGTGCGTCGCGCCCTGCAGCGCGGCGTCGAAGGCGCCCTCGGCGGCGGCGTCCGGGAGCACGACCGAGGCGAGCCGCGGGCCCGGCGCGAGCGCCCGCACCGCCGGGTGAGAGGACACGGCCCGGGCCTTTTCTTCGGTCCGAGCCATGTACCGCACGGTGTGGCCGCCCGCGAGAGCGGCGACGAGGATCGGGAAGCCGATGAAGCCGGTGACTCCGGTGATGAGGAATGTGGCCGTCATTGTGTAGTTTGTCTGGCAGAGGGGTGTCTTACGGTGCTGAGACAGGCCTCTACTTGAGGTGCCGGGTTTCTTAGCCTCTTATTTCGCGCTAAATCGCCTCCGTCCCATCGGCGAGATGATGCAAGGGTCGCCGCGAGATGGGCGTGGCGAAGGGATAGAGCGGCGTTTACAGGGAGAGTGATAGATTGTGGGGACAAAGAAGAGTCTTCCGTCGACCGTCTCCGCGGTAATAATAGCAGTGTTTGTAAATTCTGTCATAGCTACTGCAGGATCACGGATCCCTTCCAAACTCGTCAGAGAACCTGTTAGACGCACGACTTACGGCCCACGAATCCGGCGTGTTCAGCGATTGGTTTCCTTTTCAGTTGTTGTCGAGGGACCGGGTAACTATCTAGTTAACCGGCTAGGCTATGTTGATTGAGTTGGGCCTCGCTACTTTACCCGCCACTGCAGATACCCGGCGAGCCGACAAACACGGCGCATTAGCTAAGAGACTCGGGTGGACGAAACTTGTGCTTGATGCGAGTGTGACTTCACAAGGCCACTCGCTCGCTCTGAGAGTCCAGTCTATGGAGCTACACCATGCTGCACCTGTGCTGCTCCAGGTGAGGTTTAATTAGGCGACCAAGAAATACCACACTCTATCACGATCAAGTATTACTTCTATGACATCGAATTGTCCCGAACTCTGGAACAATGATGGGGTTGGTCAGCATCGAAGGGACTCGCAGCGGTGTAAATTGCTTAACTGCTTCGATAAGGAACTACCTAGCTACCTAAGCAGACAAGGGAGAGTGGGTGCCTGGATGAAAAGCGTGAGCGTTGCGTCAGCTCGGCTATATGGAGACGAGCTGCCCAAGTAACGAAGGTTGATCTCTAGTCGCGGTAGTGACTCGCTTTACCGAGGAGCGACAGGAGACACAACGGCTGCGTGATCAGGAACCGCTCATGTGTAACCCAGTGGCAGTCTCACAGATCAGTGCAATCTGTCGGCATATTTCATCCCCCGCTCCTGGTCGACGATATTAGTTGCTGTTTTCTAAAATAGAAAGGCCTTTGGGAAGCGAGTATTAATAATTACCGAGGAGCCAATAACGAAAAAAAACCTCTCGAAGCGTCGTATACGATGGAACAGGCCTAGCTCAGCATCATTACTATATACTTGCTGACTTTCGTCATTTCAACGGTAGAATAGTAATGTTGACGTGGAGATACTCAAGCTACCAGCTCTCTCTAGCGGCACCGACTTTGCCCCATGCCTCCAAAACACCCAGAACACACGGCTAATACGGATACAATATTACCGAGAGAAAACAAAACGGGCTGGCATGCTCAAGTAACACGTGCCAGGCAAATCAACCACAAAGGCGCCGGGGTCGACGGGCATTCCCGGCTAACAAGGAGGACAAGTGCCGCGGTGTTCTTTGTCCGAGATGAGATATCCCGGTGAAAGCAGCGCCGCGCAGCCTCGAGGGCTCAAAGAAAACCAAGTCTATTGTTCTGCAAGTCTCAGGCACTAAAATTAACGCGACGGGGCTCGGGCGATTTTCCCTTATAAATTTGCCTCCCGACCTTGCAAGATTGGCTAAGAAGGCGCCTGGGAGAAGATTCGAAAGAAAAAAAAGAAGAAAAGAGAAAAGCAGAAGAGAAACGGAATTTCACACCTGCAGCGGCCGCGACGTTCTAATCTAGAAGCTAATATGGCCCCCTACATCGCCTTGGATGGCGCGTCGGGCATGCGCGGAAACCCTTGTGGCCCCGGCCTGTCTGGCATCCTCCGCCCCTATTGTCGCGGAGGCGGTCTGGCGACAAGGGATGTCGGCCCCGCATCCCTGAGCTGGCCCCCGAGGGACGGCAGCCTCGCCCCGTGGATAGCAATCTTTGTCTGCATACCGGGCTTCATCGTTCTGCTGCTGTGGGCGATATGGGCGTGCACGAGCAGGAAGAAGAAGCGCAACCGCTGAACGGCGGGTATACCGCGCGTGCGTACGTTGGCGTGGAGGCACACTGCCGCGTGTGTATTGTGCCTAGAGGGCGGCGAAGGCGGCGCGAAGGTACATAGCGCTAATAGCATATATTACTTGATTTTGACTCACTGTTACGTAGGTTTAATATCGTGCCGCCAATTTCGTAGCCGAGCGGGACAAATGAGGCGTTCGTCGGCGTGGTTGGTTGATTGTTATCGCCTTTGCCTGGAATGGAGTGACGGTGCTAATACGATTTGGCATTATTGATGAACCCCTAGTCGATAATATGGCGACAGCAGGCGGTGCCTATCGAGAGGCGAACCCGTCTCATCGGCATCATCTCCTCTGGACGCCAGTATTGGATTGATGTGACACCGGAGACCCGGAGATGAGGATCTCCTGGTATTTGGCTAGAACAAAAGGAGAATCGATGTTCGATGGACTAATGAGCCGCATCTTAGACAAATTCCACGCCGCGACTGTGAATGGCCTGGTGATTCGCCTCTAACTTGCTGATCATTGATTATACCTGTGCCGTTAGACTGAGATCGGCTGAGACACTCGCGGACTTTCCCAGCCAACGCTGTCAGGGGCTCCGACGATCGAGGGATAACAGACAGATAGCGCGAGCAAGACCAGTACCAGCCGCGTCTGCTGGTACATCGTAGCTGGCGCGGTTCCTCCCTACAAATACCCCCTAATCCTGTCTCTGGCTGGAGGGCGAAGTCTGTTCTGCAGATTCGGCAATCTAGTCACTCTTTCGCAGCAGTCGTTCTTTTTCAACCACCACTCCAATCGTTCGCCCTAGTATCGTACTGCCGCTTTTCCGCCAAACCACACACACTCGATAACCTGCCAAAATGCAGCAGCGCGCTCTCATCGCCCTCATCGCCTTCCTCGCCGCCACGTCCACCGGCGCGCCCCTCAGCCCGACGCCTGGCGTCGGCGCGGTCGCCGGCCCTGTGGGCAAGGAGGTTGCAAAGGCTGGCAGTGGCGTGCCAAAGACAGTGAGCAAGGTGGTGAGCGGCGCCGTGGCGGGGCGGTCCGCGCAGGCGCCGGCCGCCCCGGGCGGGGGAGGCTTCGCGGCCGGCCAGGGCGCGCAGGGAGGCGGCGGCGGGGGCCAGGTGTCGGGCGGGCACGAGGGCGGCGCGCACTGGGACTGGGTGGCGGGGGCGGAGGAAGGGCACCACGGCCACCGCGAGGGCGCGCAGGCGGCGGAGGAGGGCCACCACGCGACCGAGACCGGCTTCCGCGGCCACCACGACGGCACCTTCGGCGCCGACAAGAGCGCCTCCAAGAACGGCGTCGCCCACAACTCGTCCGCCGGCACCAAGAGCGGCGACGCCGCCGGCCACACCCTCAGCGACAGCGCCCGCGCCAAGGCCGCCGCCGCCATGGAAGCTGACGCCGCCGGCCTCCACCGGGGCGCCGCCGCTCAGGACGCCGGCAGTGACTTCCGCGCCCACGGCCAGGGCTCTGGCGGTGGCCGCCAGGGCTCCCAGGCTCAGTCCCTCGGCGGCTTCCACCAGAACGCCCCTCCGGCGCAGCCCCAGGCACCGCCTCAGGCCCAGGCCCAGCCTAACGCTCACAGGGACCCTCTCTCCGCCCTCCTTGGTGGCGTCCGCGCTTGAAATACGAACCGTCCGCCTTCTGATCTGACCCCCTTCACGCCGCTCCCTGCACACGAACCTTGAGTTCTAGCGCCAAACCCGTCGTCCATAGCTTTTAGGCTTCCTATACCGCTCGAGGTAATTCGAAGTTTGGCAGTATCGGTCACTGGGTTTCGTGGTGGGAATTCCTCGGTTACTCTATCTTTAATTAGTCAACCTCATCGCTGTCTCCACCGCCGCGTCTCGGGCTCTTCTCATGGAGTCAATCGATTTTTCGTATTTATTATCGTCCTCGTCTAGTTTTCAGCCACTGCCGTCTTGTCTTTGCCCGTGACCCAGCGTCCATCGTGTCCTATGACATTAGCCACGTAGTACCTTATACCCAGAGCCTTTTGTTCCCCCCTCTGTCTCGCCGTCTGTCTATGCTCCGTGTAATGCCACCTACCTATTTGCTTGGCTTTTGCCCGATATGCTTTTGGCCGCAAGGTCCGCGACGTGTTTCTTGAACACCGAACCCAACGTATCCACCACGATGGATACATCAGGAGGCTCTGGTCCGCCTTGTTCGTCTTGCCTTGCCACACCCTCGTTCCAGGTATCCGAACGTGCAACTGCGCCGGTCTTCCCCAGGGCCTTATGTCCCTTGACATCCCTACCTTTTCTTGGGGGGCCCCTGGGTGTGTTTGGTGTAACGGTGGTAACATCGAGAAGATGGTGCCAACGTATTATGTAGACACCCGGCCCGCCCATGTTTCCGCCAGCCTTGCTGTTTTCAAGAGCGCCCGTCTTGTCAAGGATCTTCTGCGTTCGTGTTCGTGACATGGCCTCCAGGGCTGAGAGATATCCTGCGTGTGCATCGATGGCGGCCTTAACACGACTTTGCTTATCCTTCGGAACCTGATTGAAAAGCTTCTGAAGTTGTGCAGCTACCTTGATACCGTCTAATCCGTTGGCGTCCTTGCCCTCTGCGCATGTGGTACTGTTAGCTCCGGGCGTCTGCTCAAATGTCCTCAGGCTATTTCTAGCCCATTCGAGCCATGTTGTCCGTAACTCCGGACAACCTTCGGCGAAGTCGTGGAGGTAATCGTAGGCCAATTGACGATTCCGGTTTAGCAGATCAACATAGTCTTCAACGGAAGGCGGCACGATGCCGCTCTGTCCTTGGCCGAGTTCCCGCTTCTTGGGCTTACTGGTATCGATCAATTCGCTTAAGAAGTTCTGGACCGACACGAGATGTTTCCGAATATCCACATTCTTATGAATGGTTCTGATCATGGGCTCAAACACTGCTACCAGGTCTCGCACGATCGAGGTGATCAGGTCCGGGTTCTGGCGACAGAGAACTTCGGTTATTTGTTCTCTGTCTCTTATTGCGAGTTGAGCAGAGTAGTACTCTAGGCACTGGGTGTGTTGGGCCGCGGTTAGAGATTCTGCCAAGGCCGGATCCTTGGATTCTAAGATGGCGATGATTATCGACATCTGGCCCTTCTTACTCAACGCACGGATAAAGTTATGCTGTTCCCTAGAGGATTGCAGATGCTCGTTGATCGCGGCCAGGTGTTTTTTACTTGGTCGTTCACTGCTTCTCTCGATGCTGTCGACAGCTTTGCGGAAATCACCGGTATCCCACTCTAATACTAGAGATATTATCCTGCGTGTGGTTAGATTCGATTATCTGGGCTATGGACTGTCTGGCTATACGCACTTCTGCATCAAGTTCATACCGTCGGCCGCGTTCTGCGTCAGACCGAGCCAGTTTGATAAGGCCCCAACACTGATCTTGGCCAAAAACAGCCTGACCATGGCGTTGACCATGGTTCCCGCGTTGCCGATCCGGAGCGTCTGTCCTATCGCCGAATACGGGATTAAGGTGTGGACGCTGTCGAGTAGCTTCAGCAAATAGGGTCCTTCTGCCGACAGGACGAAAAGGTGATGGAGGAACGTAGCAACGTAGATGACAGCATGGTTTACGGCAGCCTCGACTGCCGGCGAGTGACCCTCGAGATTTGAGGTCTCCATGAATTGGTCAAACAGCTCGTCGATCAAGTTACCGTACACTAGGTGCTGGACCACGTCGTCCCAGGCTCTGGCGAGGTCCGATGCCACCTGCAAGTTGTACTTTCCCCGGAGGTCCGGGAGTTGATAGTCGTCAGGTAGGCGGACACCGCTCAGCAGGCCTCTCGTGACGCATTCGTGGATAGCCGACGCAGCCGAGACGAGCCTCTTCCTACTCCCCAATGTCCCCTTATCGTAACTCTCCGACAGTTCCGCCTCGCCGAATTTCCTCATGATGTTTCGGAATTTATCTGCCCAGAATTCGGGCGACAGGTCCCTGATACCGGGCATGGTGAGGACTAGCCTAGTGAGGAGAAGCTGCAGCAACGGCGAGGCTGACTTCTGGCCTCCGCTAGCCTCGCCATTGCGGCAACAAGCCTCGAACGGATAGCCGTAATGTTCGATGGCCTCAGGGTCCTTGAAGCTCTCCGCCTCAGCGTATGTCTCATGGTGGACAAGGATGTCCAGCAGAGCATCCAGCTGGACGGGTGAGAGAACGGCAGACGACATGTCGCAATGCACGATACGGGACTGCGAGCCGGGGACGTGCAAAGGAGGAGGCGTGTGAGATATTCATCTGGGCGTCCAGGGCGATGCACAGGCGTGTGGAGAGAATATATAAGAGGTATAGGCGAAAGGATGATCAAAGTCGGTGTAATATGGACAAGGGGAAAGCTGGTCTTCGAGAAGATAATGGAGTCTCAAAGTACCACCTGAAGTACTCGACACAATGCCAGTCAAGGCCAGGCACCTCCTGGAAATGATTGGGTCCCTGTGGCTGGTAGGTACCCTGTCTGCCGAATCCAGGTACCCAACATACGAAAGACGCGTCGAGTAGGTACCTAACATAGCTACATCAGTACATATCTTTCTGAGAGTTGTTCAATCGGCAGACTGACGTCACCTCCTTAAAGTACAAGTACGTAGGTACCACCTTACAATTTGTTGACCAGAACTGTGCACAATAACGAATGTCGCGTATACTTGCTACCTCGTCATATACCTAAGTGTGAGACGGTATATTCTATAATAACGATCAATCAAAGTACCCTAGGTAGGTACCTACCTCTAATACTCGTCCTGTCATGTACTTGAGGACACCTGTCTTATCATGCCGGTTGCTGGCATATAATAGCCTCAGCTGCGCGTATTATGCAGATCCGGAGGCTCTATGCGGCTAATGAGGGCCATCGATGGAGTGAGGCACAGCTGTGCGTTGTGGAGGGTTTACTCTCGTTGCTCCGCCGATAAGGAGCTGAACCTGACTTATTGATTAAAAAGGAGCAATTCTAGGTGCTAAAACAGCGATTGAACAGCTCTTAAATACAATTACGAATCAGCCAATCACAGTGCTCCTTTTGGGCCCCGGGATCCACACAGCCACATACCCGCTCCCTCCCCTATGACAAACGCTGCTGACCTTCATCTGCCCTTGCTGCATACCTACCAAACCACCAAACCGGGGTGGCCACCGTTTCGTCAGCCTCAAAATGACTCGTGAAGACAATGCCGCCCGGCCGTGACGACCCTGACCGTTCGTTCCCGGATATCTACAGGGGCATCCTGCCCGTCGTCCCGCCCGACGGCGCCATCGAGAACGCGTCGCGCAACAATGCCGCCACCGCCGCCTCCGCCGCCGGCGTGCGCGCCCTGAGCGCCCAGGCCATCGCCTTCTACTTCCGCGCGCCCGTCAAGGCCTTCTTCCGCACGCGCGTCGACTACCTCGCCTACGCCCGCGTCGTCCACCAGTCCCAGACCGAGCTGCTGGCCCGCGCCGCCGCGAGCGCCAGCGCCGGCTCCGCCCCGCGCTTCGGCTTCACGCTGCGCCAGGCCTGGATGTGGGCGCGCGGCACCACCCCGGGCCTGCTCGCCGCCGTCGTCCGGCAGCACGGCTGGGGCGTCATCCCGCAGCAGATTCTCCCGCCGCTCATGGCCAACGTCGGCGTCGGCGCCGTGCTCTACACCAGCTACCTGCAGACCCTCGCCCGGCTGCACGAGGAGAGCTCCAAATCCCCGCGCAGGGTGTTCCCCCCGCCCCCGCCGGCCGACACCTTCGCCGCCGGCTTCCTGGCCGGCAGCATCCAGAGCGTCGTCGCCGCCCCGCTCGACGCCATCCAGGCGCGGTTCGACCACCGCGACCTCATGGCCGGCAGCGGGGACGGGAAGCCGAGGAGCATGTGGTCCTTCTCGGCCGAGAAGCTGAGGGAGATCGGCCTGCGCGGCGTTTTCGCCGGCTGGGGCATGTCCTTCCTGAAGGACAGCTTCGGCTGCGCCGTCTTCTTCAGCACGTTCGAGTACGTCAAGGCGCAGAGCTTCTACCGCTTCATCACGTGGTACTACGGCGGGCTGCGGCCGGACGTCGTCGACGTGCTGGCGCAGAAGCGGCCGTCGGCGCGCCGAAGCGCCCCCGACGACGGCGGCAGCCACCCCGTCGTCATACGGCCGCACTACGCGATCGAGCCGATGTTCCTGCTGCTCGCCGGCATCACGGCGTCGTTCGCCCAGCAGGTGATCCTGCACCCGCTGACCCACGTCCAAGTCGAGCACTGGGACCACCTCGAGGACCTGGACGAGAAGGCGGCCAAGATGAGGATGTCGGCGGCCAAGAACCCGGACAAACCGAAAAAAAAATGGCGCATGCTCCGCGCTTACTACCACGCCTACCGAGAGACCTGGGCGCAGTGCACCGCAGAGGCCCAGGCGGAGGGCCGAGGCCTGGCCCGGTGGCTGTACCGCGGGTTTTGGCGGAACACCAGTAAGTGCTAACCGTCCTTTACCTTCCGTCAAGATTCCCCGTCGAGGTGCAAACTCGCATCACACTTGGCTTCGGGGAAGCGCAATAGCTGATGACAGCCTTCTCGTACAGTCCGGCAGGTGCCGAGCACCAGCGCTGGCTTGATCATCTTCGAATTGGTTCGGCGGAAATACGGCTCCGGCAACGAGCCGGTGCGTGTCGCGAAGGACGGTTACGAAATCCTGCTTGATTAGATATCGAATGAGGTTCCCGGGCTTTTGTTTTGGGGGTTTGTGTTCGGGGCGTTAGGTCTGCAACTGCTTTTATGAGCTAGAGAGGTCACCACTCGGTAAAAGACAGGAAGATCCCCTATTCGTCGCTACCATAGACTATTATATACGCAAGTACAAGTTAGACTTAGATGATCTCTTCTCTTTTCACTTCCTCGCTCCTTTTCTTCCTTCTCTCGGTCTCTGTTTTGCTTTATTGCCTGCACTCCGGATGAAGGGCTCCAGCGGAAGAACTTGCTTCTCCGGCGTGACGCCGCCGTAAAGCTGCTCCCACCTATACTCCCAGGCCTGGGGAATCAGCCAGGCGTATTCGGGGTCGCGCAGCCACAGGCGCAGGAGATGACGGCTTAGGCGGAATGAGCGTCAGCCCCCCTCCAGACCAGACATGACATGGCCAAGCTACCGGGCAGCAATCTCTTAAAGGGGGCGGAGGGGGTGTCAACAGGTAGCAGGGATAACTCACGTCTTCTCAGGCGTGTCGGTGAACCCGTCGCGGGCGTGCAAGAGGGCGAGGTTGTTGATGTATTGGATGTCTCCTTTCCGGAAGCCGGTGTTGACGCAGAAGCGCTCGCTGAGGAAGTGGAGGGCGTCGAGGGCCTCGGCCTGCGCCTCGGTGATGGGCGGGATCGTGGGCCGCCGCGGCAGCGCGCCGAACCCGACGAAGTAGCGCCGCCCGTACTGCAGCTCGATGCGCTCCGGCGCCGTCGTCGTCGCCGGTAGGTGGTGCAGTAGTGGCCGCTCGATGTACTGCTTCTTTGTCTCCTTGAACCTGTGCGTGTATGCAGGGGGGCATGGCAGGGTGCGTTAGATATGTCGAGCTGTCGCACACACACACAGAGAGAGAGAGATGGTGGGAGATGCCGGCAATCGCTTTGAGGGGGGGCCAACGAGTCTTCCATGGCCCAGTTGTGGGAGAGCGTATGCACGAGGTCGGGGCGGGTGGCGGCGATCTCGTTATAGACGCGCCAGGTGCTGGCGAGCTTGCTAGCGCCGGCGGCGGCCGAGGTCTCGAGGGCGAAGAGGGCGAGGATGTCGCCGGAGTCGGTGTGGAAGACCTGCTTGTCGGCGGTGTAGGCGGGGCTGCCGACGGCGGCGGCGGCGGGGCCGCTGAGGTTCTTGATGTGGCCCAGCACGACGTCGGCCGCGACGCCGCCGTGCTTGTTGTCCTGGCGGCCGCGCTGGGGCGCTACCTGCGCCGACAGCCCCACGTAGATGGCTACGTTCTCGGCGCGCGTGCGCGCGTCTACGCGTATACCGCGCACTACGAAGAACCCGTGCCCGCCGTGCAGCTCCGCCGACAGCCGCCGCAGCTCCGCGCCCAGCGTGGGCAGCGGGAAGGTCACCGCGCTGATGTGCCCCAGCGCCAGGCCCAGGCCTGCCGCCCTTCCCCGTTAGCCGGTCGATCTGGCCCGGTGCAAAGGGCCTGTGGCCATCCCACCTTGGAAGTACTCGAGGGCGCGGTCGATTTCCGCGAGCTGCTCGTCACTAAGGACGTACGTCCAGTCGTACGTGTCCCCGACCGTCTCCCCCTCCCAGACCATGGCGCCCGTCAGCTGTGCCGGGTAGCCTTCGGGCAGCGTCTTAGGCAGGTTCCCTTCCTTCAGCCGGCGCGCGGCCCGGGCCTGCCACTTGTCGTAGTCCGGGACGTAGGCGATGTCGGGCTGGCCCGGAGGCGCCGAGGCCGTCGGCGTGACGGAGGTGACAGCGCCTGGCATGGCTCCCTGAGACTCCAATGTCTTGTCTCAGGACGTAATTACATGGCAAGCCTTCCGGTCCTGCTTGGGTTTCTGGTTAGTCTTGAGTCCTGGTCTGTGTTCCTGATTCCCAAAGCCGGTTCCTGTTCAATCCTTGACACACCACCTAAGCTATCAAGAGAATGGCCCGAAATTGCGAACCCGCAGAGTGGAAAATATGTATTCTCATTTCACAATGCCCGATGATTCAGTTTCTTGTCTTCCTACCGCTTATCTTGTTGCTCCCATGGATGACGTACATGTACTCCGAATTGCCATACCGGTAGAATAGTTATGACACTCACTAGTTAGATAGACCACGAAATAAATTTGCCAGCTTCGGTGTCGTTGCGATATATTGTCCCGAATGTTTCCTCAAGAGCCCCGCATCACTGACACGGATGGCTCCATATCGATTCTCTCGTCGCTCCGTTACCTCCAACATTAATTCCCCACAAGCCGCCCCGATCCCGGGTCAAGGGCACTGTGGACCGCGGATTAGCGTACTGGGTCTACTCCGGCTCGATACTAGACGGGGGACGCGATCGTTGCCCGCGACCTCTTCTCGCGTGTGATGAGGAGCTTGGACTTTGAGATCTCCTTGTATATCCCGTAGAGTGGATGCATAGCGAAGCCGACGACGCCTGCGCACCGTTAGCATCAACGCCGTAAACTCGAGTTTGGGGGGGGGGGGGGGGGCGCTCTCACCTGCGGGCATCTTGAAGGCGATGCTCCCGACGCCTTTCGCGAACCCCTTGAGGAAGCCGTGGACGCCTTCCTGCTTCGCGCCCTTGTACGGCAGCACCACCCAGTCGGCCAGGCCGTCGCGGAACCCGTACCAAATGGCCTAGGCGGGAACCAGATCAGAAACGAAAACCCACAGCAATACGAAGACAAGGGGGAGGGGGAGAGGGAGGAGGGTACCGACGTCGGAGCCGGCCGCGCACGCGGACCGGAAGCCCTCGATCTCGGGCCACGGGCGGACCGTGTCGTCGCCGTACAGGACCGGGACGTGGTGCAGCACCATGACGAGGCCGTGGCCGGCCACCAGGTTGACCTTCAACGCGGCCGAGGCCAGCAGGGCGGCCGCCTTCGCGATGTCCACGAGCCCCGTCACCAGGGGGTGGCTCGGCGCTGTGCTCCCCCGCTTCGCGTAGCGGGCGAGGTCCGCGTCGATGCTCTGCTCCCAGTACGGCGGGGGAGCCGGCTCCGTCGCGGCCGCCGGGCAGGTGACCGCTGTGGCTATCGCCTTTGCGTCGAAGATCGTTGTTCTGCTGGCAGCCGTCTCCTCGACACTTGTGGTGGACGGGAGGTCGGAGTCTCGCTGGTCCACGACGGGGGGCAGCGGAGTCGCGACAGGCGGTCGCGCGTCCAAGTTGGTCTGCATTTTGCCGGCTTCTGTTTTTGTCTTCGTATCCCTCTGCGAGAAGTTCGTCTCGCTCGCCCGTGTCGATTCAGCGGATGGTAAGTAGGTAGGTATAATTTTTGCCGGGTGTCAGACTGCCCGCGGCCGCGCAGGCCGGGCAGCTCAGTAGATGTACCTACCCGAGCATGGCGACCTCGTCGGATGACAGCGCGCCCAGCGCTCGCGGTGCGCAGATAACAATGCGATGCGACGCGCGTCACGCCCTTATTAGTTGGCCGGCGAGTCCCCGTCTGGCCTCCCGAGGGGAGTAGAGCGAGTTTCGCTTGGAGGCGGAGGGCTTGGAGCGAGAGCGAGACCGTAGCCGAGGCCGCGAGCGAAAATGAGAGCGAGAACGAGCGCCAAGTGGCTCCCGATTCGCTGGGCCGGGGTTCGCGTCCGAGTTGGCGCAGCGTCTTTACTATACCTAGTCTAATAGCCCTATGCGACTCTGTAACTGGCATGTTCCTCTGGTTACGACTAGTACCACGTAGGTACCTAGATGGAAAATCGAGATGGACGAGGACCAAGACTGGAATTCTTGTTCTAGGTAATTAAAACATAGGTACCTGTCCCCCTCAGTAGTCCTAGGTCAATCTTAGTATCCCGATTCTTCGTTCAACCTACGAATTCCTGGTTCCTTCTACGTGGGCAATGGCCTCAACATAACGACGTTACGGCTTTTAATTGATACTACTCGAGCTGCTATGGGGAGGCAACTCAGGACCTCGTCTTCGTGGGCCAAACACTGCAACTAGCGACAAAGTTGGGTCGACTTCTCAGCCACACCTACCCTCCATAACCGGTTGCCCCCCAATGATACCTAGGAAAACGGGCATCTGCTACTTCGCGATATAAGCCAAAACATCATCTCCTCATCTCGTGTTAGCGTCGTGGGTTGATCTGGCAGATCCCGAGGGTCACGTGCGGCACAATACGGTAGATTGACATCCCTGACTTTTGTGCCTACACCATCCGGCTGCATTTCTTTCCCGGCAATGCTGAACTCCCACTGACTCCCATCATATAAACAACTGTATGGGTGTAGTTTTTAATCATGCATACCGGATAAATTCTCTCCGTGCCAGAGCGCTATCGCTAGTCTCCAGCCCACCTGCTCCTGCAAACGAAGCTATCCCCCTGCTGCCCCCGTTGGCCGTTGGGCAGGGTGAGGCGAGGGCTCGCTAGCGTGTTGTTGCGTCAGCCGGTTAGCTGGCCGGCCGACCGGGTCGATGCCGCTACCGGCGTTCCAGTACCAGCCGCTGCCGGCGCGATCGATCCGCGTGATCGAGCTCCTGCCGGCGCGGCGTCCCGAGGACCCGCTGCGCTGCGCGATCCGGGCCGTGTCGCTCGACGACGCGCGCGCGGCGCCGTACGAAGCCCTCTCGTACGTCTGGGGCGAGCCGGCGGGGCGGTGGCCCCTCGACTGCGCCGGCGCCGAGCTGCTGGTCACCAGGAACTGCCGCGAGGCCATGGTCCACCTGCGCCGCAGGTTCGCGCCCCGCACGCTCTGGATCGACGCCGTCTGCATCAACCAGGGCGGCGACGACCCGGCCGTCGAGGAGCGCAACCGCCAGGTCCGCATGATCGGCGAAGTTTACCTCCGGGCGAGGCGCGTCCTGATCTGGCTCGGCCCCGGGGACGCGGCGACCTCGGACCTCTTCCGCTACCTCCCGATCGTGAAGCTCATGGACAGGATCCAAGAAGATTACCCGAGGCTGGACAAAATTTTACATCATACAATCTCTCAGCATTTCGATATGAACGGTAAGCCTGTATTGCCGCATGGTCTCACGCTTCAAGTAGCTTAGGTAAGTGGATGAGACCGCTATACTTACATATCTCGCGACAGGGGCGCTGGTTAGGCGCAAGCAAGCGCAGCTCCGGGCGTCCATGGTTGCCATCCTCGAGAACCCCTGGTTCGAGAGGGTCTGGACCATACAGGAGGTTGCCTTTGTGCGGAAGTGCGTCATCATCCACGGGCGGTCGAGCGTAGACTGGGAGTCGTTTTGCCTCGCGTATATGGCTGAGCCGAGGCTTCGAAAGTCGGCCCGTCCGGCGAAGGACCTGATTATCCCCCGATGGAGGCTGTACTTGTCGCTGCGCGGCTCCAGTCTCCAGGCGATCCCCACAGCCCGCTTCGAAGGGAACGAGCAGGCAGAGTTCGAACTCGGACTCCTCTCCGACCTGCGTAATATGAAGGCGACGGTCGCACACGACCGCATCTATTCCCTGTACGCGGTGTTCCAGGCCATGGGCCTCGACCTACCGGCCCCCGATTACAGGAAAGACATCGCCAAGGTCTTCGAAGAAGTGACGCTGGCCTACATTCGGCTCCGCCAAAACCTCAACATCATCGCCATCACGCCGCCTCCAGACGAGGGCTCCGGATTTCCCTCTTGGGTCCCCGATTGGCTGACGCCTGGAAGCAACGGGGCCTTCGGAATCTGGAAGCTCGCCGATTTTGACGTGAATACGCTCTCGATCGCGCCTGTGCTCACGGCAAACACTAAGGATGGTAAGCTAGGCGTGATGGGCAAGATTATCGGGACCATCACCAAGCGGATATGCTGCCCTCGGATCGGTGACCCGGGAGCCAGCAAGAATCAGGCATACGAAGAGCTGAAGTCGTCCTGCGCCCACTGGCGCCGCTCAATCGACGGCCTGACGGCATACCCCTCCGGCAAGGACCCAAGGCAGATCGAACGCGTGCTCCTGAGATCTTACCACAGTGACGTCCCTAAAAGTAGGCTTGGGACTTTATATAATTGGGCAGTGCGGGATCGATCTAGCGCGCCGCCACCCCTGGTTGATGGTGAGTGTTCGCGCACGGCGTAACAACACGAGATCTCCTAACCTTTTTGACGCAAACACTAGACGCCACCCTCGACTGCCTTGTGGAGGAGCGCAAGCTCACAGGTACCTGGGTTGTTATCATCCTCGACACGGGCTACTACGGCACGGCGCACCACCTCTGCCAGGTTGGCGATGAGATCGCCGTTTTAGCGTCACTCAATCCGCTCGTTCTCCGCCCCCAGACGGCACAGCGTGAATTTCGAATCGTGACCCCGGCGTACTGCGATGGGGGCATGAATGGCGAGTTGGATTTACCCACTGAAGAGCTAGAGGAGATTATACTCGTCTAGCAATGGATCTAGATCCCTCTGCCCGACCCGGTGCTCCTGTTCGCCACGAAAGGTCTTGGAAAATTGCTCTGATCCTATGATGTAATATCTCTCATCTATTCATATAAAACGAGCTCGCAAGGTATACGACCCTATTTAATGAACTGGTACCGGGTAGTCGGGTATAAAGCACAATGTCACAGTCGGCGATAAAAGGTCGTGAATTACCTGCAGTTGGCCCGCATATAGTTAGAGAGGTAATATAGAACGATCAACGACCTCTAGTTGAGACGCCTTTTTAAGCTTATATGAAGGCTCGCAACGTATGCCGTAGGAAAAGAGAGCTTGCCAAGGTTCATCACTTGGACGAAATAACTACCAACATAGGTGATTAGCACGGCTGCAGACACACTCAATCTTCGCGTCTGGGGTACCGAGAGCTATTTTCTTGGCATCTCGTTCGCGGAGGCGAGGTCAGCTATTTCTCAAAATGGCAGTCGTCGATATGGAATTATATAAATAACTCCTGTCCTAGTGAGATATTTCGTAAGTAGTACTTGGCGTTGTCAATAGGACAGAGACTAAGGACGAGTGCTCCTCAGACGTTAAGCTATGTATGCACACATTCGGATTGCTCTTGGAGCCGTCCTGTCAATATTGACTTTGAGTTCTGCTCAAGAGCCGGCCAAGCGCTGCGACAGGTCTTGTTTGGAAGGTCTGATCTCGGATTATCTTGACGCATCGGTAGCCAACGATCCATCGAGCCTACCAACGACTCCAAATGTGAAATATGCGGAGAACGACCAAGTACTGCCTCTCGGGGCCGGTGAATGGCACATGGTCGAGTCGCTGGGCAAGTATATCCATACCTTCGCAGACCCCGAGGCAGGCCAGGTGGCGACCATCACCACTATCACCGAGAACGGCGTGGCTGCCATCTACCCCGTCCGTCTCAAGGTAGAAGAGGATGGGCAGATCAGTGAGATTGAAACGCGAATCACACGCGATTCGTGCGGTGCCGCGCTCTAAGAGAAACTTGGGCAACCGGAGGCCGTCTGGTTAGAAGCCGTGCCGCCAGAGGAGTGGATCTCCCGAGAGAAACTAATCGCCCAAATCAACAAATACTATACTGGCATGCAGGGGAACGACCCTGCTGGCGACTAAACCTTCCATCAGGAATGCAACCGGCTAGAGGACGGCCTCTAAACGACCAATGTGAAGACTGGTAACCCCCACGGCCACTCTAACGATACGGCCTTTGCGGCTCTTACTTATAAGGAATAATTTCAGACCGGATTCCTAGGATTCGTTACCAGAACCCGGGAGCGCTACTTCCCGGTCGTAGACGAAGAGCGTTAAGCTATCTTCGCTATCGCGACCCTGGATCACAATGCTACCGTACGGTCGTTGCCCAGCATTAACGGTACTTCGTCGCCTATCCCGCCCTACTTCGAGACGCCGCGTACCTTGATAGTCATGGAAGGGTTTCGTTTGCAGGGCGAGAAGCTGTTCCATATCGAGATAACCCTGACCGAGGCACCTTACGGGATGCGAGCAGCGTTCCCGGAAGACCCCTTGGAAGGCCTCAGCGGGCTCGGCAACAATCTAACGATTGCGAGCCCACGCAGCCGGGCCTGCCTCGATAAGGTGGTGGAAGACGTGCTCCAGGCGATAAAGTCGAACGACGCCTCGAGTCTGCCCCTCGCCAAAGGCGTGCGCTACTCGGAAAACGGGCAGTTCCTCGCGCTCGGGGACGGCCTGTGGCAGACCCTTGCTAAATATGCGAGGGCCGGCTCGGACGAGTACGCGGCCGTCTTCTCGGATTCGACGAGCGGCTCCGCGGGCTACTGGGGGTCTCACCAAGGAACACAGCGTCCCGGGTGTGCTCGCGCTGCGGGTCAGGGTTTCCGGCGGGCAGATCACGGAGATCGAGGCCAACATCATACGCGCGGAGTTCGTCGGGAGCCGCGGCGGGACCACGACCCTGATGCGTCCGCCGCTGCCGATAGAGTAGGACGGGAGCTCGCCGGGAGAGCTCGACGCGGCCTTCAAAGCCAGCGGAACGGAAGGGACCAGAGTCTCGTCGGCGTTGGTATACGCCTACTTCGATGGCCTCCAGAGACACTCGAGCAAGGGGTGCGCTAAGCGAGACAACACGTTCCAAGGGAACCCGACCTGCATCGCGCAGCTGGACGGCCGCGGGCTATCGCCTAACGGCCTCACGAACACGACGGCCTCGGTGCGCGACATACGGGTCCTAGTGGCGGATGCGGTGCGAGCGGTGGTGCTCGCCGTCGCCCTCGTCGACGAACCGGCGAACGCGCCCGGTGTGTTGCCAGCGGCCGCGCGCGTGCTGGGCATTTATCTGGTTCCGCAGCTGATTAAGATCGACAGCGGCAGCATTACCCGCATCGAAAGCATGACCAAGTGGGTGCCGTACGGATACATGTCTGCGTGGGCCGAGGAGGGCGAGGGGATAATGGCTGGGCTCGATACCTATACCATTGTAATTAAAATCGAACAAGCCCGAGGTGAGGTGAGGGAATGTACTACATTCTCAGCCTTAAGTGTACCCGACATTGTATAGTACATGCATCTACCTTAGGTACTAAATGTAGTTACCAAGTACCTGAGGTAAACTTCTGCAGTGCCCCGCATTAGTAACGCGTGTTGCCAGCCAAATGGGGGGGAACAGAGGGGTAATGCTACATAACCCACTATCGAGTCCCCCATCAAACCCCCCGAAGGTACCCAGCTGGGGTACCTACCCGCTGCACATGCCCCTTAAGTACATTTGAATGCTGCGTCCGTACGGCATGTTGAGTTAGTAGGTACCTACAACGCCTACACGTTGCGGGGAGGTAGCTCGGGCAGTAACAAGCCCCAGCCCAAGTCAGCAATAACTTCGCGACCCCCCCAGTTCCGCCCGCTCCGTCTTGACATTCGACACCGCTCATCCCAGCCCGAGGACAATAGCTACCTACCTATCTGGTCGCTCCCGTCGTGTCTGCTCACTTAGCGCCGGGTTGTGTACCATACCTACCTTCTTCCTATCCCTTCGCTGACGAGGCGGCCTTGAGTTTATCTATTTATCCCTTCACCCACCACTGTAGCCCATACACGCAGCTGAGGGGAGACCGACGGCAAGATGCAGTCGGGAATCTCTGGTATGTATTCCCTCCTCCCTGCATTCCTCAACGCTCCTCTGCCTCCCTCCCGCAGATACCCCGTACATCCCGACGGCGTACAGTGGGAGAACGAGGACGTAACTAACCCGGCCGCCCGCGCTAGCCTCGCAGGAGCTCGTGTCGCGGTTCAACGAGCTGCTGTCGGACCCGGGGCTCTTCGGGCTGCTCGTGACGATCTCGGACGAGGCGCTGGCGCCGCTCGCGACGCTGCGGCGGGCCTCTAGCAGCAGCGACTTCGCGGACGACCTGGGGCAGCTGGCGCCGCACCTGGGGGCGGACGCGCCGCTGTACGCGCTGCTGCGGCGGCACGCGGCGGCGCCGCACCTGGTGGCGGTGACGTACGTGCCGGACGCGGCGAAGGTGCGGCAGAAGATGCTGTTCGCGGCCACGCGGCTGGCGCTGGTGCGCGAGCTGGGGTCGGAGCACTTCCGCGAGACCCTCTTCGCGACGGCCCCCGACGAGCTCACCCCCGACGGCTTCGCCCGCCACGACCGCCACGCCGCCCTCGCCGCCCCCCTCACCGACGAGGAGCGCGACCTCGCCGCCGTCAAGCGCGCCGAGGCCGAGGCCGGCGCCGGCACCGCCGTCCGCGAGATCCACCTCAGCAAGACCATGAACATGCCCGTCGCCACCGACGCCCTCGTCGCCCTCAGCGAGCTCGGCCGCGGCGACGGCTCCGGCCTCGTCATGCTAGTGCGTTCGGCGCTTCCCCTCCTTCTGCTCGCCCCCGCCCAAAGCTGACCCCGCCGCAGAAAATCAACCACGATACCGAGGTCGTCGAGCTCGTCGCGGACGACTCGACGCCGGCCAGCATCGCCGAGCTCGTCGGCGTCATCTCGGCGACGGAGCCGCGCTTCACCTTCTTCCGGTACCGCGCGGCGCCGCCGCACGGCGGCGAGGCGAGGGACGTCGTGCTCTTCTTCTACACCTGCCCGCCCTCGGCTGCCACCAAGGGCATCAAGTTCCGCATGATATACCCGCTGATGAAGCGCGCGGTGCTCCAGGTCGCCACCGGCGAGGCCGGCGTCGCCGTCGAGAAGAAGTTCGAGGTCGAGGACCCCGCCGAGATCACCGAGCAGTCCGTCCTCGAGGACCTCTTCCCCGAGGCCGAGACCAAGACCCAGTTCCGGCGCCCGAAGCGCCCCGGCAGGTGAGACGGGGGCGGTCCCGACGCCTAAGGAGGAGAGAGAGACTACCGAATTTCTACGCGAATCTGGTGTGGCGGCGGCGGTGCATGGCGCCGACGAGGCAGGACTCGACGGCGCTTAGCACGAAAAGACAAGGCGGAGATTACGCTCGCAAAGCAGACAACCAGAGAAAGGGCAACGTGAATATATTTGACTGCGTGACCGCGCGCGGGAACAATACAATGCTAGCAATAGATTTGCATCCATATATGTGTACGTGTATGTGTGCGTGTGTTTTTGGCCGATGCCGGAGAGACCTCAGTTACCCTCACCGGCGATAACATCAGGAATGCCTAGCAGCAAAGAGCGGGTTTCCCCCGTGGCCGCTGTCGTCGAGACGGCGCCCTCCCCCGAGGATCACGATCCCTATTCTTCGTAGCGGCTGCCCGAGAGCACGCTCGGCCCGCTCTTCTCCAGCTTGTCCTTCAGGAACTCGTACACGGTGAACGTCACCGCCTGTCCCGGCGCCACGCGCATTATGCGCGGCGTGATGCCCTTGTAGAACGCGTGGAAGCCCTCTTGCCTGTTCCGCGGGCGCGTCAGCGATGGGTTTGGAGTCAATCCTAGGTAGGCAGGATATGAGGGTACGTGTTGCGTCTCGTGTACCTGTGTCGCTGCGGGGTTGGAGGGGGAGGGAGGGGGGACAGGGGTTGGAGAAGAAGAGGGGCAGAGGAAGAAATAAGCAGCGGCGCAACTTACCTGAACATGTCCCCCGCAATAATACTAATCCTCTTAAACGCCGAGACGCCCTCCTCCGCCGGCGTCTTCTGCAGTCGGGTCTTGATCGTGTCGATCGGCGCATTGCTCAGGGGCCCCATGGCGCCGCTCACGAGGCCGATGAGGGTAGTCTGCCAGCTGGGCAGGGTCACGGCCGCCTTCCCGTTCCCGTTCCCGGTGGCCTCGAGCTTGTTGGTCTGCCAGCGCAGCAGGGCCTCCCTGAAGTAGGTGTAGGCGGTGAAGTTGACGGCCTGGTTGCTGCCCTGGCGCAGGGCGGTGAGACTGACGCCGCGGTAGAGGGCGCCGAACCCCTCCTCGCGGACGACGGTGTAGAGGGCGTGCGCCGCGTTGCGGTACTTGGGTATGTCGAGCGGGTCGGCCATGCTGTGGTGCTGCGCCTGCAGCCGGATCTTGACCACCTCCATCGGCGTCACGACGGCGACGGCCTCGGTCACGCCCGCCGCGAGGCCCGCCACAAACGTCGACGACCCCGACACCGCGCCCGTCTGCTTGTCCGCCAGCACCTGCTTGTACGCCTCGAACGACGTGAACCGGATCGCCATCTTGGGCACGATCCCCGTCAGCACCGCTCCGAGCCCCTTGTACAGGCCCAGCGGCGTCTCGCGCTTCACGATCTCGGCGCCGGTCCGGATGAATCCGCGCTTTGGCGCGCCCGGCTGGCGCGCCCGGCGCGACAGCTGCATCCGTACCTTGATCGTGTCTGTATACCCGCGGGGGTCCTAGCGTTAGGAAAACTGCTTGCGTGTGGGAGGAGGAGTGGGGGGACGTGGGAGGGGCAGTACGAACCGAGAGGATGGCATGCGAGAGCCTCCATCATGCCCGCACCGCCGCCGGCTACAACGCAGCATCGAATCTCCGGTTAGCGATTCGCCTCTCTACGCGTCGACGAGACCAATCACACGCGTGGGTGCGGCGAACGCTTACCGATCAAGTTAGTAGCTGCCGTCGGCGGCGCCTTGCCGTCTTTTCCGCCCACCTTGGTCGCCATCTCGTCTTATGTGCCCTGAGGACCTCCGCCCTCGTCCTGGTGTTGCGGGGTGGTTCCTGTTCTTGGCGTCTCCTGGAGAGGAAGAAGAAAGAGGACGGGGAGTTGACGAGGCCTTGAGACGTCTTCAGATCGATGTTCTCGTACGGTGTGAGACGTTTCCAGTGCCTCCGCTGGTGTAGGTATGTATATGATGGAGACGGAGAGAGGGAAGAGAGACAAGGCCGGCGCAGGATCGTGGAGGGAAGAAAGCTAGCAAGGCAGGGTGACGGAAGGGGCGTGCAATAAGGTTAGGCTAACACTTGTATAGGGTAGGATCGAGGCCGCAGCTCTTTGCTAGGTATCGAGTACTTGGCAGATGGAGGCGTCAGGTGTTATGTCTCGAGTATAGGTACCTAAGGCAATGGGTGGACGTAGGGGGTATACAGTCCCAGAGGCGGCGGGTATTCGTTGACGTTGACGCGGAGACGCCCACCTAAGGGTGTGGTGTATAGGGCTAGGTAGGTTGGGTGCTTGGGGCGGCCAGATTTACGCCGGCAGATGTATATCTATATCAGTGCCCCAGGCAGGTACCAGATAGGTGTGTATATATTAGTTATGTATGTATATATGAGTGTGGGCGTGTCTGTGTCTGTGGGTGTTTGTGTATAGATGTATATGCTTGTGCGCGAGGTAGGGCAGAGGTATCACAGCGGACAAGGCTGGTCAGACGAGGGTATCCAGATCACGAGAAGGAGAGAAAGGATCGGGAGGGGGGGAATCAGCAACCAAATCCCATATGACGGTCCAGGTCTATGGGCAATTCCAGGCTGGGCATACGCGAACATCTATATAAATAATACCGCCGACACTCGGGCCAGTCCGGTTCTAGGGGCCCCCATGTGCGAAGATTGCCGAGTTATCAGCACTCTAGCATGTGTAGTGGCCGGGGACGCAGCGAGCCTGCGAACCCACCCTGTTGGAAGGGGAATGGCAAAGGAAGAGGGACAGGGAGTGACTCAGAGGGCCGTTGTTCCGCGGTTAAGGGGCCATCTTGTGCTCTTCGTTCTAGACCTATCTACCTACGCAAGGTATGTAGGTAGGCAGGTACCGCCACCGCTAGAGACAATAGAGGGAGAGAGAGGGAGGCCGAAAGGTACCTCAGATTCCCCTACACAAAGTACCTACCTACGTAACGTAGGCGCGTACTGAGGAAGATCATCGCGAGATGATGTACCCATCTTTACCAGCACATACCTACCTAGAGAGTACCGTAGAAAAGTACTTACCTACCTACGTCTTGGGTGGAGGAAGAGATCCATTTCCCAAGTAACCTACAAGCCGAATAGCTGTGGTGGGGTTGGCCCGTTAGATCGGCGTCGAGTTACAACGGTGAAAGAGCCTTCTAAGCCCAGCCCGGCTCTTGGCCTACCTAAGGGGAGAGAAAAAAAAGGGAAGAAGGGAAAAAAGAGATGTACCTACCTACCAGCTGCAGGTAGATCAAGTATATGCCTAAGACATGCGAACCATTCCCCTTTCTGCTGGTGCTGGTGGCGGGCGGTCCGCCGGAGCAGCCCTCCTTCGGCAGACCGGAGCTTCGGTCGCGTGGTGCGCCTCATGTGCGCTTGGCCCCCTCCGGCGGGACGAGGGGAGAGCAGCTCACCAGTAGGCGGCGGGCATCTTGCATTATCTACCTAACTAGGTACGTAGGAGGAACGCGGCGGTACCTAATCTCAGCTATGCTGTACCCAATTCCATTCTATAGGTATTATTCTCATTCTATACTATTCCTGTTATTCCCTACATAGCGCACCAACTACCTACCTTGGACGTCCCTCTTTAGACTCGCTCATTATGTAGGCTGAAGAAACATCCCATCTCTGGATAGCCCTCTTCTTTCTTCCCTCTGGGAGGCACGTACTCTTTCAGACAAGGTACCCGCAATTTCTACCATCCCATCAAAGGCGACATCCCTTGTCGCGTGTCTCCTGGGCGCCTCACCTATCGATAGCCCCCGTCCGGTCTGTGATTTGCTCCGGGTGACGTCGAGACCAGCCCGTTTAACCTGTCTTTACCGAAGGACAGCCGAGCTTGTGATTTTGCGGGGGGGGGCAGCCCGAGCCAGGTAAGCTGGGGCGGGGAGGGGGGCGAGAGGAGGGACTGGGGGAGCCTCTGCTTGGCAGCCAGTCTAGCCAGAGAAAAACCTCTGGTCGATTCGCCCACAACTTACATACACCCCCCTTTCCCCTTCCCTTTGCCCCGCGAGGCAAATCCCGCGACGCCTATCGGATATTACCGGGTGCCCTCGCTCGACAACTTCTCTATGCCTACTTACATGCCTCCCTAACTCCAGCCTCGTAGCTGCGAGTTAAGGTACATACCTACACGTTCTTGGGCGCGTCTGTCGTCATATCAGCTGTCCCTTCTGCCGAGGTTCGGAAACACAACCTGTTCTCACACGAGTCCCCTGTCCCGGACTGTCTAGGGTAATGCTCGACAGCCCAGGCACAACTCGTGGGGAGGTTGTTTTGAAGCCTCCATAGCCGCGGGATATACACGACTCAAGATCTCCCTACCCCTGCTCATCGATCTGGAACCACCTTCACATGCAATAAGCTTGCCGGCCGGTCTTGCTCACCACACACCACACACCACACAGAAAGCAATATATACGCATATAAATATTCACTTCGCCTAGAAGAAATTAGAGGTCGCGGTAATAAGTAAGCCGTGACGTATAAAGAAACAGGCAGATCGTTCGTTAATCAACGCACCCTCTCCTAGCCTCCCGGTCAATGTTGAATATAGGATGCCATATCCTAAAAATACTGACGGACATCTCCTCTTCGCGGAACCCGACACCACGACGCCCTCAATTCCCGCCAGTGCGCTTAGGTTGTTTCTTTCTTTCCCTGAGCAGTGCCCTAATACGCCGCGCACCTCCCCGATCCCGTAGACTTCCGTTTGTGTGAAATTAAAAACCCTATAAGCCCAACCCATTTTTCTCATCCCTATGACCGGTTCTCGGTGCTGGTATAGCCGAACGCCTCTCGCTCCCGCTCGTCCCCTATCCCACTCCCTGTAAAGCAAATCCGTGGTGCAGTAGTAACCGATAAATAGCGACGTTCTCTCGGAGCCGATCGGCTGTTGCTGCTCCGCTCGCAGTGCTCAGGCGGGGGTTCCGAACTCCTCAACCTCCGAGGGCTCGCCCTCGAAGCTGTACAGCCGTACCTCCCCGTCCTCACTTCCACTCGCCATACGGCTGTCGCTGAGGCCGACGCAAGTCACCGGGCCAGAATGGCCGGTAAATGTCCGCTCGCATTTCCCGGTGCGGGAATCCCAGACCTTGACTACAAAGACGGTTAGCCACTGCTTCTGAGCCACGATATTACGGTCTAAAGGTATTTACCTGTAGCGTCGTTAGCACTAGTAACGTATCGCAACGAATCAGCCGCAAGGCCCCATATGCCTTCGACGTGCCCGAAAAAGGTTCGCGGGCACTTCCCCGTCGCCGTGTCCCAGAGTCTCATCGTGTTGTCTAGAGACCCCGTGAGCATATATCGCGGGGGTAGTGGCCGTTCGGTGTCGTATTGGAAGAGCGGTCCGTACGCGGCCCGCTCCTCGTCCGCAGGGGTTGACGAACTCGACGACGAACAGCCGCCCGGAGGCGTGCCGCTGACGGACGTGGTGTCGCTCTCGCGTGTCGTGGTCTCTTCCTCAAATTCGTAGTCGTCCGGGAGTGGCAGGACCTGCTGAACTTGTCCGACGTGGCCCTCGAACGTCTTGATACAGACTTTGGTGTCGAGGTCCCAAAGTTTCACTGTGCAATCGTCCGAGGCGGAGAGGAGCGTGCGCGACGCCGAATCAATACGAACCTGGTTCACCATGTCGGTATGGCCGCGCAGACTATAGGACTGCTGTGTCTTGAAGTTGAAGATCTTGATTGATTTGTCCATGGATCCGGATGCTAGAAGGCCCCCGTCCATATGCACGGTAATGACACCGTCTTGGTGATTAAGGGTGTTGATGCAGGCGCCGGTCCGCCAGTTCCAAATCTTGACCGTCCCGTCCAAACTAGCGGAGACGAGCATCCGATCGTCGAACTGGAGGGCCCGAATCCCCATTGTATGGCCGTGTAGAGTGCGTATAACCTCGCCCTTCTCAATATCCCACAGCTTGATCGTCGAATCGTAGGAGCCCGTAGCGAGGATGTTGTCGTCGAATTGCAAGGCCGTGATGCCATTCGTGTGCTGGCCGGCGAATGTCTTAATAGTACACCGACCGTAACGCCAGTTGGACCCGACCCGGAACCTTTCTCGGTACAAATCCTTCCACGGCCTACACCTTTGCGTACCCGTAGACGTCTGGCTCGAATCGCTAACACCATTGACGCATTGGCGCTTGGCTGAGTCACCACCTGCGTCCTCGAGAGCGGAGGCGCTGCGCTTGCCCAATCCAATGGCAGGCGAGCTGTGGTTGGCGGCGACGGATGGCCCTCTATGGACGACCTGTAGGTCTGCTAGATGCTCAATCTTCCACTCCTTCAATCTTTTTCTCTCTAGCTTCGGTAGTCCCCATTGGCACTTCTCGCACTTGCGCCCGATATGCTGCTCGCACATCCGGTGCCAAACGATATCATCACCCGACAGGGTGTTCCATCGTCTGCTGACCTGCGCAGCCTTGCACAGAGACGAGCAGTCGAGATAGCACAGGATCTTCAGGGACAGTTCGGTCGGCAACGCGGTCAGGAAGTCTATCTTGAGTTGCTCGTGCACCTCCCGGGACACGGTGGAAAGTTGGGGGAAGCAGCACTGGGTGATGATACCCTGCAACATCAGCTCGCGATGTTTAGCCGGGGCCGCGGAGAATAGAGACCACACGCTCGTAATCGCTTGCTGGTCAGCAGCGGGCAGCATTTCCAATTCCTACACATCAGTTAACACCAGCCGTCCGGGCACACCTAGCCGCCGCCATAAAGAAACATACACTTTGGATGATGCCCATCTTGGTCTCGTCCGCCGCCCTGCGGCATTTCGAATCCGGCCGGTGTCGATAGCAATACTTGCTGTTCGGGTCCTTTATCTTGAGGCTAGCCATCGATGGCAGATCCGGTTTGCCTATCGGGGCGTACAGCCCCGGTATGTGTTCGCGGAGGAAGGGAGTGACGGCCTGACCCATGAGGTGCTGGGATACGTTGGGCAAACGGGATGCGTCCTCGGCGTCTTCGGGCCGCCGCCTATCGCAGCTGTCTCTCGACGGTTTCGGGTTGGGGTCTTGGTCGGGCAGGGAGAACGACTGTCTCTGGGTACGGGTGCTGTTGGTGGGGGATACGTGGTTGTTGAAGTTCATCACCGTCGAGTCGCTGGGAAGATGCTGGTGAACATCGCGTCTCGAAGTCGGCTCGTGGCTAGCAGGCATCGGCATAGACGGAAATTCTTCCATGACGGTAGCGAGAGTAGGTTAGGAGAGATCGGGCGGCAGGAATGGACCTAGGTCGGAGGGCTACGCAGGACTTAGCCCGGGAGCAGATTATTGGGATTGCACCATCCGAGAGAGTATGATGAGGGCGTCGGTGAAACACGGTGAGATGGCGTGCTCGCTGATGCTGGCCAAACAGATGTGCGCCCGTGCCGTGTCCTCTCGCGGCGACGTTCCGCAGGCCGCCGGGTACTCGCAGCAGTCAGGCCAGGCCAAGCAGGATGGCATACAGAACGCACGCCTCTAGCCCCAGTCAGCCAAATCAGATCGCGCCAGAATTGTGTGAGAGGGAGGGAAGAGAGAAGGCGGGCGACGGTTGGAGAGACGGTGAGCGAGGTAGGTATACGTTGGCCTCCTGCCTGCCTGTCGAAGGGATAAGGGGGGTGTGCGGAGGGAACAAGTGGACGGACGCGATGGTCTGGTATGGGTGTATGTATGGCTGAATGTAGGGGGGGGAGGAGGGCAGGGGGTGGAAGAGGACGGGTAGAGAGTCCGGCCGTAGACGTACCCGAGTGTATGTTGGCTAGGGGCCGGCCGTGGCAGCAGCAATTGCACGGGGTGTCGAGCAAATGGCGAAATCGGCCTAGGCTAGGCTCTCCCTGCGGCTTGGGTTCTTGGGCTTTGTGGTTGGCACGATGGCGACTTAGGCGAGCTGGCGGGTTGGCGGTTGGCGGTTGACGGCGGCGGGTCGGCGGCGGATGCGCAATGTCGAGTCGACGGGTTGATTTGCTCGAATCTGCTGCCCTCCCTTCGCTCCAAGGCGGTCAAACTCGAGCTGGTCCTCGTCTCTGTCCTTTTCCGGCTCGCCCGTCCCATTTTCCTTTTTTTAGTAGGAGGGCCCCAGCACCGGATGGGTTAGGTAGTTAGGTACAGTGGGTAGCAATTTAAGCTGCCCATTCGTGCCCTCTCCCTGCTTGACCCCCCCCTCCGACTCCGTTGGATACTTAAACCCGCCCTCCTCCCTACCACCCTCGCCTCGTCCTCGCTTGCTCGTCTGCTTGGTGTAGGTCCGTCGTTGGTTCGCAGCGAGCCAGGTTGGCCGCTGTCAGGGTGCTGGGGCGGCGCCCCCGACTGCGTTCCCGCGCAGGTTCGCTCAGGTTTGTTCGTCCCAGGTCCGTCTCACCTTCGACTGTTTGGTGCTTTGGGGCCCGAATGGCGACATTCCTGCACCGATAACCACCCGAAGTGCCGGGCCCCACTGCGGCTATCGGCCACGACACCACCCTGGACTGCAACAGGACTAGTGTGGTGGGTCTGGGGTAATGCACCTTTATAAAAAAAATGACGAGTTCGTCAGACAGACGCCGTGCTCCGGCCGGTTGATGACCTCTTAACTCATAAATATTATCCCTGACCCCGCCGCCTCCTCCCCGTCCGGTGGCAGCGAATATTTTCCATCTGTGCCGTCTGCATTATAACTTGGTCGACTGGTATACGTCGCTGCGTCTGTCCTACGTAGGAGCCACGTCTGGTGGGACGAGTTGGCACGGGATCCCTCGGTCCTCTCCTCGTTGCCCATCCCTGATCCTGTGCTCGCCTGCTTTGCCTGTATCCTTGCCGCACCTCTCTTTATCCCTTTCAGCAGCCGACTGACGGTTTTATTTTTATTTTTATTTTTTTTTCCTTCGGTACTCGGCGGCGTTTCCTTGCGCCTGGAGCCACGTCCAGACGGCTCTTCCCATTGCGTCCGTCCATTCACACGACGGACAGGGTGTAGGCATGCCGTATATATTGCACATATTGCGGCATGCATCTCTCCTCCCAATGGCGACTAGCTGTTGTTGTTGAGATATGTCATAGTGAAATACCATTAGGTAACGGGTCCATCTCGGTCAAGTACCAAGGTATCCCGAAGGGTACCCTGCCTGGACGTCGCCGCCGCCGCGGACCCCGACAGCCGGCATGGAATGGAACCCCTGTGGCTTGGATCTGACTTGCCTGCAATCCCTGCCAAGCTGCACAGGAACCCCCCGAAATATTGATCTCGCCATTTCATCGACAATTGTCGTCGTTCGCGTCAAGCGCACCCCCCCTGCACAACTCGTCCACGAAGACCCGCGATTGAGAAGACAAGTCCGGAAGAGGCGGAGAACAAACTACGATGAACCGGAAACCGCTGCATCCACGCCTGCATACCCCAGATGCTTTATCTCTCGTCTTACCGTGCAATGCGTTCCCCTAAATCACGTCCAGCCAACAGCACCTAAGGTATCCCACTACACTTTCTCTCCCTGCCTGTCTGAAGATCAGTGCATGTGTACATATGTATGTACGATATCGATGTGCGACCTACATCCGCCCCCTGAGATCGACCATGTGGCGGCGCCACATGTCGATATATCGCGCCTGGATGACTACATACAGCTATCTTATCTGCCGGGTACGACGCGAGGGTCGACCACGTCTTATCTGGCATTATCCGAGGCTGGGCAATGCGTGAATATGCCCGTTTCCTTCTGCCTGAGCAACAACATTGCGCTTCTGGGGTGAAGGCTCTCGCATCGCCGTATTTTTCCGGCTCGGTGGGAATTTCTGCATTCTACTGGAGAAATGAGCTCCTAAGAAGCTAGCGTAAAGCTCGGCGGCTGTCAGATGACTATCGAGTGAAGCCATCTTTCCAGTCTAGCACTGACAAAGGTGACCGGCCGGAGCCTATCAACTGAGCCGATAAGACCGATGTAGGCCGCCAGCCATGTTTGAGGCCGCAAAGACGCCGGTAGTTCCTACGTAAATTATACCCATCTCCATTGGCAGCAAGACTCAATCGGCAATCTGCGGGACTGGAAAAACAGGAAAATGTAGACATTTGCAATTCCCCATTTGGTGGGGCAGGGTTAACGAGCCCTCTGCGCAACACTCCTCTAGACACAGCTTGGCGAGATTGATGTGTATGCGTCGCATTAGATTAATGGTGTATCAGAAGTGGCAGGCGGAGGCTTCAAACTGAAGATTCAACTATCTTATTAATATTGTCAGCTGTCAGTCTCAAGCACCGTCACCAACCCGCATCTCTTGCTCAAGGAAAAGAAGTTCACGACCAGCCCAGCACAGCACCGCAAATTACCATCGAAACGGTGAACCTGGCTCTACAGAAGAAAGCGGAGGATCATATCCCCAAGATCTCTAACCTGCATAGCAAGCTCTATTCATATCCCCTTCACTAAAAGGGGATGGCTGTTTGACGACAGACGTTGTTAGCCTCTTCCGGGGCGTCTTCTCGCACTCCTCTTTGTCGGTAGTGGAAGGCCCCTTATATAATACATACCGTAGGCGTGGTGCTACCCACCACTTCCACCCGTGGGAATCGCCTCGCTATTTTTAAAACATCCCGGTAGCGATAACCAACAGACCATCTGCCGGCACTTAATCCGTAGCGGACAGAGAAAGAATTAATACTCGACTACGCTATATAGGCATCCAAAACATGTGGCTACGTTAAGAGTACCAGAAGTGAACCTTTCAAGTGCTTTATCCTCCTACAGATTAAATGCTAGCAGATGGTTTGTTGGTTGCCGCTATATACCCTCCATGGTAATCCTAGCTCTGGGGTGATATTCCTAGGGAGACGTTGAAGAACCATCGTCTCCTTGGCTGTGTGCTCCCTCTTCTTGGGGCGAAGCCTTAGAACGCAGACGTCCACATACACCGCAGGTCGTAGAATGCAGGCGTCCACGTTTTACGCGACAAGGGACGTAGGCAAGTAGTTTGCAGCTAGGGAGCACGCCGAAACGGTCCGCAGAGATCACGAACCCAGAGGTCACCGTGCTACGCTAACATAGCATCCCAGCAGGCGGGATTACACAGAAGAAATTGCGTAGCGGTAAGAGAGAAATGCAGCCGGTGGCTGGTCTCAACGCTGTGCGCGGTGTCTTCCTCCTGCTCGGCGAAAATAATATCGATGCTTTCTAACCACGGCTCGGAACACTCTAAATTAGGCACGGAAGTTAATCCTAGAAAAACTACCCGCCCTTGAATGTTCTGCACCGTTCCCGTGCGTGCGTTCGTGGCACAGGTCTTGCGACCCCCTATCTTAATAATACAGATCTGCGGAGCGTCCCGGGATCCTGGCAGCTACCCGTAACCAGGGGCTCACTCTGGGGCTGCCGGGTATGTTGGCCAGTGGCAGCTTTGCCAGACTTCGCATCTGGAAATGCCATTAGATACTGCCTTATTCTGGGAATAAATATGCTGGTAGCGGGGTCCGATTCCAGCGACGACATACTACGCAGGGCGCTCGTGTAAACAGAATACGAGGGCCGACTTTCGATACCGCAATTTGGACGTACAATAAGTAGAGAGACGGTAGGCTTCGCGACCAACATGCGGCACCTAAAACTCACCGAGATGCCCTCACAGCCGTATATAAGCGCTGTCGATAATCCGTCGTCTTTCCGAATTACCTTGGTTCGCTGCCAGCAACGCAGCCTCCTCTCCCACCCCTTCTACCATCGACAGACCCCAGCCTCCAGTCTCAGCCGTGTCAACAGGATCGTCAAGCCCTTCGACGACATCCAGTCACCATGTTCGTCTCAATCATCACCGTCGTCTCAGCTCTCACCACCACCACCGCTAACAACGGCGTCGACGCCCGTGGGGCTGTCGCCGAGTAGCCCGCGTCCGTCTTTCTAGACAGCTGCGGCGCGGTAAGTGCTGAACCCCTCTCGACCCACATACGCGCCGGATCCCCTTCTAGCGGCTCCCGAAAGGAGCGAGAGAAAGGGCGAACGAGTTCCGAATCGCAGGACGCTTGCTGCAACTCCGGAGCCACCGCCAACAAGGGCCACCACGCGACGGCGCTGCCCTTTCGGGCCCGCTGCGACCCGGACGTGTCCATTCCCGCGTGGGCGCGCTGCTTCCCCGGACGGCGAGGAGCAACCGAGCTCGACCGTGTGGGCGATATGGCGCGAGGCGTCGGCGCCTAATCTCCGCAAAGTCTTCTTCTCGCACATCTGGGGCGACGACAGCGGCGCCGACTGGAATGCCACCGCCTTCTCCGAGTTCCCCGACGGCTAGACCGATATCGAGGTCCTCGTCACCAACATCATCGCCACGGTATAGGGCGGTTAACCTGTCCTCTTCGCCATATACGTGGAGAGTCTGGTGAATGAAGTTGGAAGGAGAGATGGATTGGGCGGTGGGAGGCGTATATTAGAGGGGTTGTTGTGACCGTGACGCGAGTCCGGCTTCGAGTACATTATATTAGTATCATAGTACCTAGTAGACACATATACCAGTGCCCCTGGAACAGCGACGGCTTAGTATAGGGGCTGGCAACATTTTCTGTCTTATTCCGAACGTGTTTTTCGTCGATACTGTCCCTGCAGTACTTTTTCACACAATCTCGATTCTTCTTTCCGCCTCGGTGTCTGGCTCTTCGTGTCAGCGTCGGACGACGTCGGTTATTTTCACCCCGATCATGCCCACATGCGCTCCCCCGCGTCAGCGCGCAGACTTGGCAGCAACCTTCTGGTAGCATCAGCATTGCCCGACAAAGATTACCCAGGACCCGAGTACCAGGGTCGCCTTGGCTGATTTCGGTTTTGGGTTGGTAGACACCCTCTATCTCTGAATGCGTCCCGAGAAGTAGGCGCAACGGGTTCGCAGGGCTTGCTTGGGTGTGTAATCTTAGGCCCAGCACGATGCGACGCTACCTGCAAAGCGAGACGGGGACACACATGGCAGAATGGGCTGTGTCTAGGAAGAACGGGCCCGGGAAAAGCAGTTCGCTATAAATCATATGTAGCCTCTTCCGGGTTTCGATGCACACGCCATTCAAGGGAGATGGCTGTTGTAGCCGGCCCGGATAAGCCGTTGGGCAGCTTCCCAGACCTCGTCGGGGATGTCCTGGGGGATCTGGAAACCCTTCGGCGGATATTCTCGGATGCGGATCAAGTCGCCAACAGCGATATTGATAACCAAGTCCCGGGGATTGTCGTCATTCGGGTACTCGTGCCACTCTAGTTGCGGGGACGTAACCGAGAACTGTATGTCGGAATCCGGCCACTGCTTCTTAAAGGTGGCATACGTGCGCCTCTCCATGTACGGCTTCTGAACGAGAAGCAGGGAACGGAAATGCAGCCCCCTCTCCTGCAGCAGCGCATATGTGAACCGGACGTTCTCGCCGGTATTTGTCGAGAGGGGCTCGACGATGAGTTTCTCCTCGGGAACGCCCATCCCGACGGCTATGTCGGCAAAGACTTGGGCCTCCGGCTTGTCGAACCGGCCGCGAGTAAGCCTGCCGGTGCCGCCGGAGAATATGAGATAGTCGCCGTAACCGTCAAGGAGCAGTTGGGCGGCGCGCTCGGCGACGCGAGTGTCAAGACTACACAGGCAGAAGATGGCATCGACCCCCGTTTCTATCGGCATACGTAAGCGGTGATAGTTGTAGAGTGTTTCCGCGTCTCGCGGGATGTCGGGAATAGTTGCTGGAAGGTCGCTCCCCGAAGAGTGTGCAGAAGTAGTCATGACTTTGCGACAGCGAGAGAAAACCAAGGCGTCGAAGAGCGTTGTCGGTTACGGCATCTTGAGAGGGGATTGTCATGGGCTTGTCTCTCTATGTTGTCAATTGCAAGTTTACGTGTTTAGGTATTAACACTGTACTGCAAAATTACTCCATAGGTCGCAGTACGAGTCGGTTGGCATGTGGCTTATTTTCCCCAACATCTCGCGAAGACAGAGTTAAATACGGCTACTTCTCTTCATATCGCGTATGTACGATATCCGTTCAATATGCTCGTATTTATGAACGTGCGCAAGCTCTCCGTGCCATATATACCATACGATATGCAATCATATGTAAATACACTGCGCAGAGGCTGGCTTGATTTCGTCTGTTTTTTTACGTAAGATATTATCGTCGAATCTTGTCCCCTCGGAGGTTGCCTATTCTAGGCGTGTTCTCCTCTCCTCTCAGCCACCACTCTTATAAACCCTGGCATTACTGTAGACGGTATTCCGCTATGTCGTCTTGCCCGTCTTGCCCGTCTTACCTGCAGGCATAGATAAGTGTTTACATACCGACGCATTCTCTTAAGTACGCCTGAGACCTTGTCTAGCTCAACTCCCCTCGCTCTCCCAATCCCCGCGCTGCCCATAGCACCACGCCCCATGACCCGATGTCGGGTCGCAAGTCAGGAGACGAGGACGAGGGACCTGGCCTGGCCTGACCCAGCAGCCCGCGACAATATCGCGGTAGCAGCCCCATTTATTTAATATGCGACGCCTGGGCGTTTATCAATCTGATAAGATCTTTTTATCTGCCTAGGCTTCCTCGTCACCCCTGGCTCTCTCTAACCGTCCCTTCCCCCCTCCTCCCTTGTCGTGTGGAAATCAATACCCTTTTTCACCGACATCACATTACATCTTTGTCTTTCCCTTCTTTCTCCCTGGCGCAGCCTCGAGGAAAGATGTCCGTCGAGAAAATCGGCGGGAATTGGGCCCTGGAGCTCTTCAGGGAGAGCCTCAGGACGTCGCGTCTTCCCGACCCTGGCGACGTCTCCGCGTTTTTCGACGATGACGCGGACAAACACTTCGAAAAGCTCCCACTAAACCCTGAGAGGCTTCAATACCTGCGAGAACTGATACAATACATCCTCGACGGCCGTGAAGTAGTCTATACCTACAACATGATCCTACTCGTAGTGCTCGTGCTTTTCTCCCTCTTGCACCTCAGGGAGAGGCTGCGGGAGCGAGCCAAAGCCCGGGCAATCGAGCAGGACTCGGCCGAGAGCTCGGAATCTCGTGGAGGGGCTGCTAACGACTCGGAGACGGCAACCGAGGTAGAATCGTCTGCCAGCAGCACCGTCGAAGGGTCGGTATCGTCCCAGAGCACGATCAAAGCTGTCGATACCGACGTCGAGCTGTTGCCTCTCCTCGGGTCCCGCCGGCGTGCGCGGGCTCTAAAGAGCTGCAGCACCCGTTTAGCGAACCGCCTCAGTGCGGTGCTGATGTACCAGCCCCGACCGATCCCCTTCATCAACCGGGCCCTACCGTCGAATGGGACCTCGCTCGTCGTGCTGGCCTTCCTGGGCCTCAACGTCTTCCTCCAATTTTACCAGGTGCCTTTCGAGACGAGATTCTTCTTCGCCTTCGCCGATAGGATCGGGCTGCTCTTCGCCGTCAACCTCCCGCTGCTCTACCTCCTCGCCGCCAAGAACCAGCCCGTCAAGCTGCTCACCGGCTGCTCCTACGAGGCCCTCAACATCTACCACCGCCGCGTCGGCGAGCTGATGTGCTTCCAGGCCGTTGTCCACTTCGTCGGCATGCTGTTCTGGCGCCTGCACTTCTCGCCCGCGTGGCTTCAGACCGCTGATTTCTATTCCTACATGACGCACCCTCTGATCCTAGAGGGAATCGGCGCATTCGTAGCATACGAAACGCTGTACTTCACGTCGCTGGGCAGCTTCCGCCAGCGATGGTACGAGATTTTCCTGGCCTCGCACATCGTGCTGCAAGTCGCGGCGCTGGTCTTCCTGTACCTGCACTTCTTCACCGCGCGGCCTTTCGTCCTCATCTGCCTGACCATCTTCCTCGCCGACCGGGCCATCTGGCGGCTCTGGATGAAGTCGGCCAGCTTCACCGCCGACCTGACTATCCTCGAGGACGGCAACACCCTGCTGGTCTCCGCCGACTGGGACATCCCAGACACGCACCCCCGTAAGTGCTGGGACCTCCTGCGGCAGAGCATTCGCTACGGCTGGCGCCCAGCCGACCACGTGTTCGTCTCCGTGCCCGCGCTCGGCCGCACCCACTCGCTGCAGGCCCACCCGTTCACGATCGCGTCGGCCGCGCCCGAGGAGGCCTCCAAGGACGTGCCGAGCCACGCCTGGCTGAGCCTGCTGGTCCGGGTGCAAGGCGGCTTCACGGCGGACCTGCTGGCTTACGCGCGTGCGCACGCGCGGGTGCCCGTCCGGCTCGACGGGCCCTACGGCTCGCAGGACCCCGTCAGCATGCTGCGGTCGTGCGGGAACGCGGTGCTCGTCGCCGGCGGGTCCGGCATCGCCGTCGTGTTCCCCATGGCGTGGGCCCTCGCCGCGAACCACCGCAGCCACCGCAGGCGCGTCCACCTCATGTGGGTTCTGCAGTCGCGCGCGCAGCGCTCCTGGATCCCCGAGGACAGGCTCGCGGACCTTCGCAGGCTCGGCGTGCATGTGACCGTCCCCCGGCCGACGATCGAGGCCGGCCGGCCGGATATCCCCGGCTACATCGCCGACTTGACGGCCGCCGCGGGGGGCACCGTCGGGTTCGTGGTCTCCGGCCCCGACAGCCTGAACAGGACAGCGAGAAATGCGTGCGCCGAGGCGGTCAGGACCGGCGCCGACATTCGGCTGCTGGTGGAGAAGTTTGGATGGTGAGTAGGGTTGGCGTTGGCGATGGCGATAGTAGCGAGGATAGACTAGCGTTCGACTTGAAGCTTACGAGGCACGACAAATGGATTTTACGGCATTAAACCTCGACACGAGGTTGGTACGATAGTGTGCTGGTGATTTTTGGAGGAGAAGTTCTTGTATTTTGGCGGTACACTTCGGCTTGGAGTTGGGAGTCTCATTAGACCACAAGAGACGGGGAATAACAGACAGTCCTTGGACACACAATAGGGAGGGCTACCCATTTGAATACGAAAGAGAAAGCGTAGAATGGCATTGTCATTACGCAGTGAGCGTCTTCAGCTCGGTTCAACTTGACTCAGCATCGCGTGCAGCTACCTATATTTTGTATTCCAACTACTAGAGCCCGGCATAACATCCCCTAGATCTGTCTTGGGCCATTCTAGGACATGCCCTAGTGTTCCTCTCTTCGTTCCGCCCCTACTCTCTTCCGCCTCGAGGTGAGGAGATCGCATGCAGCAATTGGACGAGGAGTGTGACCTTGCGATGGGGCTATCTTGCGCTACATAGGAAGTCGGGTGCGAGATATGATGTATAATGCTTTATCTATATGCTATGATAGCCACCATCGAGATGGGGGGTTCGACGAGGCCAGATCTGCCACATACCTACTAGTATCACACGGGTGTCGATATATCCTCTTGTGAACCGCGAGACTTCTTCACGAATTGCGGCGTTCCAACTTGTCAGTCAAGAGCGTTTTCGTCGCTTACTCTACGCATGCAACGCCACACCGCAGCAACCTAGCATGCCGGTAGTGATGCAGAAGCGCGATATTGGCCTCTGTCTAGATGCCAACACATCCGCCTGACAAGCCTGAGACGCCGTTCATGCGGTGCGAAATTTGTCGCGACGGACTACCCTCCTCCTCCCTCGTGCTACGCACGCAGTTACACTGGGGAGCCATGTCGTTCGTTGAGATACGCCTGCTAACTGGCCTCCGGCAACGCCTGACTTTTCCTATTTCGTCACGGTTGGCTAGCGAGGTCTAGTCATGCAAGATAGCGAGCAGACGCCGGTATGGGGTGGCGTGGATAATACTAAGGGGTTGCGAGTCGGAAAAGGAAGGACTCGGAATTGGATAGATTTTATTACTATATACGTAGGTAACTCTATTTTTCTTCCTAGGGACGCCGACACTGAAGACTCCTCTGCGAACTTATGAAATTGCCCCATGGGCTCGGTGTAGGGAAGGCCCGAGGTAATTATAACCTTTACACTATAGAGAGTTGGCCGTAACCATATACTTCGAAAGGCTATATTCGCGTGTCCGGTCGGACGGGGTTAGGGGCGGGGTGGCACAGGGACTGGAAACAGAGTGGCAGACTGCCGTCTAGTACGTGTACCTGAAGCCTTCGACGCGCTCGAGCAGTATCTTCCCCGAGGCCGCTAACTTGTTCGAGAAATAGAAGTATACGGAGAATGCGGCGACGAGGGCGACGATGAGGATGTGCGAGCCGATGGAGACCCAGACGGCGGTCGCGTAGCGAGGCGCCTCCTGGGAGCGGACGATGAAGCTGCCGGCGATGCCGCCGGCGCCATTCATAGCGGTGACGGCGGCGGCTGTGAAGGCGCGCTTCCACTGACCCGCGACGTTGTTGGCCTGGTACGCGCTCAGCGCGGCCCAGTTGCTTACGTACGCGCCCGTCGCTAGGAACGTGCCCACGTACCGCACGACGACCTGTCCCGAGAAACCGAGCATGCAGAAGCCGGCGATCAGCGTCGCGCAGTTGAAGGCGATCACGGGCCCCCGCAGCCGGTACTTGTCGCCGACGATGGACGACAGGAGCACCGGGATCACGGCGTAGTAGTACGGCGGCGCGGACAGCAGGATCGACTGGTTCTCGCTGAAGCCCATGCCGCTCTGCAAGATGATGGGTAGGAAGTACGATAACGCGGTAGAGACGAGGTTCAGCAGGAAGAACATGCACGCAAAGCCGTATACCTTGGGGTCTTTGGCATGCACGAAGACCTTAGCCCAGGTAAACGGATCCGGCTCGACGTCCTTGCGGTCCGCGTGGATTCTGGCGACGGCGAGCTCCTGCTCTTCTGGCGTGAGGAAGTAGAAGGACCGATGGGCTTCTTCGGGGAAATCGACGATCCAGAAGTACGTCGCTAGCCCGATGACCATCGAGATCAGTCCCTGGACGAGGAACATGTACCGCCAGCCGGCGATCCCGCCCCTGCCATCCAACTGGTTGAGTCCGTAGTTGACGATGCCGCCGGTGGCAAGAATAATAACTTCGCCGCTTTGGAGGAAGGCGAAGCGCGTCTGTTGTTCTTCTCTCAGGTACCAGGTCGATATCAAGTACGTCAGGCCCGGGTAGATACCACTCATGGCCATGCCGAGAAGCACGCGTAGGGCAATCATCTGCCGCCAGGTCTGGATGAAGGCGGTGCACATGGTGATGAGACCGAAGCAGAAGGTGATGAAGGAGAACCACAGGCGCGGACCAAAGGCGCGCACGGCGAGCGTCGAAGGCAGCTGGAATGCGATGCTCGAGATAGTGAAGATGAAGATGCTGACGCTGAACCGATTGCCCGTCAGGTCCAGGTCGGACGGCATGGACGTCACCGAAGCGGAGCTGATGACGCCGCTATCTAGCAAATTTAACGAGCAGAGTATGCCGGCGATGGTGCAGAGGCGCAAGTCGACCTTGCGCCTAAGGCGCCGTTCGAGTGTCTGGCGGTCCTCGGCAGACTCCTCGACGATGCTCACGTCTTCTCCCCCCTCTCCTCGTCCGACAAAGGCACGCTCGGAAACGGCGTCGTCATTCTCTCCAGCTTTGGGTGCAGACGGCTTGTCTCTCTGCCGAAACACAGCAGGGGAAATTTGGGAAGAAGCCATCGCCCAGCCAGCCAGCCCTGAGACCCGGTGATGAAGGTGGGAGAGGTTTCCTGGCGCGCGTGCATCGTCGCAGGAATCGACCGGGCTGTTAAAAAGCGCCGGAGGAATGTCGACTTCTTATAAGCCACCCCTTGCAATTCCCGTATGGAACACAAGGGAAGGTCGAGAAGAAAAAAGACAGGCACATTACTACGTAGCATGTGCTAAGCAATGTGGGACTATTAGTTATCTTACCAATCAACCAGGCCTCCTGTGCTTATTGGCTCGGGGCCAGACAGTGAGTTATCTAGCCGTCGAGCCGTTGCGACATGCCTAGGCACGGCTGTGATGCCGCGCCGGCGCCGGATACTATACTATCTGTGTCATACCGAGGGAATCTTCAATCGTTTCAATTCGAAATTGTAATAATCGTCAAAATTGCCGAAATTGCCTGTGTCCGTATCGAACCCACGCCCGCCGCTCGAGAGGCTTCACAGTTGTCGGCGGAATGTAACCAATAGCAGCTCCAGTGTGTAGGCATATGTTGTGTTAACACAACCGCAAGGGAGGGCTCTATTCGGCAGCAGGGAGCGAAGTATCGATTATGTACCTACAGATATGCAGGTGTGTGTGCATTCAGCTGGGCATTGTCTTGTGGCTTGTCATCGCGGGAAGATGCCGGTTCAATCAGAGCAAGGGAACAACAAGAAGAATAACAATAGGAAGAACACAAAAAGGCACCGAGGTCACCGCCCCCCATCTGTGCCCTGCGGTGGTGGGTTGATTAGGGGAGGTCGACTGTATGCTGTTTCCCGCAGCTTGATTCCGAGCAGGCTTCACGGTTGCGACTCGATGCTCGCGTAGCGAGTCACATCTGAGTCTGTGTTCGAATGATAGTTTGGTTGGTTGCTTCAATCGTCCTACCGGGATCTGCGAATTCCTTTCTGGTGTGCGCTTCTATGCAGTCACCGTATCGGGGCTCCCTCCTTTCTGGGGGACGCGAGATGAGAATCATCTGCGTATGTATAAGCCGCCTCTGCCGTGGGCTACATCTTTGAGCTCGGCCCCGGCAGTGCGGACGCCTGCACGATGCAAGGGAACACTATTGACTCGCTTTTGAATTTGGGACCTCACTTCAATATATCTCTCCTCGATAGTCCTCGCGTTCTTTTCCGTCTGCGCCCTCCGGATGGTCATGTCGCATTGCCAGTTCTCGCGACTGAGACTAGCGACTGCGACGTTGATGTCCTGTGCGACCGTGGCGGCGATTGTGGGAAGTGGTTGCGACCTGTCTACCAGCGGCGTAGGCCTCAGATACGCCATAATCACGACCTGCAGATTGGCGTTGAAAAATCTGGCTCCTCCGAAGTCGTGGATGATGTGAACAGCGACGACATTTTTGATGATAACGCGGGGCGTCGCGTAAGGTGAAGGGCCGACGACAATGATGGCTTCGTGCCAGGCATCCGATATGTCTCCGAACCCCTGGACCGCAACCCAGCCCATGTATACACCTTTGAGACGCAGAAGCATATCCTCAGGTACCCCGAACAAGTTCGCCGTAGGTACGCCGACTTCAGACCAGCTTCGACCGGTTCCTTCGATAACCTTGCCCCTCAAGGAGATGGGGAATGGTTTCTCGGGCCCACTGTCGGCGCCAACTATCTCGGGCGGCGCCTCCAAGTCCCCTTCCGCGTGGAACGGCTCATATGTAACATCTCTCGTAGCATCGAACCCTTCCTCCAAAGAGCCGAACCGATCTTGTAGCCCCGATCGTGCATAGGCTATCATCCCGACTTCTTGCTTTACGAATCCCGGCTGCAATTGCTCAACCTTGTCTTGAATCCTCTCAACCTGGCTCTGTATGATGTCTCTGGCCGGCCCAATAAACCTGTCGACGGTATTTTGGCCTACTATGGAGGCCACCTTCAACCCGATCTCGATTGGCATAGTTTTCAGGCTCGCGCCGCGCATCACGCTGACGTCGGACGACGTACTCGCTACGCGGAAGACGGGCGACGGACAAAGCGTCTTCTTAGACCCCTCGCCCGTGCACATGACAATGCGCAAGTAGCCGTCCTCGGCAGAGGCGGGAATTCGCACAATACACGTCTCGCGGATGGTGTGCTTGGCTATGCTTTTTCGAGAGGCAGCCTTCTTTACAAACTTCTTCACGTCCCTTTGCCACGCCCGCTCGTCTGAGGCAGGGATGTCGGAAGGCAAGGCTTCGCGCGAAGGGGTGACGTCGATCCAGTCCCCCTGTGTGCGGAGCAGAGCGCTGGCAGCCATACCCAGATCCCCAGAGAACCCCTTTCGCTGCAGCCAGAGGGAACGGTCGGCCGGGAGCGGTTTATCAGCAAAGATGGTGATCGCGATACTCGTAGACGGCCCTCGGTACATGACCAACCCGGCGGAGTGTCGGAGGATGGTGTAATGCTTGGTCGACTCGAACGGGTGAGAGATCAGGCCGCCTGCGAAGTAAATAGTCTCGTCGACGGCTGCCTTCCATATCGACCAGTTGGAATTGGGCGTCACCGGCCTTGACGCGTTGGAATTGGGGGTTACTGGCCTTGAGTTGCTGGAAGTGAACGAGATGGCCGAGGGGCTCGGGACGAAAGGAATGGACAGTTGCCTGGAGGGCTCCGGCGGGTGGACTTCAAGCTTTAATTTCTCGACTCTAGCAGGAGGTTCATGGCTGTGGTGAGAACTGGGGGATTCGAGGTAGTCGTCGAGTAGATCGTCGAGGACGTCGCCGGCACCTGGAGATAGAGGTTCAGGTTTCGAGGGGGGGACCGGCTTCCGTACGAGTTCCCGAGGCGTTGCATGCTCCATCCGATGTGATCGTCGGGAATTATGCTGTGGCAGTGATGGAGACGTGGGGATGGGAAGTAAGAGATGGATCGGGAAACGGGTACTCGTTACAAGACAGCGAAGGTCACGATAATGGCACAATTACGATTAGTATATTAGAAGAATTAGCAAAGAAATAACTTTTAGGACGAATTGCTCATAATTGCAACAAAGAGAGAAGACAACAAGGTCGGGAAAAGCAGCCGATGCGTTTTACCAAAATTAATAGAGGGCCATTAAAAGAATACCTGATGAAGAACACGAGATGTGGGTGTGAGGTAGCGGATGATCGCTGGCGCAGGTTGACGAGCAATTAAGGGGTGGTCCAGCTGTATACGCAAAGTCTTATCGTTATCGTTATCTATATACGGGTAGTCCGGGGTAGATTAGGTACTTAATGTACCTGCTAGTAACGAGAGGTCAGTTAGGTTAGGTATTAGGTTCTAGCCGTTAGTGACGGCCGGGCACCTAACTTACGATAGGTGGCCGCTCAAGCTACAGGTACATAGGTATGTACCCAAGTCCCTCTAACGAGGTCGTGCTACAGGATACACGGGGGGGTATTAGGTACCCCAATGCAGCCTACCTTAGAGGTATCGATCCACCGGCGTTATGCAGGCAAATACCTATAGGTACGTTGGAGGTAATGTACTGACGACGGCACAGTACCCCATCCTAGGTGGGTCGGGTCCCTCTCCCACCTTGGGTCCAATTTATATACTCATACGTCTGTTTCATTGATGACAACCTCGACTCCACCTGGCCAGCTCTCTTCCCTCCTCCAATGCATAACTCCTTGGTAGCAGACCCCTTCGTCTTCAACAACGAAGCTGGTGATATCGATAGACCGTGTTGTCCATCGCTGCATTTCGCTCTCGTCCGTTAGGATGCAGATGCTACGTTTGGGCATCAGCGAACAAGCTGCCTAGCTTCGCCATTGCTCGTCGAGCAAACTACCTGTAAATATTGTCATCACCTTCATCGCTACCCATCATGGTCTCTTCTACTGGTCCGGCCTCCCCCGCGTCCGTATCGCCGGCCGATTCGCAACATGGCGCACCCCTCTCAACCAAGCCAGTCCCCGTCGAGACCCTCGTGCAGAACCTTCTGGATGCTAAACGCTCGCTCTCGTCCATGGGCCTCGTCCTGCGCGCTAATGAACTCGTCCACTTATCTCGACAAGCACACGAGGAGTCCGTTATCCTCACCGCGCAATCGCAGTTCCTTCGCCGCGGGATAAGCGACCAGACCCGCCTGCTGCGACGCTTGCGGCGGAGTATGAATCGGACATATGAGGACGGGGACCGTGAGTTCACGCAGATACTGAATACCCTAGATGAAGCCGACGTCCGGCTCGAAGAGACCATAGACATTCTCCGATATCGATTCGTTGATAGCGTATTCAGGCCCAACCGGGAGGCGAATAAGAATTTGCTGGATTTCGTGGACGAGTCACAAGTCAACGCGATAAAAGATGCGCTAAAGGAGAACATCGAGGCCTTACAGGTGCGTTTACGATACGCGCAGTGCAGATTTGCTACGTGCCGCTATTGACAGCTTTTTTCTCCGCCGTAGAACACTCAGACGTCCTTCCGTCGAGACCTACAACGCTTCGATGATGAAATGAGCTCGCTGAATGAAGCCATGTCTGCCACCCCCTCTGCTCCCTCCCCCTCTGCTTCGTCTGCGGAAAGGTCCTTGTCCGAGCTCCTCGCCGATATGAACGAAAACTCTCACGCGATGGCCGATCTCCTCTCGTCCCTAACTAAACATTTTGATATGTGCGTGACGGCCGTGAGGATAACAGAGGGTGGAGTGGCCTTAGCTAGGATCAAGGCTGCCGAAGTCACAAACTCTCAGATTGGTGGAGACGTGTCGATATCGGGAGTGATAGCGGAACAAGAACTACGTGTACCGGATTACGACCCCGTGGATCCCGAGGCTCGCGCACAGATGATCGAAATCGTTGTCGAGGACGCGTCCGAGGTCGAAGACGTAGTACGAGAATTGAACTTACGTCTGCAGACCATGGAGGCGGCTTTCTCGAGCATGGATGAGCAGACGAAGAGGATCCATATAGGATACTTTTCGACCCTCAACGCATTTAAAGTGCTGGAAGACATCGGATCCCGACTACACAGCTATATATCCGCCGAGACCGAGTTTCGCGACCGGTGGAGCGAGGAACACCAGGCAATACATAACAAACTGAAGGAGATGGAGAACTTGAGGGCTTTCTACGAAAGCTACGCCAGCTCATACGACGGATTGATACTTGAAGTTGAAAGACGAAGGGCATTGGAGGATAAGGTGTTGGGCATCTGGAAGAAGGCGAAAGAAGGCGTCGACAAGATTATCGAGACCGATCGCAAGGAGCGGGAAATATTCCGACAAGAAGTCGCAGAATACATCCCTACCGATCTCTGGCCCGGTATGGACGACGGTATGCTGAGATGGGAGATCGTGCCGGTCCGTGACGATAGGGTGCGGCAAGTAGAGGCAACTCGCAGCATTCCAAATCTGGGGGGAAGCGTCGTCGAAGCCGGCCCCTCGAGATCAGGCGGCACGTCGAGACAACAATACTAATCACAGATACGGGTGGCTTCTGTGTTTTTTCTAGGAAAGGGGGGGATTTAAGGGGAACCTCCCCCTCCCCCCCCAAAACGGGACTCAGGTGCGCAGGGCGGGTTGGTCTCATGGACAAGGCATTTCGTAGCGCACGTCTTGCAGGATTTACTAATCTCTTCAGGTATATCGATTCACAGCCGGTAGATGTCAGGTTTAAAGACTACCTGGTTTGTTTGGGCCCTGATTTCTTTCTATATTTGTGCTCTTTTGATCTCATGAATCCGTTATATTCCGACCCTCTATCTCTTGCCGGTTTCCACCAGTCTAGGCCGGGGTGTGCGTGTTGTCCGGATTGAATATGAAGTGTGTCACCACCGATTAGCATGACTGGTTCATCGCCAGTCATCTAATCGTACCTCGGGGATATATTAGCCATTGCGTATGGCACTCTCCGGTATCACCACCGGAGTCGTGAATACATGTGCGGCTCTGATTACCAATTTCAACTTCTTGTATCACATGCTTTGATTAACCTGCTAGATCATTTCATTGCTACTGTATCGACATTCTGGCACTGGGCACGTCGTACTAACACGCGTAGAACTTGAGCGTCCCCGTCTGCGGATGTGAATAAATATTACCCATAGTACTTTAGACATTACCTTCGACCACGTCAAACTGCGGGGGATGCTAAGGGTTAGGGATTTGAAGGCAACCTTGGGCCACCGGAAATAATTCCGTTGCATATATCGATAGATCCATACGAGAGTAATATAGAAAAAAAAAAACTTGTGAAAAACCGCCCCAGACTCCGAGCTAAGGATGTCGATGTGCTACCCTATACTCCAAACAATGCCAATAATGCTATCGGAAAGCCCCCTTGTTATACAACGTCCCTCCGCAAGGCAGATCGCCTCGACAACGAAAGCGTACACGCATCGATACATCCGAACGCGGCACGGTATGACGAGCTCAAGCAGCCTCGCGATCACGAGCACACAGTCGTCCCGCACCGTTCCGCACCGAAGCCCGGGTCAGGGTTGAGCATAATGAGTGCCAATCCGAGGCACAGGCAGCCACCCAGTGCCGCGCCGTGCTCTGTGTTCTGTCGGGGTCCGAAGGGCAGTCGGGGACCCCCTCAGCGGATCTGCTACGAGCCGTCGCCCAACCCGATCCAGGCTTCTTCTCCGGTGCCGCCGGACGTCACGTCTACGAAATCGACGTCGAGGTCGTTTTCCGTGTCGGGGAGGCTCAGCACGTCGGCGTCCCCCGACAGCGCCATGTCAAAGGCCCAGTCGTAGTCCTCCTCCCACACGTCGCCCCCCTTCTCCGAGTCGGACACGAGGCCGGGCACATCGGCCCCATCCCACTCCGGTAGCTCGGGGATGGTGGCCAAGGGCTGCGCACCGCCGGGGCCCTGCACGGCGGCCGAGAGGTACAGGCGCAACTGCGAAAAGTCACGGTCTGCCTCGCCTTGCGTGCGTCGCTGCGCGCCCCGTGGCCGGCGCTGCTGCCTCCTCGCCGCACGCCTCGCCGGGCGCACCAAGTACGGCTCGGTGTGAGATATCAAGTCGAGGCTGAAGCCGGCGCCGCGGACGCCGTCGTCCTCGTAGAGGAGGCCGAGGCGGTACAACTCGTCGTCGTCGACGGCGATGGCGCAATCTAGGTCGGAGGCGGGAAGGGCGTAGGCGCAGGGGAAGGCGAGGTAGCGGGCCGCGTAGTAGGACTCGTGCGTCTTGGGAGCGCGGAAGGCCTCCTGCCGCTTAAGGCGCGGCGTGCGTTCGCCGGGCAGCACGATGCTCGGGTCGGCGGCAAGCCGCCGGCCGTCGTGCTCATCGGGGGCCCAGCCCTCGGGCGGGATGCTGGGCTTGCGCGAGCGGTCGGTGCGGGATCTGCGACGGGAGGATCGTGGGCCGCGGTTGTGTTTCGAAGGTCGATCACTGCGACGAAGGGAAGCGTCGGTGCCGGGGTCGGACAACGAGTCGAGGAGCGGTCCGCTGCTGCTGGCAAGGGAGTCCGTCGTCATGGCGAGGCGGGAGGGGATTTATAGGGGACCCTCGAGGGTACGGGGTGATCGGGCAGTGCAACCGTCCTCGTGCTATGGGGTGTACGTGGACACGTAACGCAGAAGCAAAAGGCAGAGAAAATGATCACACGGGAAAAGGCGTATGATACAGAATAGTATTAGGCTTCGGTGAGCGAGAAATTATATACTAGAAATCGGTGGCGGATTCGAGAAGGCGAGAGAAGATGGGAGGATGGCGCGACGATGGTGCTTTATAAGGACGATGCGTACGTTCGCGTATCGCCATCGCATCGCATCGCATCACATCTCTCCTGGGATGAACCATTGCCACCCTCGTTTAATTTCCGGCATCTCCCATTCGCTCGCAGGAGGCGTCGCGAGTCATCCATCTCTGGGCTCGATTACAACCCCAACCGTTCCAATACCTTGCTGTCATACGCAGTCCTTCCACGATCAGTCCCTCGCCTAACCTCGTTCTGGTTGCCAGGCGTGTAAGACGATTGGCCGGCTGGATAGCTCAGCCGGGGTGACTCACCCCCATCCTCCATCCGCCGACTCACCTGCTTAGCTTCTCCAGGCCGAAGCCGGGTCTGGACGTGATGCGACGTGGGCATGGACGTGATGCACTAGGTACCTGCGACAAGGTAGTAGGAGGTGAGGATGGAGAGATGCTGGGTGGAATGCAGGCAGAACCTGCCGGCCTCCGTTCTAGCGCAGCGCAGCTAGACGCGGTTGAAGCCTGGCATAAAGGAATCGAAAAAAGAGCTGAGCTGAGCTGCCTAGGAACGAGGCAGATGCGGGACGAAATGGCGCCGCTACACGTGGTGCGAATCCAGTTGGCCGTAGTGTTTAAGTGGTAGGCGTGTATGGGCGTGGTCATTTTCCCCTCGAGGCAGACATTTAGGCAAGCGGCGGTTGCTAGGCGCGTACCAGATTTGGATGCGACGACGGGCGCGGGCCTCGGTCGGGGGTGGCTGGCCAAGCGAGCATCAGAATGAATCATCGTGGCTCTCCCATGCCGCGCGGATTCCAACGTCGTAGGGCGTTGCCTACGACGGGGAGGCGGTCGGGTAAGAGAGATATTTGCACCCGGCGGCGGAGATTCGTAAATCGTACAGGCATACGTGTTCTTTGTCAGGATGAACCAAAAATACCTGCCTACCTCTTACATACCCACGGGCGAGCGTCGACCGCTCACAGCCTTCGCCGACATCAAGGCTTACCACTACCTATGTAGGTACCTAGTACGCACGGCTAGCACCGTGGGGCAGACGCTTTAAGGTGTTAGCCCCGCTATACAGGTACCTCGACACGTCTCTCCTTCGGCGCCTTTAGGTACCTGCTATAGGTACCTGAGGTACTCCTACATCATACCCCTCGACCTATCGCGACAATTACGACATCGTCGATTCCAATTACCTAGCACTCACTCAACCCTGTTCCTGTCCCTCCGTCTCTCACACACACCTGAACCCGTAGTCGTTACATCCACCTCCTGCGCCCGCATCGTTCGGACAGAACAAGCCTCGCCCAGAGCTAACGTTCGAGATGGGATGTCGTGAGGCAAAGACCTGAGCCATCCGATCTACCGGGGATACAAGATAATATGTCCGTGGCCGATAGCAGGCACCTAGCGAAGGGGCTGATAAATGACGCGGGTAAACGATCCCGCACCTAATTGTACGCGGTAACGCGCCGATCTCGATCGACTCGTCATTATTTGCATGTTCAATCAGGGAACATCGCATTTAGCCAGGGCAGGTCCTCCCGGCCGACTGTCTCACACTCACGTACGCGTCCGCACGCTCTGCAAAGTTGCGCCGTTCTTCGTTGCCCTCTCTCTCTCTCCATTGCCCTCTCCGAACTTCGAGAAAATAGACCATATTGTCACGTAACCTCCCTGGAGCACCCTTCGATGCCAACGACAAGAGAAAATTGCTCGTTTCCATTTCCTACTCTCTTCTCGCCGTCTACGCCCTATTACAGCCTCCGACCTGATTGAAAGGACGCCCCTATCGAGAAATAGAGACAACCAGCCCTCAATATGCCTTCCCAGATGACTAAAGCTACGCTGGCCGCCGCCGGTCTGTCCAGCGCCTCCAACATCCTCGCTCAATTCCTCGAGGCGTACCGAGAAAGTCGTCCTTTCAGCTTCGATGACGCTAGTTTCCTCCGGTTTGTTACCGTCACCTTCGTTACCGCTCCCCCGAACTACATGTGGCAGCAACTGCTCGAGCGCAGCTTTCCCGCTTACGAGCGAAAGCCGCCGATCGTCGATATTGAGAAGCTGGACGCGAGCGGCGAGGACGCGACTGGAGAAGTGGGAATGGGTGGAGGCCCTGTGGAGCAGAAGCCGAAGCTGAACTGGCGAAACACCTTCGCAAAGTGGTTCATCGATTGCATCACCCTCGGCGCCATCTTCAACACCGTCGCATTCTTCCTTCTCATGGGCATCCTCAAACACCAGGATACGGCCCAGATCGGGCACAACATCCGCCACGAAACCGTCCCCGTCATTGTCGCCGGCTACAAGATATGGCCCTTCGCGTCCGTCGTCAGCTTCACCTGCGTCCCTGTGGAGCGACGGATCGTCTTCCTTAGCTTTGTGGGGCTGCTGTGGGGGATTTACATGAGTCTCGTCGCCTCGAGAGTCTGAGGAGCCGTGGATCGTTGATCGACTACCTACATGACGCATCAGCGTGGGTTATGCACGCGTGTCTGGACCCCCCAAGTCGAGGCCCCTCGTGCCCACCTGAGTTGTCGATGAGCGATGCGACACGGTCCGAACATGCTAGATTTTCGGGACGTCGAATCCCGGCTCGCGCCGCTCGAGGGCGGATCGCCTTTCTCCGGCAGCGATCGTAGCTTTTACCACCGAAGTATACACGTATATACCTACGTAATGTTTCAGCCATAGCCAAGAGACCAATCAGACCGTCCCGTCGCGGCTCACCGCCGTCGTTGTTTAATATCGATTTCCTCCCATCCGAAGCAACATCAGCCTGAAGTAAGAGAGGTTTTCCGCAGTGATCCACCAAGTTCGTAACTTCAAACCCTAACTGGCCCCAGAGGTTTATTCGAGCCTATTTAGATCTCTATTGTCGATGTCCTGGTTTGGTCTTGTGTGTACATTATCTCTACTTTCTTCCGAATGAACGGCCATATGAGCAATGGTCTCCAGCCTGGTCATTGCGCATAGGCCAATGTCACAAGGAATTTCCTTCCAGGCTGCACGAGGCCCAAGGTGGCGCAGCCAGCGATCCAATATTTAGAATCGGGAGGTAGGTGTATTGCACTCTTGCCCCAGCCGTAGGTATAATCTAATTGCGTGTAGGCTTCCCTATGCTTATTATTCCTCCTCGGGCACCTTCACATAGACATTTTCGACGAGCTCCCAAGGAGGACCAGATCATATATACGGGATCTTCTACCGCGAAGGTACCTAGTACTTGAGAAAGCATCATGCGGCGCAATTGACGGCTTGATTAACCCCACGACTTCTGCGTTGTTACTGCTGCTGCGGCATCTTAGCGGTAGAGGTGGTTCTCTTCGTTGTGGGCTGGCCGAATGGGAATAAGCAAGACACGAGCACGGCCGAAGATAGCAAGAGGGGCCGCGGCGACCTATAAAAGCATGATCGTGCGATATTAACCCATACGGATCCGTTTATCCTATCCGGAGGATAGTTATAATACGCATAACCCCCTGTTATGCTGATTAATTACGGGGTTAAATACCCCTGTAAATACCCCTATAAATACCTCTATAAAGGGGTATCTTTTGGGGGAAACTCTGTTTTTATTGGCTAAAAAACGCGCTATAGGTCCCTAAAAATACGTATACCTAATAAAAACGGCGGGATAAATAGAGTTTTTCTTATTTAATATATTCTTATTATTTCTTAAAATTCCTACGTATATTTACTAACGCGTTTATTTATACGTTTTTATTTTTATTTATATAATTCCTACTTTTCTTCGTATTTTATAATCTATTCTTATAATCTATCCTTAATTTAATTAAAATAGAGTCGCTTTAAGTTAAAGAATGTCGTATATACGGAAGAATTTAAGTTATCGAGTAATTAATTAATCTACGAAATTACGCTATATTTATAAAAAATTATCTCTTTTGCCGCGAAAATATATACCGTCCTACTTAAGTTAGTATTCTTTATTAGTAGTTTATACTTTATCGTTAATTCTATATAGGATTTCCGATCCTATCCTACGCTTAAGACGCTTTAACCGGCTCCGCGATTAAATATTACTTATTATCGATTATATTTTATTACTACGTAGCCTCGGGTATATAGTTTAAGCGCTAAAGAGGTAGCTTTACGCGTAGGTAACGTATTACGATAGTAAATTCGAAAACGGTATAGGGTAATCCGACGTAATAACGGTAATCCTTTTCCTATTCCTTTACTTTCTTCGTTAATAATATAATTATAACTAACGGATTTAACGGTAACGCTAGAACTAGCGCCCCGAGGGCGACCTCCTCGAGTACCTACGCAAGAGTTAGTTCGTCGAGGCCGACCTTTACGTACGCTTACGTTAAAATAAACGCGAGAATTAGTTCGTCGAAGTCGATCTCTACGCGCGTTTACGCTAGAACTAACGCTAGAGTAAGTATAAGTACGTCGAGGCCGACCTTTACGGCCTCTTACGCTAAAATCCCTTACGCTAAAACTAGCGCGAGAGTAACCGCGCCTAGGCCGACCTTTTAATTAAACCTTTCCCTTAAATACCGCTCGCTCTTAGGAATTTAGTAGCGTTTTTAATCGTTAAAGCTCGTTTATAATTAAGCCGCTACGATAGAAGGGAGACCTTAACGCTAGCGCGGTTAGCGATACCGATTACGCGATTTTAATACGGTTTTAGTTAGCGCTAGAATAAGAACGACGTAAATACTATAGTCGTTACGGGAAGTATTAATTTAATATGGATTTAAATACCGCGGATATTTATAAGCGTTATCGTAATAAAGACTAGAAGAGGCGCGTAGATAAGTCCTTCTTTTTTAGCGTAGGTAACTATTGTAGTGGTACGGTAAGACATACCCTCTTAATACATTACGTAATACGCTACGATAGGCCTTATGCCTATATAGAGTAACTATAGCTCCCGTAAGTACGGGATATACTACGCTTATTATCTAGTTTATTACCTAACTAGATTACTATCTTTACTATTTTTACTTTAATTAAAGATTCGTTTTTACCATTAGATTCGTCGTTCTCCGATTAATATATCTATTTTAATTATAAGCGCTTAAGTTACTTCGTCGTACCGCTATAGCCGAATAAGTAACTTTTACGTTTTACCCCTTTTCTCTCCTTACCTCTTATGCCTTCGGGCTAGCGACTATTATATCTCTACGATTAAGGGGTATAACTAAAATACGATAACTATATTAAATTCCTTACTTCTCGATTAATATAGCGATATTAATTTCATTCGTTTTAAACCATCGTACGTATTATAGTTTTCGATAAAGTATACTTTCGAGTAAACCTATCCGGGTTTTTAATATCGCGTACGCTTTACTCCTCCTTAGTAGCGATTACCTTATAACTTTTTCGATTCCTTAACCTTTAGTTTACGGAGTTTTTATTACGCTATTAGGATTTAAAGGATACCGATCGCCGTCGGCGCTATCATTTAACCCGCGAAGTAGCCTGCGTTTTACGTTAAATAAAGTATCCCGCCTTATAGTTATTTATTTATTATAAGAAGGTACGTATAAGCCCGGGAACCTTTACTACGATACCATAGCCGCTAGGATACTACCTAGCCTTTAATACTTATAATATTAATAAGCTATCGATATTACGATATAATACGACGATTAAACCGCGTTTATACCGATTAAGATATCTTTCGTATCGTTATTTACCTACCTATACGGAGGAACCCGTAAGCCTAGGGAACTATCGTCGTAATACTACCGTTACTAGGGATAGTACTTAGCCCTCGATACTAACCGCTTCTTCGAACTATTAATAGTATAGTATATTTCGTGCGAATAAATAAAGCTCGTAGCGATTAAGGCAGCTCCTTTATAGTTATCTACTTACTATATAAAAGACGTACGAGCGCCTTAATATAAATTACGATAACCTATACGACCCGCTACTCCCTTATTAATACTAAGGGCGGATAAAGGCTAATAATAATTATACCTTAGCCGACCTTACGATAGCTTCTTTTTTCCTTTAAACCTATTAATCGATATAAATTAAATATATAGATATTAATAACTTATTATATTAGAGGTATTTTAGGATACCTAAGCGTAGCGATTCGACGATATAATATACGATATAATATAAATATTTATATTAATAATATAAATAAGAATTAATAGACTAATAGCTATTAATAACCGATAGTTTTAAAAAGAACTAGGAATTAATATTAATAGGATTACGTAGATATAAAGGATTAAAGAAACGGAATTAAAATCGAGTTAATAGGTATACCTATATATAAGCTAGCCTTATATTACTAATTAATAATTAATATAACGAGAAGTACTAATATAGGCGTAAAACGACGCCTAGCGGTAATATCGCTAATATTATTAAATAGCCTCCGATAAATCGAGACCGGCTTATAGCTATAATCGGTATCGTATCTAACGCGATTCTTTATTCGGGATTTATCCTCTATACGTATTACTTTAACGAAGGTTATACGTTAAGAGTTTTAAACCTTAATAAAAGGAATTATCGTCGACTTATTTATAATAATTAAACTATTAGTCTAGGGAATACGTATCGCATTTTAATTAGGCGTTAGCCGATTAGAGAAGCTCGTATAATACCCGGATCCTATCGATCGGGATAATATAATAAATAATAATATACCTATACTAAAGGAAAAGTATTAGGATATAGATAATAGCTATTATATCTTTACCCTTATGTTAAATAATAAAACCCTTACTACCTTCCTTTCTACTTTATACCTCGTACCGATAAACTAGACGGAGTCCGTAACTAGGAAACGGAGTAAATCGCCGTTAGGACCCGAAGTAGTAAAGATTAAATTATTAATAAAAACCTTAAGAATCGATACTAGCTTTCCGCCTTTATATCCGCCCGAAGAAGAGAAGGACGACGATAAAACTCCTACTTAGCTACCCCTTACCCGCGGCTCTATACTTATCCCGTTAATTCCTATAGCATTATTTTAGAATAATAATAACGGGGCCTTTAGTAGCTAGAATATACCGGTAGCTACCCCGACTATCGTAATACTAGCCATTAAATTTCCTAACCTTACCGATTACCTTAGGCTTAAGTTTAATAAACATAATATAACTTAATAATTAAAGAAGGTAGATCGATTATTTAACCGCTACCGTATAAGCGACGACGATAAGATTAAGGAGATCGGTAAATAGATTACGATTAAAACCATTAAGAAGCGTATTAACGACGTTACGAAGGATTAAACGATCTAAAGAGTTATCGTTATAACCCTAAAATACCGTTTTAGGATTACCGATAAACTAAGCTAAGTTAACGTTAAACGTAAACTCGTATAGCTAGAACGAGGTAACGTAATTAACGATCCTAAGGCGATCTTTACGTATCTTATAAACTATAAACGCCTTTTTAAGTTCGTAAACGATAACGGAAAGCTT